TAAAAAAGCAAATTTATTTTAAATAATTTCTAAACTAAAATTATTTAATTAATTAATAATAAAAATATAAATGTTAATAAAATTTTTTTAATTAAATTATTAAATAATAAATTTAAAAATTTTAATTATAATTAATTTAAATTATTTTAATTAAATAAAAATAAAAAAAAAATTAATTTAATTATATAATTAATAATTATAATAAAAAATATTTACCTAATTTATTTTAATATATTTACTATTAATATTATTATAAAAGTAGTATTAATAAATATTTTATATTATATTTAAAATTAAAAAATAAATAAAAATTTTAATTTTAATTTAATATTAAAAATACCTTAAAAAAAACCTTATAAATTAATATAAAAATTTTAATATATTAATTTTAATAAAATAAAAAAAATTCTTTTTTTTTAATTAATATAATATTTATTATATTAAATTTTAATTTTATAAAAAATAAATTTATTAAAAATATAATAATTAATAATTTAAAATATTTAAATTATTTTTTTAATAATTTAAAATGGTTTAAATTTTATTATTTTTTTAATATATCATAATTTATAAAAATTATAAACAATTAATAAATATTAATTTATAAAATAAAAATTATAATTATTATAATTTATTATAAAAATAAATTTATTATTAAATTAAATTTTATTAATTTTTATTATTATTTTTTAATATTAATTAATTTAATTAATATTAATTAATTTTAAAAAAATAAAATTATATTTAATAATATATTTAATATATTTATATTAAAAGATTATAATAATAAGAAAATAGTTATAATTAAATGATTTTATTAATTATAGTTATTTAAGTTAATTAAAATATTTAATAAAATTATTTATTAAATTTTAATATATATAATTATTAATATTAATTTAATATATAAATACTTTATATATATTAATTTTAAAAGGGTTAAATTGGCTTATAAAAGATATAATATTAAATTAAAAATATTTTTAAATTTTAAATTTTATAAAATTTATACTTAATTAAAAATAAAAAGGTTTATTAAATAATAATTATTTATTTTAATTTTAAAATTATTATAAATTATATATATTAATCTTTTAATATATAATAAAAAAAATTTAATAAGTTTTAAATATTTTTATATTTTTATAAATAATTATTTAAAATATTATTAAATTAAATTTAATTAAAATAAATTATTAATAATTAATTAATTTATTAAATTTATTAATAAGGTTAAATATTAAATAAATTTAAAAATTTAAATATTATATTTTAATAGTAGTAAAGAATTTTTTAATAAAGAAGGCGTAATTAAAAAAAAATATATAAATAAAAATATTTAATTAGAAATTATAATACCTTATATTTTAAAATAAAATGGTTAAAATAAAAAAATTAATAATATTATTATTATATTTATAAAATTAATAATAATTAATTTAAGTTTATTTATTTTATTATAACCATATATTAAAAAAATAATTATATATATAATTAATTTATTATTAATTAAATTTAATATAAAAAATAAATTATTTTATAATTATTTTTATAATTATTTAAATTTTTATAAAAAAATATAAAAAAATTATTTCTTATATTTATATATTTTTAACATTATTGTTTAAATTAGATATATAAATATCTTAATAATTTAAAAAGAAATAATTAAAATTAAAAAAGATTATATAATAGGATATATTAATAAATAAATAAAAATATATAAAATTTAAATATTAAAATAATATTATATTATTTATATATAAAATATTAAATTTAATAAAAAAATATATTTAAATAATTTAAAAAAGGAAAAAATTAAATATAAAGTTATATTTATTAATTTTAATTATGAAGAAATTAATAAATTTAAAGTTTTAATTAAAATATTTTTAAAATAATTATTAAAATTTAAATAATTAAAAATTAAATAATTAAAAATATCTTTAAAAAAATTTTAGAAATAAAAGGATAAAATATTTTTTTATTAAAAGATATTATTGTTTTAAATAATATTCTATAATAAATATTTAATATTATTAATTATTTCGAAAATATTAAAAATAATTAAATTTTAAAACCTTTTATTTAAATTATTTTTAAGTGTTTTTTTTAAAGATTTAAAAAAAAAAAAATTTAATAATATATTTTAAATAATTATAAATAAATTATTTCTTATATAATATTCATTATAAAAAAATAATATTAATGGAGGTAATAATATTAAAAATATATAAAAAGATTAATTTAACATTAAATTAGAAATTATAGATAATATAGGTATATTAAAGGTAAATATAGTTAATTTAAATAATAACAATAATAATAAATTTAAATTTAATTTAAGAATATAATTATATATTAAAATTAAAATAATTATTTAAAAAAAATAATAATAATTTTTTTTAACGCCTTAAACTATATTATTAATATTTAAAAAAAAGAAGAAATAATAATAAAAATTAATTAAACAATTTATTTATTTTAAAAATAAAATTTTTAAATAATTTTTATTTATTTTATTAAAAAAAATTATATTAAATATTTTATATTTAATAATTAATAAATTTAATAATATATTATAAAAATTTATATTTTTAATTATAATAATAAAAAAAATTATTATACTACTTTTAATTAAATTAATTAAATATATTAAAAGTAATTTTAAATTATAAAATTAATAGAAAAATATTTTTAATCTTTAATTTTAAAATATTAAACAGGTGCAATGTTGCAATGACATCGTATGCAAGGGTTTATTATGTAATTTTAACTTTTAAGGCCATATAAGGTCTTTAAATCGTTGCATTCTCCTGATTATCATCATCGACATCAATTCTTTCATTATTAATAGTTAATAGATAGATATCAATTTTATTAGTTTCATGGTCATTTACACCTATTATACATACTTTTTTCCACATTAAATATATATTCGTTCTTTTCTTTTTAAGCTTAAGCCTTATTTTTGATTAGCATAATCCCGTTATATATTCGAGAATAAAGTGCTATCTTTAACCATTAGGGATGTTTTTTATAAGGACCTAATACGTTAAGTGTATAGTTTTACTTCAAAAGTTATTTAGCTTTTGTTTAATATTAAAGATTATAAAATATTTAAATTAATTAAATTATTTTTTAATTAAAAAATATTTTTAATTAAATAAATAATTAATTAAAAATTTAATTTTAAAAAAGAATTTTTAAAAAATAAAATTAAATTAATAGTATATAATAACTTCGAAAAAAATAATTAAATTATATAAAATCTTTATATTATAATAGTAAATATTATAATTATTAAAATATTTTTTATTATTATAATTATTTTAAATTTTAATTACTATTAATTTAATATTATTACAATATTTTTATATATAGCGATTTTTTTAAAAGTAATAATTTACATATAATAAACTCTAAAATACTTTAATAGTATTAAATAAATTTAATTATTCTATTAAATTTTATATAAATTACATTAATTACTAATATAATAGTTTTAAATTATTTTAATAAAAATAATTAAAATAAAATTTTAATTAATAATTATTAAAATTTATTTATTTAAATATAATAAAATAGGAATAATAATACTATTATATATTAATAATTTATTTATTATTAAAAAAAATATTAAAATTATTAAAATAATTAAAAATATATTAATTAATAAATTTATTTTAAAAAAAATAAAAAAAGTTATTAAATTTATTAAATTTTAAATACAATATAATAAAAAGTCTTATTAAATTTTTATTAATTAAAAAAAATTTACTAAAAAAATTTTAATTAAATATAATATTAATATAAATAAACATATTAAATTACCCTAAAAATTAAATATTATTATACCTAATATTTAATTATTTATTATAAAAATAAAGAAATATAATTATATTTAAAAAATAAACTTTCTTAATTAACTAATAATAAATATTTAATTTAATATTATAAAAATAATTAATAATCTTTTAAAAATTAACGCTAAACCAAAAAAAATTTATTTTAAATTTAAAAAATATTTATAATAATATTTTAAAATAATTAAATTATTTAATATTATATTAAAAAGAAAATATATAATTAAAAACCTTAAATTATAAATTTAAATTAATATAATATTTATAAATATATTAAAATTTTAAAAATTAATAAATACCTATATTATTACTTTTATAAAATATCTTATTTAATAATTTTTAAAAAAATAAACATTAATAATATTAAGTAACACTAAAATTAAATTTACTAATTTTACCGCAATAAACCTTTTAATAATATAAATTGCAAAATTATTTAAAAAATTAAACTTTAAATAATTTAAATTAATTATTATATTTTTAAATTTAATTAACGTTATTATAATAATTTTAAATCTTTTTAATAATATTTAAATTTAATATATTAATATTTAATATAAATAAATAATTAATTAAATTAACCGAAAAAATTTTTAAATATTATATATAAAAATAAAAATTATAATAATTAATAATCTTACCAAATCTTTATTAAAAAAAAATATAAAGAATTTATAAAATAATTAAATTTTTAAAAATATTTTTAAAAAAAAAAAAATATTAAAATTTAATATAATATATTATAAATAATAATAAAAATATAAAAAAAATAAAATTACGGAAAATTTTTATTAAATTAATAAAATTATTATAATTAAAAAAATTAAAATAATAAAAAAACTAAAAAAAATTAAATTCGAAAAAATAATAAATAATTAACGTTATATATTAAAAACGTTAATTTAAAAAAGTTTTAAAAAATAAAAATAACTTTTAATTATTAAAATAAATTAAACTTTAAAATATTATAATATATATAATTAATTATTTTTTATACTTTTAAATAATTTTATATTATAATATAACTTTATGAAAATATATTATACAGCCTTATAAATAATAAGTGCACTTATTAAGGCAATAAGCCTTAGTAGAATAAACCTATACTAGTCTAACCCATTCTAGATAGCTTCAATGGGTAAATCTTTCCTTATGTATCATCTTGCCCCAAAGGTGGCAACACTAATTATTATCTCCATTTTTTAGCTTGGTTACAACTACGATAGCAGACATTTACTTCGTACATCAACGTGGAGTCAGACTTGCAGCTTGGGGCCTCTGCCTATCTATTGGTGTCGGAGGAGGCACGATCATCTCTGGTTATATTATCAAAGACTTAGGCTGGAACTGGACCTACGGTATCTGTGCGATTATGTTCGGCGTCTGGATAGTGGTACTATTCCTGTTCTGCCCCGAGACAGCATACAGACGGGACGAGTCCCTTAATACCGATCTCGGGATAGTACCCGGAATTGGTCAACAAGCAGAGAAGCCTGCGCAGAACGAAAGCTCGAAAGTGAAAGCAGATAGAAGATCATCTGAAGCTGAAAATATCGAGGTCGAGGTCGAGATCATAGAACGTGCAACTACGGATGTCTCCTGGTCAGAGAAAAAGCATAGCTATTGGCACGATTTGAGGATTTTCCACGGGAGAGTCTGTGACGACCCATTTTGGAAGGTTCTTACTCGGCCGCTGCTTATGCTTATATTCCCCCAAGTACTATTCTCTTTCTTTGCCTACGGGCTTACAACCTCCTGGCTGGTTGTTGTGGGTAGCGTTCTGGCCCAGCTCTTTACGGCCCCTCCGTATAATTTCAGTGTCTCGGGTGTCGGGCTTGTCTCCATTGCTTCCCTAGTCGGCGCGATCGTGGGAGCCTTCATATCAGGACCTATCGCGGACTGGATCATCAAATCGATGTCTCGAAGAAACGGTGGCATATATGAACCCGAATTCCGACTTGTACTCATCGTGATTACATTTTTCTTGGGGGGTATGTCGTTCTTCGGCTTCGGCTGGTCGCTCCAACAACAAGACCCTTGGATTGCCCCGGTGATTTTCTACGGGCTTCAGTATTTTAGCGTGGGATTTATGACTATTGCTGTATATGGCTACTTGACAGACTGTCATCGCGACAAGGCCCCCGAAGCGTTTGCGGCTATCAACTTAAGGAATATTTACTCTTTCGGAATGAACTACTTCATATCAGATTGGATAAGTAGTCAGGGGCCGAAGGAGGTATTTTGTATAATTGGCGGGATACACGTTTTCATCTGCCTATGTGCGATCCCCATGTATATTTTTGGGAAGAGATGTAGGAGCTGGACAAGCAGAGTGAAGGTGTTTGAGAAAGTTATGAAAGCATAGGGATTTCGCTAGTGATAATGTGTAGATAATTCGGGAACGATTATATACTCGCAGGAAGGGATGGGAGGAATATTTGCGAATCACGTCAACGAAATACATGAATGTAAATCATATATACTGCAAGGATTTTCGTGGCTAGCTTATATATAATTTATAAAGTCAAGTAGCCCTTATACTCGATTATGAAGCACTTATTTCGGATTCAAGTGCATCAGCCATATCTCCTAATGTGTTGAACTTCCAGTCATAGATTTCCTTCTCCCTATTGCCCATAACGGCACCCGGTCTCACAATCCAAGCCGATTTTATTCCCATGGCCCGTGCGGGGTGATGGTCGTGGAACTGGCTCTGTGCCGTCTGTATGACTTGCTCTTTATCGACCCCGAACTTTTCCTTGACTTCTTTGAGCATATACTCGAAATTCTGAGGGTTTGGCTTATATGAGCCGATGTCCTGAGCCGTGATGATGAGATCAAAAGGAAATCCATGCAACGGGCCGGAGTTAGTTAGACCAAAGGAGACACGGTCGATATTAGAGAGGACTACCAGTTTGTACTGTTTGGATAGTCGACGAAGCGCATCAACAGTATCCGGGAAAGCTGGCCAGTCAGCTACCGAATTGCCGAAAGCTCGTGACTCTTCGGCTGTTGGTGGTGCCAGGCCTAGCTTAGTGGCGAGTTGATGGTGTATAGTAGAGAGGAGCTGAGAATACGGCATATTAGGGGTCTCCTGTTGCTGCTTAACTTCGCACTCATGGTAGACCTCTAGCACCTTAAGGCGGGGAATGTCTGTGCGATTATTGGAAGCGAGGAAAGGCTCCAGAGCTGATAGTATACCAGTTTCATAATCTATCAAAGTGCCATAGACGTCGAAGGAGAGAAGTCGGTAATCTTTTAGATTTGCCATAGTTTTTTAGTTGATATTGTCGTGGTTTGAATGATAGGGAGGGAAAGGGGTTAGTCTATCCTTCACTTATAAGGTAGGAAATAATTACTACAAGTTCTAATATACTACTTACCTTAAGCGCCTAGGTAGATACTTATTAGTTGCTCATATACCGATTGTGAAGCAGACATTTCATTGATTGGTTTTGAAGTTATTAAAGAAAAGAGTGACGTACTATAGGTGACAAGAAGGGCGCGCCTTTAGGGAATGGAATCTTCAATAGGTCAAATTTTGTCTAGCGGGGTTACAGGCCACACGGTACCTATCAACACGCATAAATGTACCCCTAGAGATCCAGATAAGGGGTACCTAGGTACCTAACGTTAGGTACCTTTCATTCTGCATGTTGCATGCATCCATTTTCAATTCATCCATCACCAATACATTTGCCATTCACATAAGCTGTAATATGTGATACTATATTACGCTCATTGAGCTAGCAACTTTTAACTGGCCAATTTGCCGTCTTCTATTGCCTTTTTACCGTCTAATGGAGACACCTTGCCATGCAAATAATTCGTAATTCGTTATGAAGGGAACGAGATATTCTATTTCTCGACAAAAAGCTTGTCAACCATGCTCTACTGCAAAGACAAAATGTGATCGCAAGGCGGAATGTTGTACTAGATGCGCCTTACGAGGCCTATCCTGTTCTTATCCGCAGACCTCACTTTCTAGAGCCTCCTCACGGGATGTAGGTGACAATACAGGTGAAAGCACTGAAGCCGGTTTATACAACTCCATTTCCGACACCAGTATTCTATCCGGAGCAAACCCCGGGCCGGAGATATCAACTGGACCGGACCCTCAAAGTCTAGGTTCTCGAAGTTCAACTTCTCAGAGTCTGGCTGTTGGGTTGATGCAAACATCTGGTAGCATGAGCCCAACTGATACTTCCTCTGCTACATTCGTCACAAGTCACATCCCGGATGAGTCGATATTAAGCATCACTAGCCGTGCACCTGGGAGTTCCGAAGTGCTTGACTTTTCAAACCTGGAACTATTCAGCCCTATTGATGTAGATGGTATTAGCAATCGCTGGCTGAACACCTATATTCCCATTCCCGGCCAAAAGGTTAAAGAATATCCCGCTACCATTACAGCTTTCATCTATAGACTTCTTAAGTCTTATGCAACCGTTGCCGTACGCGGTCGCGGTGTGCCCCCATTTGTACACCCTTCCCAAATCTCGGTCACATCGACAAGACCACCGCTTTCTACCTGCTTGAGTTTGGTTCGCATCTGCGAGAATCCATTGCCAGGCAGTGAGGGTGTTGCCGCTGATGTATTACAACGGGAGATGAACAATCTTTATGAGCAACAGGGTACATACGACGATTTCACTCTATTAGCGGCTTTCCAGGCATATCTGATCTACTCCATGGTCTTGTTCTTCAAACTTAACCAAGTTTCAGGATCTTTCCTTCGACAAGCGATGATGAATCTCCAGGAGCTTGCGTGTTCGAGTAGCCGGAACGGGCTTATGTGCATAGCCGAGCAACAACGTGCTCGACCTCGATGGGAAGCTTGGATTGTAGCCGAGGCAAAGCGGCGGGCATTGTTCACGATGTACCTTTTCGACAGTGTTCTTTCTACTCAAGACGGTCTTCAGACCTTTCTCGGCACTGAACTGCAAGGGCTACCCGCCTCAGCAGACAAATATTTATGGAGGGCACAAATTCGACGCGACTGGGAAACAGCATATAACATATATCTAGCACATTGGCCAGAGGAAACCTTTCGCATTGATGAACTCTGGCCGATTCCTGCGGGGATAGACGAGCCTGGTCTTCTTGAGAGACGCAATAGAGTAGACCGATGGCTAGAAAATGTCGATGAATTTGGCACAATGCTGTATGCAGTAACTAGTTGCACACACGGCGGTTGACCGTAATATTACTACCTAATAATACCCTAAGTAATCCGCATATATCCTATATCCAATATCACGATCTTAGTCGATAATAGGAACCTAAGAAGACAGCCCAACTAAGATTGCTCCAACCCCCTCAAGGCCTCGTCGATGGAAATTACCCGCAAGTTCATTTTCGGCAAAAGGCTCCCTAGAATGACCTGAGAGTATTTTTGATACTGGTCCAGCGGCAGTTCTAACACGTTGTCCGAGATAACGTAGATATTATAATCTAGGTCAAACAAACGATAAACCGTGCTCATTACGACTCCGGAGAGGCTCAAACCAGACTATGCAAGTCCATGTTAGCCAGCGTGGAAAATAAATGAAAAGATAAAAACAAATGGAAAAGAAAGAAAGAAAGCAAGGCCCAGGTCACATACTATGATGACGGTGTCAATATTTCGTGCCTTCAAAATCTGCTCCAGTATATTTCCCGAGCCGGCATACCACCTTGTTTTCTGAAGTACGATGTCTCTGCTATCTACCTCGAAATTGGATGCTATCTGCACTACAGAAGACCCAGCGGCGAAAGAACCGAAGTCTCGGATGAGCTTTCCGAATGGAGCGTCTTGTGCTAACTCGGGCTCTCCTGGATTAAAGAAGAGAGTCGTAAAGATGGTCGGAGGGCGCAGATCTTTTTTGTGAACGGCGTCAATCCAACGCGCACAGCTAGAAATGAACGCTCGTCCTTCGGTGGTGTTCTTGACGGCATCTATGAGAACCGTCATCAAGTCAAGATTGAGTACGGCGTAATTCTTGCCGAAGTTCAAACTGCCCTCAGGAGAATGTTGGTTAGGCGCCATTGTTAAAGATGGTTATAGGTCCCAGGGACAGTCGAGTGAGTAAGAAAAGCAGTGTATATTTCATCGATACTCACCTACCACATCCAGGTAATTATCGATCGTATTATTTGCTTCGGATCCAGGGGCTGCCCAGTTCAAATCCGGGAGACCGGCGGAGTTTCTGATGGAGTGAGCTATGATTGGTTGATAATCCGGCCCTGAAGTCTCAACTCCGTACACTGCCGGTGCTCAACTCCGCTCAGAATTGGATATATGAAAGACATTCCAATCTGTAGTAACTGACAACATCTCACCACTACAATTGGAACTACAAATGGTAAAAACGGCAATAAATCATGGCATCTGAAGAGCGGCAGGAAGTGTCACTGAATACGCCACCGGCATCACCACCCCCGGAGGAGCCATATAGCATATTTGACAAACGACAGAAAGCTCTAATCGTGCTTATTGTTTCTACTGCAGCAACCTGTAAGTGAATGATCAATAATACCATTATAATGTTGACCAACTCACACGAATCAGTTTCCGGGTTTGCATCAAATATTTATTTTCCCGCACTTCCTACCATTGCTCATGACCTGAATATCTCGATAGAGCTGGTCAACCTTACAATAACGTCATATCTTATTTTCCAAGGTTTAGCACCCAGCTTCTGGGGCCCCATCTCAGACGTCAAGGGGCGCAAAATTGCATATGTCTTTACATTTCTAGTGTTTTTAGGCGCATGTATCGGCTTAGCAGAGACGAAGAGCTACGCGACCCTTATAGTGCTAAGATGCTTGCAAAGTACCGGCAGCGCAAGCACTATTGCAATCGGATCCGGTGTGATTGGTGATATTACCACCCGCGCTGAACGCGGTGGCTTCATGGGAATTTTTCAGGCCGGGTTGCTCGTTCCCGTTGCAGTCGGACCAGTCATTGGAGGTGCTCTGGCGGGATCATTGGGATGGAGATCAATCTTCGTATTTCTGGCAATCTACAGTGGTGTCTTCCTAATACTGTTGATCGTTCTTCTTCCTGAAACATTGAGGTCGATTGTTGCAAACGGTAGCAGGAATCCGTCAAACCCAATCGCCGCATATCCCTTACGGATTTACCAAAAACTCTCCAAAGTGAGATGGAATCCTGACGCGGCTTCGTCAGAGCCTGCAGCAACAAAGCATATCGATGTCACGGGGCCATTACGCATTCTCATCAGTAAACACGCAGCGCCTATTATCATATTCCTTGCTATCTACTACGCTGTTTGGCAGATGAGTATCACCGCTATGTCGTCTCTTTTTCAAGATCGTTACGGCCTGAGTGAAACACAGATCGGCTTGACGTTTATTGCAAATGGGGCGGGATCTATGATCGGAACGCTCGTCACGGGCAAGATTCTGGACACCGATTATCGTCGAGTCAAGGCTCAATACGAAGCTCAATTTACTCAACACGATTCTGAAACAAGTGATGGACAAATACGATCCACGGCATATATGGAAGACCACTTTCCTCTTGAAAAGGCGCGCCTCCGACTCATACCCATTTTCTCCCTAGCTCAGTGTCTGTCAATCATTCTCTTTGGCTGGACCATTCAGTATCCCGATCGCGTCCATATCGCTGTCCCCATCGTTTCCACTTTCATCACTGGCTGGACTGCCGTATCTACGCAGTCTGTGGTTATGACTTACCTCGTCGACATCTTCTCCGACCGTAGCGCCGCTGCCAGCGCAAGTTTAAACCTTGCCAGGTGCTTATTCGCGGCCGGCGGTACAAGCTTTATAATGCCCATGGTGAACGGCATTGGTGTCGGCTTGGCGTTTACGATATGTTCTATCGTTCAAGTTGTTGCGCTATCGGGCGTAGCCATCCAGTGGAAATTCGCTGCTTCATGGAGACAGAAGAAAAATGAGACAATGTGAGTGAGGGTGAAATTTAGCAAATATATGGTAGAAGGAATTAGAGAGGTATTCCATTAGTATTGTATTATTATTAATGCCATAGCGCGGTTCCTTGTCTGCCGCATTGTAAATTGTAAGAAAATAGGGGTTGAAAGGCTGCTGGTAGGCACATAATAGATATAATTTAGGCCAAAACTGACGACTCTGTTAGATAAATTTACGAGTCGCTATCCTTACGCATGTACGTTCGTAGGACAGGGTTTCTATCATAATTTGAGGTCGTAACAGTACGGTATAAAGTATTGCTAGTGAGGTACCGTAAGTGATGATGGTATATGCCATAATCCATATTGAATTAACATCCAACGCCCTTATCGTTCATACTTCCGTTGACATCTTTATATTAATATAATGTCTCGCGTACAATATATTATCTCTCATTCGTCCGCCGTCTCTTTCCTCCCCCTATCTTCTCTCCTTCATTTGCCGCCTGACCTTTCTTATCCTCCTATATGAACCACATGCGAGTATTCTACCCACTTGCTTAACCAAGCACATGTCGAAGGTGCCTGTAAGGTTGTATTGCGTCTTCTTCTCCTAGTATTAAGATCCTAGACATTCCGACTTATTAGGCTTTGCCGTACTTTCACCCACATTTGCCAGCGACAAAACCCGCACGGCTCAGCTGCAATCCTAGCCCGTCTCTCTTGATGCAGACCGCCGGAGCATTTGCTGTAGGATACGGCGAAGTTGCTTATCGCGCGACTAGCATCCATAGCTTCTTCGCAAGCCCGTTGGTAGATGGCCTGACCAGTCAAAATCCTCCAGCACGAGGGACAAGTTGCATAGAGAATTAAGTCTGTGCACATCTCGTCTGATGTTGGGGGTCTATGCAATAACTTTGATAGTTCAATCCGAGGTGACAATAATAACCAGAGTGTATACTGTTGAACTTTTGCTCTATCCGTATCCGGACCTCGATACGAGAGAATTTGTACTCGAGATGTAGAAAATTTAAGAGAGGCGTAATTGTTCTATTTTAGGCGTACTCGCTAACCTCAAGATCTTACAAGGGCGAACGTTAGAGGAGGGGAACGTATTATGCGATATGAAGAACATGCCTTAGAACAAGATAATGCCAATTTTCACCAAGAAATAATTGTAGAAAAGGATAGTATAAGGAGATGACTGATGAGTTGATAATTGGTCTCGATTATACAACGGATTTGACGGGATAAAGAAAATATAGAAATAGAAAAATTAGGAAGCAAACAAACCTAGAATTGCACTATGTTACCTATCGAACCGCCATGAATCACCGAAGCAGCATTGTCGACGATAGATGCGTATATGGTGGTAATGCACCATCGTCTGAAACGAAACTGTCCATAGATATCATACCATATTATTCTTACGTTCCATCGGAAATAACTAGATCAAGCTTTGTCACGGACGATCTCGATAGAAGTCAGGGCTACGCACACTTGATTCTTGAAGAGTCTTAACTCCAAATAATCGCTAATGTCGATGCCGTTGAATATGCAAAAACATATATACACATACCTGAAATCATTTGGTCAGTGACCTATGGCGACGTAGATATTGTCATAGACGGTAGCAAGCCAGCCCTCGGCAGGTCCGGCCCTTGCCACGATTCCAAGGCCCCCAGCAGCCCAAAGCGCCGCGAGTGCGACGGAGACGGCCTGGATACCCCACCAAGCGCGCCGGCGCCTCTTTCGTAGCTGCTTATCAAAAGTTATCTTCTTCCAGTTAGCAGGCGGCGTGAGATTTAGCCACTTAGCCCAGCCCCAAACCATATGGCCTACTCCGACTGATAGTAGTAGCGAATATGCTATCCAGGGCGGTAGCGGATATCGAGCGAAGCCATGCGATACAAACTGCAGCCCAATGTTGGAGCTATCACCATCAATGACGAGAGGTAATATACGGTTCATCCCTACGTGCGAGGCAAGAAGCCCAACGAAGATATACCCAGAAACCGAAATATAAGTTAAGGGAGGCCATATCTTAATACTGTGCTTCGGGTTGGGTGACTTCGAGTGATGTAAAGCCCACATACCCGGGGTCTCGCCACCGTACCGTTTTAGGTTTTGGCGTCGGCGCAGTAGGCGTATGGCAATACCTGATGTGACATGGGCAACGACGGGGAGGGCGACTAGTAGAGGCTCGGTGAAAGGGGTCTGATAAAGCTCACGAGCCATAAGAAGAAAGGGCTCGGAGTAAGGAACAGATTGGTAAACCAGTGGGAATACGGCGGTGTTGGCGACATGAAGACCAGCGAAGAAGGAAAATGTATAGGAAGAATATCGTTGAATTCGTGATACTGGAAATGTGGTATTTATGGTTAGTAAAGCTCTCGATCCTATTGGTCCGAGTAAAAGAATTGGAATCTTGGAATCTTGAAATCTTGAAATCGTACAATAATATATCGGGCCACGACCACTACCGCTGAGACCTAATGTAGAAGTTGAACTGGTTGGTGTATGTCTCGTACTATAACTTGAAGACTCTTGATCTTCCTCAGGTAAAGGTGGAAGGTCCTTATCATAGAGGGATGCATTGTCTATAGGCGAAGGATCTAGCTGGAGCAGAGATATTAACGTCTCTTGCGAAGCCTTTGGATTTAATGTGCGATTATCGGACGCCATGAGTGGTTGAGCTTCATTCCTTGCTGTTGAGATCTTTAAATTTAAATTTATTAAATACTTTGATATTTTAAATTTCGGAGTTGGTGTTAGAATTGGAGTTGGTAGAGATTTTTGGAGTTGTTCGTTGTGGCCCAAAAAAAAAACCACTTGAAGTTTATTAGTCGTGGGCGAATGAGAAGGTGCTTGGGCTTAGGTACATAAACTTTAGGTACCTAACACATGCTATATTGACATCATGTATGGCATCTGCCCCGCGATAGCTTGTTTTAGGTACATTACCTATGTACCTTTTCTAGGTACAATACCGGCATTAGGTACCTGGTAGTGAAGCTTGAAGCTTGCTCAACTTCTAAACTTTCCACCTACATCTTTATACGCAATCAACCATAATACATTCCACTATGCCTCCTGTGAGTATGCTATTTGAGCTTCATATTTAACACCATAACTTGTAGTCAGATAACTTACAGTTCGAAATATATAGCGACACCAGACTCTCCCGCCAGCGCAGACTTCCTCAGCGCGTGCCGCCCTACAGTCCTTCTACTGCGACCTCTGTTCTAAAGGTTACTCGCGCATGAACGACTATGAGGCTCACCTGGGGAGTTATGATCATAGCCATCGGCAGCGCATGAAGGATATGAAGCAGATGGTTAAGGATCCGACGGCGGGGGCACGCGCGAGAAAAGCCGAAGCTAAAGCAGACGGTCTAATCAGCATCAAGCTCGGCGGCGATTCTAATCCGATCGGAATTGGTGGTGGCGGCAGCGGCGGCGGTGGTGGATTTAAGAAGGGAGGTTTCAAGAAATCTGGTTTTAAGAGCGCATTCACGCCTATCGGTGGAATGGTGGACGACGAGGATACCAAGACAAAAGATCCGGATACGAATATGAGTGCTAACAAAGACGAGAAAGCTATACCAAAAGATTTAAGTGCCGAAAGCGATACAGAAGACGAAGGATATGAGGTTTATGATCCACGACTCCCTACGGATTAACGCGCTGCTAGGCAGGTTGATACTTAGATTGATACTTAGGATGAGGTATATCATCGCTACTGGCATCCACAGCGACGAAGGGTTATTGAAGTCGTAGAACCTTAGATCTACGCGGGACTCGAATCAAAACCCAGCTATGGCACGCCGCGTTATTGAAGGCAGCCATACGGATTCGTCCGAGTAGCTCAAATACAACAGAAAGGCCGATACAGCCTTCTCCTTTAGGTATCATAGGCTGAAGGCTCCAAGGTAATTAGGCAAATCGTAGCGTAATATTCAAATTCGCGGTATTAGATTTAAGCTATGCGCCTATGTACATTTTATTGTAATGCTACAGCCTCATCTAAATTGATGAGGCTGTTATCTCGTCTACCTCCTGAAGGACTTCATTCCTACTGCTCTTCGCCACGCTAGAAACCTAGCAATAGTATCGTATCGCAATTTTCCTTGCCTCGTTCCTCCAGGGACCGATGGTAATGAAAACATGCAAATTCTCGAAAAAGAGATGAGGTTCCAAAAATTCCCAACCCGGCCGAAGCCAAGATGGAGTGGTCAGTAAATAGTTTTCAACTAGCAAAAACACGCACTCGGATTGCTCCTCACTGTGACGCGTAAAGCCCGTGCACTAAGATGGGGAAACAAGAGAAGGAAAATTTCAAAAGTAGCAGGAGGGAGAGAATTCTTAAGTACTACGAAAGCGGTGTACGAGATCAGTCAATATTCTGCCGCATGGAGCTAACATGTACTAAGTACCCCACCTTTCTTTCTTTCTTTTTTTCGTGACTGTACCTTTGTATTTTTGAGTTCCATTGTTGTTAACCAATCAGATAAATTCTTTCTTTTTAGACTTGCTAAATCCATTCACTCCAATACAAGTACTTGTTTAATCAAGTATCTCCAGTTCAATATACCAATTCAATACAGGTATAACTTAGGTAGGTACCTGACGTGGAATACAGGTTATAACAAAGGTTCAAGTTTCTGTTGTAACAAATCTCTAAAAATTGTACTTCTTCCTCGCTTGTTTCTCAATAAGTGAAGGCCACATATTGTACAAGTATTGCGCAATCCCATACGGAAACCAAGGCACAACTACATTGCCTCTCACTTCTCTATCCATCGCATCGATGCATCTCTTCGCCACGTAATCTACGTTGAGACCGCGCTGGTTTGGACCTGCGTTGACGGTTGCTGGGTCTGCATCGACGGCAGAGGCGCGAAAGTTGCCTTCGATAGTTGCTGGCAGGATGAAGGTGAAAGTAATCTTCGGATGCTCAATAGCGAGCGATTGGAATAAGAGCAGTGACGAGGCTTTCGTAGCAGCATAAAGTGCCCGTGTTGGTGCTGGGATCACTGCGGCAATCGATGAGGCTAATAGAATAGACGGAGAGGTTGAAGAACGCGTTATCAAGGGGATAAATGTCACGGCCGCAACAAAGGGTCCATAAACATTTCCCTGGGTGGTTCGAGTAGCAATATCCAAAGCCTTCTGTATGTCGATACTGTTTGCGTCCTTTTCCTCCCCTGGCTTCACGTTGGCCAGACTCATGACAGGCTGCACAGCAGAGACTCCAGCACATACGTGAAGGGAATCCAAACCACTCCATTTTGCAATTACTTTATCCCTTACTAGCACCATATCTTCTACCTTGCTGAAGTCGGCGATAACCCAGAAGCACTTCTCTCCACACTCCTGGGCTAGTTTTGATAACGGTTCTTCGCGCCGTGCAACAAGGCACACACGAGCACCGCGAGCCGCATACTGTTTAGCCACGGCACGCCCAAGCCCGCTTGATGCCCCTATAATTAGAACCCGCTCTTCAGTTGGGTAAATTCTACTCTGTCTGCTACGAGTAATATTCCGGGCAGCGCGCCAGACGAGGGACAGGGTGGTGGCTAGAATAACCAGTGTTGTTCCTGTCAAGGGGGCAGATTCGAATCGTGATGACCAACTTGACATGTTGGAGAATACCTACGATTCGTAGGTGGGTAGGTGAATTTCAAGATGTATTAACGTTGGTCGATCAAACGGCCCCCAAAAATTAAATACACTCCCAGCTTAAGATCCTAGCTTAAGAGTCTTCTGCTAACGAATCGGCCCGGATCAGATGGCGCGGGGTTCTTGACAGCTGCTTGTCTTATTTACATATAAGTTAGGTAGCTATCTCTTTACCCCGTTGCCACCTCCACTTCATAGTCTTCACTACAATAACCTCTCCTCATCTTCAAACTCTCTTGAAGATCCAGGTACTTATATGTAAGATTTAAGACGAGCAAGAGAATATACCATCGTCTATACCATGTCTCTTCTAGCTATTCCGAATGAGTTGTTACTGCAGATAATGAAACATCTTCGAGATTCACGACATGTTCAAGCTCTCCAATATGTCGCTCTCACCTGCAAGAAGCTCCGCGAAGTCGCCGAGATATACTTATATTCTACTGCTGAGTTTACCACGCTATCGTCCCTATATCGCTTTCTAGATGCTGCTACCCATACCGACGAACCTAGTCGAAAACATTACCTACGAGATCTAAAACTTCTATATTCCACTAATCACTATGACCCTTATTACAATCCGCCTTATCCTCCGGACCTCACCTTATTTCCCAATTTGGAATCATTCGTATCGGAAAGTCCTGAATGTCAGCCTCGATCCGTCAAAGGGACTCACTGGGGACTTTTCAAAGAGTCTTACACACAAGCATTTACGCAAGCCTCCCTTCTAAACGAATCCCTCGAAGCACCAAGGCCTCTTCAAAGCCTCAGGTCTCGTAAGTCCCAACGTATTCTCATAGCACATATATGATACTTACTTCCCAACGCAGTTACGCTCCATTGGACTGGGACAGAGAGAAGATTTTGGGACATAGCGCCGACATGTCCAATCTTCTTACTTCCTTGCCTAGAGTCCTTGGAAATATCCTGTGCCAAGATAGGCCAAAATGAATCAACTGATTGGCAAGCAGAAAAGCTACAAGATTTCCAACGCAAAACTACGCTCAAATCCTTAATCTTTACCGAATGCGTTGTTTCTATTAAAGCTTTACATACCATTCTCTCAATTCCGAAAGCGCTACAGAGCCTAACCCTTTGTGAGATGTTTTATCACCGTTGGATGATGGGCGACTCCTTCGCCATCGAGGATACGGACGCATTTAACCACGCTATTGGCCAGCAGGCCGAGAGTCTCGAAAGCCTCCGTATCCACCGCTTCAGCCAATATTCACGAGATGGGAAGACTCTACTCCTCTCGCTTTCCAACTTCCCAGTCCTCTCGAACCTTCAGCTTGGACCTTTTCGTCAAACCCAATTCAAATACATCCTTGATACACCAGTTCCACCAGCTCTAAAATCTCTACGGCTGGATGAGTACGGAATATCAATGTTAGACAAGGACCGTTCTTGCAAGCTTCTCTCAGATCTATCGGTCGAGGAGTTGCTAGAAAATTCGGAAACTTCCGGCCTACCATTCACGCTTGATATTTCACTCCAGCATCTCTCGCCACTTCTTCGAAGGCGACTTTTCAACGGTGACGACGTGCGGCCAAAGATACGAAAACTTATAAATAAACTTGGGGAGCGGTTTCAAGAGCTCCAAAACGCTTCCACTCGCCCTCGCTTAGAGGCAAACCCCGAACATTCTCCAGCTTGTCAAGCATATTCGCGTTTGCGTATTCTCACCAACAAACCCCGGAAGAAAATTCCACCATTCCTACATAATGAACCGCTGCCCAGATTCGTAGTTCGATACGACTCGTCTCACCCAGAACGATTTCTTTGTAATCCTTATACTGCTAACCCAATCCCTCCTGATAGAGACTTCAGTAGTGACGACGAGGACATGGATATAGCTTTTCGTGACGCCAACAATTGAGACTTTGATATGCATACATTTAAACCCCAAATCATATTTACTTTGCCGATCGCTATGAGGCTATGTGGCTATGGCTTGGGTAGGGTGCATTACCTATACCACGTTCTCATGATAAGAAGCCTGTGGTAGACATTAATTCTCATCCCAATCAAAACAGGGTATCAATACGTATGATGTATCTGATCTGTTCACGCTGGACTTGATAATTTCAGAAACTTCTGTTGGGTATTCAATGGGTCACGGATAGAATATATTTTTTATGCTCGTTACAGACCGTATTAAGAGTTTGACCCTTGCGTCTTGGCATAACATGCGCTGTATAGGTAGCTAACTCAGGAGTCTTGCCCTACCTCTTAGTTCACACTTCGAATATATATACCAAGTATTTTTCTCATTTCTACATGATCAAAAATACATCTGGGCATACCGTTACTCCTCGTGTTGGGTATCTACTTTTTGATCCATAGCAAGTCGACGAACGCACTTGTATCCCCTGAATTTCCGTGCGGGCAGTTTCTCCTCGAACTATGAAAAATATAATTAGTCAAATGTATGATAAGGTCAAATAAATATCTGTATGTTCCACTTACCATTTCGTCGATCTCTTCCAATGTTCGGCCTTTATACCTTGCTGTTAGCAACTGTTTTGTTAATTGACAGGAATCTGGTTTACCTTGGACTTCGGGTAGAAAGAAGTATACCCAAACACCAGCTACGATTGAGCTTGGGAACCAGATATAACCGTATCGCGGGCCCCAGTTTAGAGAATCGGGATTAATAAAATCTATAGAACCCAAGATTAGTTTTTGAATCCCTAGACTAACTTTTATATGTCCTTTAGAACGCATATTCAGTAACTTACAGGGAGCTGTGAAGGTAGTAAGCCAAGCGGCAAAGAATGCCACAGCTGCTGCCAACCCAAACGTATAGCTGCGTAAACGCTGTGACGGAAGCTCGCCGCCACTTAACCAGGCATAAGTCGCGACCATTCCCTATAAATTCGTCATTAGCCTCGATCCTTATTCTGTTCGCTAAATGGGTTCAGGTCTTACATTGTAACTCATCATGTAAAGGCATGATAACGCTACAAGAACTTCACCAGTAGCCTTTGCGCCAGGGTTTTGATCGTATACCACTGCGACGATTAACTGTAGGATGCCACAAATTCCAAGACCACCCATTAGAAGCACGCGGCGTCGACCGTATCGCACTACGATCAGGGAGTTGAGAACGATGGCAAATAGGCCAATTGCGCTGAGGACGCAACCCATCGCAAAGGGGTTGGCTACCTTGGCCATAGTGAAGAAGTATGCCTTGTATGCTAGAGAAACCCGTGAGAAAACTTTCAACGTGAGTGTTGGTGTGGATGACTTTACATATGATAAACATAGAGCCTGTAGCAGCCTGTAGGGTTACTCCGCAGACGGCGAGAATCGTACGTCTCCTATCTATGGGATTCTTGAACATATCTAACACGCTGACCTGGCTACCCATCTCACGTTCTTTGTCAATGGCCGCCTTTATTTCCGCGACTTCGATGTCGACTTGCGCACCAGTCGGCCTTAGCCACTTAAGGGATTTGTGACCATCTTCGATGCGATCTTGCAGGATCAGCCAGCGGGGAGACTCGGGTATAAAGAACAGGCCAACGGTCAAGAAAAGAGGAACAATATAGATAAGTCCTAAAGGAATCAGATAAGCTGATCGATCAGGCCGCGATGCCGTTGCCCAGTCCACGATTGTACCGATTAGTGTGCCCTAGGAAGCTGGGTTAGAACTTACCAACCATCCAGCGGCAATGTTTGACTTACGAAAGAGGTACAAAACTGGAACGCGGTCAGGAAGAGCCCACGGTACTTGGCTGGACTACTCTCTTGGATAAATAGTTGAGAGAAAGTCATAAAGTAACCATTTGCTAATCCATTTAGTAGCCTTCCAACGTAAAGGGCATTGATATCTGTCGTGGTCATCATTATAATGTTAGAAACAACACAGCCAAGGCAAGCCATCCACAGACAGGTCTTTCGACCAAATTTCGCAGCCACCAAGCCTGCGGTAGCTGAGCTGACGAAAGCACCAAGGGTCATCAGCGACGTAATTAGTTGTTGCCGCACCGTCGAGATGTTCCAGCCGATTGATGTATTCGGAGCTGGATGCCCGTAGATCTGTCCAACTGCTGTTAGAATAGATACGTAACACTCAAGAATACCTAAGGTATAATGCTTGAGTTAACGAACCTTCAGGAAGCCTGGCATCGCCTGCATGCCTCCTATCAAACCAAAGTCAATGCCATATTGAAACGGCGAAAGGACCATGAGACCGCATGCCACAAAGCATCGCCAATGTGCGCGTATAGTGTCGTTGTCCTTGATCGTCATCTTTACTTTTTTAATGCGTCGTGCATTCTACAAGCTGAGACGATGTAAGCAGTCGTATTATTATTATTATTTTCAGAGATAAGAGCTACAACGTCCTATACCTACGCCAGACGAGGAGTCGTATTTACGTGTGTATTAGGATGGCAACCCTGCAAGTGCCGAAGGATCTATAGGATTCCCAAGGACGCCAAGAAGCGCTCATCTCGTTAGCTGGCCCGTTACCCCATAACCCCAGGTTTGGAGGATGGCTAGGGAGGGCCGGCAATATGGACAATCTAATGAGGTTCTCCACAGTCTCCAAGTCCCCAATAGAGCGCAACCTGTTGTTAATCTATAACTATTCAGGCTGTTGTGACACTCGATATTGCTACGAAAGCGTGAGCCCCCTAACTTTTCCCTGTAGATAATTGGGCGCTATTGATGGTAATAGTCCTACTACCTGCGGGGTTCTCGTCACCGCTGGGGTCTAGACGCAATGACTAAATTCCCCAGAAGATGGATTAAAAGTCTAAAGTCCGGGTTAACCAATATCTGTCGTTTGCTTAACGAGCTGGAATCGGATAGACCAATCCGGAACGAAGTTTCGTTTTTTACTTGGGAAATAGAAAAGGGTATTAAAAAGACTAGCAGTCTCTACTTAGGTGTATGCACCTATCTCGCAAAAATGCCGATGAAAGGAGGCGATGTCATTGATATAGATGAGCTTTTTGAGGTCTTGGAGGCGAGCTGTTTTGAACTTTTAAAGTGTAGACTTAAATAAGGGACCTGATACTGGATCCATCGAAAGGAGGCAATTTATTTTTCCCTATTCTTTAGAACATATTTTCCTAAGGAATCTCTCCTTGTTGACACAGCTATCCTTCTAAGAATAAATATTTTTTGGGCAGCTTCATCTACCTACTAAGATGAGTCACGCCCAATCTTTTTACCTGACTCTTCAATGTAAAGCACGTGGCAGCTTAGGTATCTTTTATGCCACAGGAAAGAATAAGATACCAAGTTACCTAGGTAATTTATCATTATCTGAGGCAGGTAACAAGTAGGCAAACTCCGTAGGAATGCATATGGTAACTGCCTAAGAAATATGATTAGAGGCTCCTAGATAAAGATGCGATGTTCAACTTGCTCGCAATACTTCTTGCCCAGTCACTGCTTTATATATCATAATAATTGGCAGGTACCTTGAGAGAGCGTAATGGGTAGATGCATTGTATAAACATAGCATGATTCACGATGATCAGAATTTTTTTTTAGAAATGCCAAATATCGCGATTCTCAACTTGTCTAGACGATATCTTCTACTACTAAAAACTATTTACAGAAATATAGGCACCTAATTCTCATCTTTGTCCCAGGATCCGGATATAATATAGCAACATCAACTCCTATGTTCGATAATATGGATGGTCACCAGCAACCAACTGAAAGGCCACTCAGTCAGGAGGACGCCTTGCTCTCCTGGCTTTGTAATAATGGTAAGTTAGATATTTTTTCTTCTCTTAATCTTCTAAATTTCATTAAAATGAATCGGCAAAGCAATATCTACCGATTTAAATAAAACTACGATTTTATCTGTTCTTGTATCGTCCGTACCCACGGCCTTTCGAATAAAATGATAATCAGGGTTGTGCTGGAGAATCTCTCGATGTTCCGATAAGGCTGGAGGGTATCATAAGTCTGAAGTATCCCGGTGTCCCTATTCAGGACAAAAGAATGGTTTGAGCTTGAGGGTATAGTTTGCAGGGAACGTCAAATTATATGCCTGTATTCTCGAATATTTATTTTCTAAATCATTATACTCTTAGGATTGAATATGACACTGATATGTACGAATCTATTATAGGAACTGCAGAAGATGATATCGTTGGTTCCGGTTACGTTGGCCCAAGTCCCATGGGAGCTACCTATGATGACCTTTTCAGTGTCCCCTTTCAGGGTACTTACTACCCTTATACTTACCATCCTGGTTTCGATGGTCTAGGCGCCAACGATCCTGGTATTGGATATTCTGATAGTACCCCTCCCAATGCATTCTATCATCGCCACGATCCTACGTACACACACGATCTTGGTTCTAACCACCTATATGGCGAGCCCACCTCATATACAGATCCTTCTACAGACTATCACCGCGGTGCTGGCTTTACAAGTGTCAGCCATGCCAATGATAATACCCCTATGGGAAGTGATTTCCATAATATCCTCGAAGACAGCTTAATTGATATGGATCATGTCGGTATTCGCTCCGAGGCAAACATTACGAACTCCCAACAGCGTCGGTTTAAATGCCAGTATTGCAACAAGTACAAAGGAAAGACACAGGGAAACTTAAATGAGCATGTAAAATATACCCATATCGGCAACTGCTGCATGTGGAAGGGCTGTGGTTTCCAGGGTACTGAGTCTGAAGTGCGTGAGCATCTACGCTCGCAGCATGCCATGAAGGTTCTTGTTCCTGAGACTATGAATGATGCCCTAGGGTCGTCCAGATACAAATGCAACTGGAAATTCAAGGACGAAGGAACGTGTAATAAGAGTTTTGTGAGCTTTGAGAGTGTTATTAGAGAGTTCTATTACCATAATCGTGACCTCTTCCTCAATGCTCAAGACCAAACTGAACAAGACACAAGCTTTGACTGACTTTAGGAGCGCAACTTGAAGATTGCATTAGCATACTGGAAAAGGATTTAGGTAGAGATGAAAATATCCATACTCTAGTGGTTCATAGGATGTGGCATTGTTGTTATTTTTCTTTTATACATCTTTGTATTTAAGGAGGTGACCTCCGAATAGCATCAAAAGCCCTAGCGTTAGGTTTGATAATTTACAAGCGTTTCCGTACATGAATAATTGACTTTAAGAATAGTAGTTTGCACTTAATTTTGTCTGAATGAATACTTTTCAGTAAGTGGCAAGACCTCGAAATGATTTATTATGAAGTGATACTACGCTTTGAGATAGAATAGGGGTAGTACAGTCTCAGCTGACAGCAGCTGACGACCACCTGCTACCATGTCAGATCAGTCAGATTTCGCAAGCCTATTTTTTTCTTTTCCTTACATTTATTTAACCAAACGCAATGTCCCCAATAACTGTGTCGGGCCAGCCAATATCCAACCTATTGACAGTAATTATTACTACATCGCCGACACCCTCTGCGCCATCTACAGAACTCATATCGGCCATCTTATCGTCGTTTCGCAGCTATTGTACAACATTGCTATTCTGCCGAGTGATAGTTGTTTTTGATACTTATGATCGTATTGCATCTCATGCAAGGTTAAAAAAAGGACAAGTTACTCCAGAAGGGGCCAAAACCTTTGATCTATATAAGCAAGAAGTCAGGGAGCTGATTCTGGGGGAATTCGTTCATGACGATAAGGAGCGAAGACTCGACTACGGCCAAGGTAAAGCTGAATTTGGTTATAGCGGCGTTGAGACAAACTTCGTCCCCTTTTCAATAGCTCACACAGTCGATAAACGAGTTATATTTATAGAGCCCTCGAAACGCTTGGGGTTTGGATTGGCTATACGATCCGCTTTGAGGTTGACCGAGACACCCTTTGCCTGGGTACAACAACATGACTGGCCACTGATCTCAGATGTTCCGATAGAACCACTACTCGATGTCATGTGGGCTACTGAAGATGATGAAAGCGCACCAGTCAAATACGTTTGTCTTCCATCCATACGCCTTCTTTCCTATGCGGACTCGGCCCATGTCGCACGATTTCCCGAGTTAAAGGGGCTTACTTCGTCTCTCAAGCGTGATTTCATAACGAAGTCCGGAGTAAACGTCCCTTTAACTCCAATGTTCTTCTGGCACGATAAACCGCATCTGGTATCCACTCAGCACTACCTGTCTCGCATCTTCCCAACAAGGCTTTCTATCCCCCGAGGCGCATTCATCGAGGATACCGTCGGACAGCGGGCTAGAAACCAGATGAAGCAAGGTGATTGGATTAAGTGGGCTACTTGGCTTTACTATCCCGAGGATGGGCAAAGATTGTGTTTGAGACACCTTCAGGGACGCACCTGGCAAGGCTCAGAAAAGGAGTTGGAAAAGAAAGCACTGTGGAGGGATCGGAACGCAAAGCAAAGCACCACTTTCGTTAATAACTAGATTATTCTGCACCTACGATATTCTAACGGCTATACTCGTCCTCAGAATTGGTTGCTCATATACACAGTTCATCAACTCTTCAATGGATGTTAGCAGAGAAAGAAAAGGGCAACGCTGAAAAAAGAATTAAAGAGACGTATAGCCAATGATCTTATTACACGTGTGACCAACCATATCTCATAATTTCATCCATTTTCTCGAACCATGCTTCGCTATATCACTCCTCGCGCTCGCATGTACGCGCTCAATCGATGGTCGGAAAGGGTCTACCTGGCTTAAAACATACGAATCTTGATAGTACGTTTCCTTATTCCTCGATCCTCTCCCGCCACTAGCCCCTAAATCCGTATTACTGCCTGCTCTGCTATGCGTTGTCCCATGAGTTAAACGATCTTCGTCATCTTCCATGTATCGCGTCTCCCTCGTGATATCTACTTCTTGCGTCACGAAGATCTTACCCCAATTTAAGTCCCTGAGCACAGGCCAGAAAATAGGGACACTTGCACAGATGCTCGCGGCGTCAACTTCTAAGACGGCTAGGACGATACTAATGGGACCATACCACGTCGGATCTCTTGTCGGGATTGTCGCTACTCTATGTTCGATAAGAGTCACTAGCCGCCAAATCGCAAAGACAAGCACGCTATAAATATGAGTAAGTGGTACTGTCTTTAGAGTGAGTGCATGAAACGAAAGACTTACAAGATGCCCATAGAAAGTAACGCGGCTAATCTCACACGCGTATTTGCTGTCGAACCCTCTTTAAAAAGTAATGGTAAGGGTATTAAAAGAACCATAATATCGAGAACCATGTTAATAGCGGCGTGGCTCTCAAATGTAGCAGCAAATGGTCTAGCATGTTGTGAACCGTATCCATAACAAGTTGAACCACTTCCTGTGGCCCAAAAGTCGTGAACCGGCACGCATGGGACCCAAGCTAAAAAGGAATATGCAAATCCCCAGAGCGCCGTAAAAACGACCAGCGCAATAATAAACCGGCGAACCAATACTCCTTGATCGAAAACGCGTAGGTACTGTAGTAAAAGAGCCTCTTTGATCAATGCTGTTGATGTTACGTATGCTGCGTTTGCGACGTAAAATGTTTTTAAGAAACCATTGGTCTGCCACGACTCAAGTTGTAAGAAGTGCTGGCCAAGTCCGTACGTAACTGCAAAGCATACTGCTATTGATCCAGCGCTTATCGTGAGCTTCCAGAGAGTAATATTGTTAACTAATGACCATTTACCAGGCGTGAAATGAGCGGTGCTTACTAGGTAAAGTCCTACGCATAAATCATCCCAGCCTGGGGCGTGAACAATCCTGAACCGTACGTACAGTCGAAGACAAACACATATCCACGATAGTATCTAATGTTTTAAATATGTGAGAACAAGGTCTATCTATTTAAGATTATCCGGCGCATAGCCGAATCGGCAAAGGCAATGCCTGCATAATAGGTGACATACCATACATGATATAACGATTCCCCAGATCGTTTCTGGCTTGTTGGATATTGGTTCCGGCTCATCGAAATTATCAGTCGAATAGCGGAATTCCGACATGATCTACTCTACGACAACGCGCGCTAGGAAAGCAAATGGCCGTGAAGTCTCTATGGACCGGAGCCTTACATCGAACATCGGAGGTGGGTTAAACGAAAGGGCAGCATCGAATCAGGAACAGGTAATAAATTTCTGAATATTTATAGAAAAGAGGGAAAATAAAATAAAGTACGAGTTAGCTGATGAAAATAATAGACGAGTAAAATGAATGAAATCCCAGGACACCGCGCTCGATGAAAGATAAAGTAAGACGGACGGCAGGAATTAGAAGGGATGATGAGAAGGGATGGTAACGAATGTTTGCTCCTACTTTTACGAGGTGCATATTGTATGTATACATATAACCCTGATTACCATTACCATTAAGTTACCTTGTAAAAGTGACAGGATGTGACAGGCGGTTGGATCCACTGCTCACTCGAATCCTTCGAATATAATTGTACCAAATTGGGAAGATTCTCAGGTCCTTCACAACGTCAGACGTGCTTACTTTATACCTAAAGTTATGCCGAAAGACGACAAAAAGAATTCACACATACCTACTACTTAACTAGTTAAACAATCCCTGGGCTTATTCAATCACATCTTATACGCGCCAATCTAGATACTTACTTTTATGTCCGGATCCCAATGGGATACGTGCGCAAGTTGAACCTCCCTTCCTTGCAAACGCTACCTCTAAGTCTCGAAGCTTGCAGTCCCGACGGCCTGCTTAAGCGGTCCAGTTGACTGTAATCGGTATTGATGCCTGCGCGTTGACGGCCTAGAGTTACATCGTTGCGACTTCTCGAACATGGAAGACAGGGCTATTAAGTGGCAAAGTGGGTACATGGTAAAGCAAAACGCGGCCTGTCCCCTATTGTAAGCTCAATTTTAGGATGCATCTTGCATGAGACACGTACCTAAAAATCAAGGAATATTCTTTTCGAGGAACCATGGAACCTCATCCGGTGCCGATCCCCGTGCCGGTCAGATCCCACGGCAGTGGTGAAATAGTGTAGGTTAGGTCCTGAGATTAAACACTATATCTTGCTATTCGGAAGCGGCTGACGATCCGCTCGTTTCGTAGGATCACGGTCCAACCATTGTTTCGTCCATAATCCACAAGTCACTCCACCCCCACTACACATGATTCTATGTAAGATGTAACTAAAATATGTATAGAACTTCATACTGGTGGGGCATCAGATCTTGTCATATTATATCGTCCAAGTACATCTCACCTACAATGTATTTCCGCAGTCTTACAAGTTAAACTATTTTATAACTAAAGATAATATCATAAGTGCTGCTTCAAGAAACAGTTAAGCATAAAGCCGATCTACATCGATCTTCCCACCTAGCAGGTAGCCCTATCGCGCTGACTACCCAGCTGAAAAATGAAAACAAAACAAATATGAACCATATGCTTCAAAAAATTAAACATCAAGATGTCTATACTGCGGCTAGGTATTAGCTTATTGTTGAGTTTTAACATACCACGTTCATGATTATACTCGGATTAGAACGACTAATAATTAACAGCTTGGTAGGCATAATTGATCCAAGTACGCATACCACTATATATCGTATTAGCTGAAGATTCATATTTACAAAGCACAACTAAATGTATGAACTTCTATTATATTTATATGGATCGGATCTAGACTTGCTACAATACCCTCCTTACACCTCCACTCTAATCTTCTGATCGTACTGATATAAGTACGCACTGGAGGGCGGCGTGTCCACTCAGGCAGGTTTAAGGCTCATCCACATCAATCATCATACAAATTAAAATTTTAACCAAAATAAAATAAAGTCGACATCGCTAAACCTTGCTAACAATGAAATCCACTGCGTCGGGGGCAAGATCGTGGTACTCATGGTGAGCGTCGGTTACAATTAATGTACCTTTACAAACCTCGTCGCCGTCGTGGCATAGGATTAGGGTCTTGCTCGCGTCGAAATTTCGGATTTTCCCTCCATCCTGTAGTAGCAACGGTTAATATCTGTATACTCTGGGTTGACTGAGGGGTATGGGTAGATTAACTATAGGAAAACTGATTGCGTTCTTTCATTTGTTGAGGAAGCATTACTTATTACTTCCTAACGCAATTTAAGAGACTTCAGAGGGTTACGCACCTGCGCTTTCTGGGTGTCGCCATAAGTCACCGCCGCGAAGATCCGATTCTTAACAGAAGTTGATGCAGATTCGATCGATCGATGAACAAGTGCAGCCCCTTGGCTATAACCCGAAACTACTAGTTTCGATGACGGACACTGAGTTGCCGCTTGCGTTATCAACGCTCGCATATTGTCAGCATCCTCAGGGTCACAACCCCCTGTTCTCAGATTGTCGATTAGCAGTGCTGGATAGTCGACCCCCTGAGCTGCTATAGCATTTGCACCCAATGCAGCTTTGAGTTGATCTATAGTTTGCGGACCTGGGTCGTCTCCCTGTTGCAATGTGCCAAATGGTTAACTAATAACTACGTCTAGTAGCTAAACTGGAAGAGCGACTTACAATATTACCATCTTGGGTGCTGCCACGAGCGTAGATGAATATGATATCCCGGCATCCGCCTTGAAGAAACTCATTCTCCGTAGTTCCAGCTGATTGTCGTTTTTGTGTAGTCGCTTTTATAGTTGCAGACCGGCGATCTTTAAGTTTCTGAATGGTACTTTCGGAATAATCTAACACTAAGGGACTAGCAACCGAAGAGGTCACCAGCGTGACAAAGAGAAGAGAAAGTGACAGCCTCATAGTTGGAACCTGGGGTTAAGTCTTAAGACTACAATCTAACTTATTCGGTATTTATAAGAGCAAAGCCCTTGGGATACCTTCTCTAGAGGATGCTTGCTGGAAAGACACATTCACAAAGGCAATTAAGATCAGGTGGGAAACTTCGTACATTATATACACCTCGAACAGCCGCAGAAGCCTCACTAAGAAACAGTATATCAATGTGAACTTACTTGAATCACATTAGTGACCTTCCTAGAAAGATGTATTGCTCCGAAGAGACACCTTGGAACAAGTTGCTAAAATGATTAGTTGATGGACACGTGCGTTATAGAGACAATAATAAGGTTTTTAAGTATGAAAATCCGGCTATTATTACTATCCTTAACATAGAAGGTAGTAGTGAAAACTATCACCGTGAGTGAGCTTACACATAGTACATCGGGGTAGGGCACACCTGAAAAGGGCGGAGCTGGAATGAACATGCGGGGATAATCAAGCCTGCCGAACTACCTCCACATATATCCCGCATCGTGCAGCTCGCAGATGATCCCAAAGGCCGACCGCGTGTGCGGCCAAACTACTAGCGTATATAGTAAATCAAGTAATACTGGGTTATAGAACAACTATATTGTCCTAGTATCTGGAAGATCGTTGGGGGAAAAGACGATAACCCCGCCTTCGGATGGTCACCCTGGTAGAATATTGGCGCTGGATATCTAGGTGAAATAATACCTATGTCTGATAGTACTATTCTTACATTGCTTGATCAACTCTAGGACTACGTTAGCGATTATAAACATTGCCGTGCGTTTAGCAAATATATAAATTCTTTACTTAATAATATAACCCCTCCCGCCCCCTCCTCCCCCCCTTGAGTACTGAATACCGAAGACCTCTAGCTCCCTATATGTACATGGATAGAAACTCCTATACCGTTCTATTATGTAATTCTTGTCCTTGTTTTCTGATAGATACCATATCGAGACCTCACCTAGTAGATGGGTATGGAATGGTAGATTGACGAATAATATAATTGATGGCGTCGAAAATCTAGGTTTTACGGAACCATTTGTGATTTTTTGTTGCGATACCTCTGGTTCGATTGCTGAGTGGCAGTGGGCGCCTCTCCTCCATCCGTATCTCCAGTATCTTCGCTGTCATTCTCGCCTTTGACCAAGTCGCTTGATAGATCACTATCGCGATCATCGCCTCCCAATGCAGTGCTTGGTTCATTTGATCTGAGAACTTCTCGAATGATCTTCTTACCCTCATCCATTTCTCCATTTGTTGCTCCGCAGGACATACATTTCCACCGGCCCAACTCCGATAATGACTGTGTTCCCGGAGGAGCTTGTCCGTTCACCAGGCGGCAATTTTTACATATTAATACGATTCGATTTTTGGGTGCCATCTCATCTTCACCAAGCATGAGGTCCATGATACGGTCATACCAGTGGTGTGAACCTGTATTAACTTCATAATGGGAATATGATGGAGGAAGCGGGCCAGCATTAGGGGCGAATTCTTCCATAGATTGCTGGTCTAGGTGTGGTGCGTGATGGTTGGGTATACGAGAAGAGCCCGGGCGAGACTCCGGAGCTCCTAGAATCGGAGGCTGAAGTGGTCTTTGAATGTTGGCGGTTGGCGGAGGGGGAATGTTGACTCTCGAGTTAGAAATATCGGAACCTTCACCTTGTCGTGGTTTCTTATTGCCCCCTTTTCTCTGCTCGCTGCTGAGGTTTTCGCCTTCTATCGTCTGTTTTCTAGGCTGGACACGCTTCTCTCCAGAACCTCCATACTTCTCTAGTAATTCTAGGGTGGAGTCGTATTTGGTAGCATCTTTCAGCTTTTGTATTGTACTGGCGCGTTCGGTTTGGTGGTCTTTGAGACGAGACTCAAGTGTGTCGATGCGAAAGCTGAAGTAGGCATTGGTGAAGGTCCTAACGAGATAAATGCTAATTTGTATGATTCATTGTAAGCAAGATGTTTGATATTAAACAAAGAACTGTCATGGTGACAACATACAACACGGGGCCGCCAGCCATTCCAGTCCATTCCCACGGACCTATGTTCTGCCACCCGACCACTAAGGTTAAGACAACAGCGTAAACGAGGTAAGCGAAAGCGAGATAGAGAGTCCAGAGAACTTTGATGCGACGGGAACGGGATCGCGCTCGGTCAAGTTGAGTTTGGGTGGTTGTGATCTTGTTAGATAGAGTCGAGAGGGTCTTCTCGAAAGAGGACGGGGAAGAGACATCGCCCTGCTCGTAAGAATAAATAGTTAGTTTTATTTCTTTAGTTATTCTTTAATATTAATAGATAAGAAGAATCATAGGCATGGAAGACGAAGAAATCGTCGGGTTGGGACGTTATTTTCCCCCCACTAACCTTCCAAGGCCAAAAAGACACCATGACTTAGAAATAAAGACGGGGTTTACCGTCGAGAGACCATGGCGTCCAGGCCAGTCGAGTAAGAAAGAATCGAGAATATAATAAATATAAAGAAATATAAGGCGACGGCCAGAAATGTGTGTTTAAGTTTAAAACTTAAGTATCTCTTATAGGAATCTTATAGGAACTGATATTAGGCAAGGAAAGTGTTGCGACCTGATGGCAGATGACAGATGTGACGACATTACAGGTGAACCGTGAAGCAATTAGGGAAAGTAACAAAGAATAAAATTCATTGGTCACTACTTGCATCTATGTCCACTAGAGCTATCGAGGTCGTACAGGCATCTATGTGCATGTCACTAGTTAAGTACATACATTATGTACCTAACAAGGTACACGTAACTTTAAGTGTACGTGTCTTTAGGTACTACGGATTACATATGTACGGCACCTATGTACATGTATGCAGTACCTAACACAAAGCAGGGTGTACCTAAGGTAATCCGTACACAGCTGAGCCTCGTTCAGTTCAGCCAACCAACGTTTGGTCGCAGTTTTGGAAACAAACTGGAAACACATCTTTACCTTTCTTTCCTTCTATATCCTTTTTTTTTTTAAAGGCGTCGTTGTGTTTAGTACCAATACCAGTACCAGTCCCAATACTAGTACCACTGTCCATGCTTCATTTCCATATCACTCTTTAAAGATTGTTTATTATCGCAAACGCGCATGGCTACAATCTCAAGTTGTACCCAATTGTCGCACTTATCGCCGGCGCTTTAAAAGAAGGCTGTTCGTCAAGCCACCATGTTTTCTGTACGTTACGTTTACTTGTTTAATACAATCTAATACCTAAATTTGAAGCGACGTGGCTTCTGACTATGTGATATATATCTGTATGTAGAGAATAAAAGGTGCTATTGACCGCAGCATCGCTGAAGAGCAAGCTCGTCAGAAAGCACTCACCGAGCAAAGATCTAATACCAGTTCCCCTTCCGCCCCTGGTCAACGCCCACGATCGGTTTCGAGAACAAATAGCACCAACTCTTCTGCTAGAAGGAAGATCAAGAAGCCGAGCCAAGATAATTCAAATGGTGACAGCGCTGCGAACACCGACCCCGCTGTTTTTGAGGCCGCCTTCGTACTTGACGACGATGATATCGAAAATGGCCCTACCCAGCCGGAGGTGCCAGAGAAGACGATAGGGGGGACTCCATCGGGTAATGAAAAGGATGAAAGCGCAACCGAACGAAATGGCGAGACAAAAGACCATATTGGCAATGGAGAAGATGATAATCCCAAAGCAAGCCTGCCTACTGCACCGGCAGAACTCCCACCACACGTAAGGAGCAAGCTTAGGAAACTCGAGAAGTTAGAAGCTACATATCCAGGTAAATCATAGTGCCCGATCTAGCGAATGATGGATTTTGCTAATCTTGTAGAACTGTTACGGTCGTATAGAATCGCACATGGACGGGCCACGTCTATCGAACCGTTTGAACGGGCCCTACGCGAGAATACGCCCTTGACTACCATCAAAGACCCAGCAGCCCTCGTCGAGTACCTTAACCAGTTAAACCTGAAGGGTGATATGGTTATGGAGGAGTTCAAGCGCGTTTCGGCCGAGAAGGATAGCTTTAAAAAGAAGTTTGAAGAAGCCGACAAGGAATTGGGCACCCTTAGAGACGAACTTGTCACTCTCAAAGCCGCCAAGGCCGAAGAGGCACCAATACGGACAGATAACCAGGCAGGAAGTACGCCAGAAGACAAAAGGGTTGCCGAGGATACGAAACAAGCTACGTCGCCTTCTGCGAGCAAATCGCCTGTATCATCTATCTTAGGTGTCTTTTCCCCAAGGCAAAAACCTGTAGCTATCGAGGAATCTAAGGATTTGAGCGAGGATATGTTTTCCTACGACGAGGAAATCCCTCAACTTCAAGCCGAGGTCGCGTCGAAGTCTGAGGAGATCGCTAAGCTTACGTCTGAGATCAGTAATCTAAAAGAAGAGCTAACAGTAGCTAAAGAGAATAGTGCTGGCTTGGTAGAAAGTCTCGAAAAGGCTACGCGGGAATTAAGTGATACTCGGGACGATGTTGCTACTCGGGAATCTATGCAGACACAACTGGACGCAAGGAATGCAGAGATTAGCGCACTAACCGAAAAGCTCGAGCAGACTCGATCGGCGTTGCGAAGCTTAGAAGTCAATCTCGAGGACGAAAAGTCGAAGGCAGCATCTACGATAAAGGAGAAGGATACGATTCTTCAGGCTTCTAATACTAAGAATACAGAGTCTGATGAGGGGCTCAAAAAGTTAAATGAAGCAAAATCCCAGTTAGAGATGAAAATCCGAGATCTAACTGGCGAAATTGACTCGCTGAAGAAGGCAAAAGCTGAAAGTGATGAGAAGATTGGGCAGCTAAACAAACAAATCCAATCTGCCGTCCAACCTCGTTCGCCTACACCAAACTCACTAGGAGTTGCTGCGCCTACGGCTGGCGGTTCAAAGAAGAAAAATAAGAAGAAGAAGAAAGGCGGTGCTTCCACCGACACCCCGGAAGTTGCTGCAAACGAAACATCAGATCCTGTTCAGCCATCCGTCCTCGAGAGTCCAGGGACAGAGGCTCTCGAAATTGAAGTTTCGAAGTTGAGAGATGAGATCTCCCAAAAGAATACCCAAATCGAGCGTTTATCGAAACAGAGGAAAACCGAGGAAGACCTCAAGGAGGAGATTGAAAACATGCAGGAAAGCCTGCTTAACATAGGACACGACCATGTTGAAGCTAAGGAGAGAATCAAGAGCCTGGAGTCTGAAAAAATAGAGCTGACGTCTCGAATCTCCGAGCTGGAGAAAGAGATTGCTGCGTTTACGTCTGACACTAAAGCGAGCTCCAAGTTACAGGCGGAATTTGATTCTATGAAAGCCGAATTTGACGAGTTGAGGATCAAATCCCAAACTCTGCAGTCAGATTTAGGTGCTGCTCAGCAACTAGCTCAAAGTCGCTACAAAGACCTCACGGACTTACGCGAAGTCCTAACTAAGGCCCAACCTGAGCTTAGAAGTTTACGCCAAGAATCTGCAGCGCTGAAAATAACCAAGGAAGAGTTAGCTTCTAAGCAGGGCGAGCTCCGTACTCTCGAAAAACGTGAGAAGGATCTTAAAAGTGAGGTTGCAAGAGCTCAGCGCCTAGCATCCGACCGTGAAACTGAAATCAAGCTGCTCAACGACAAATTGGCCGCTGAAAAGTCGTCCCGGGCTAAGCTTGAAGATGAGAAACGTGTCGCTGGTAGAGACTATCGCCGTGCAGAGGCCGAGAAGATAGAATTATCCGCAAAAGCCGAAAAGGCTGGTCGTGAGCTAGAGTCCCTTCAGTCGGAACTCTCTACACTCCGCCCGAAAGTAAAACAACTTGAAGACGAAATTACGAAGTTAAAGAAAGAGAAAGTTGCCACTCGAGAGGAAATGGAGCTGAAGGTACAACAGTTCAACAATGCTCAGGGCCTTCTTAGTTCTATGCGCGATCAAACAGCCGAGCTGTCGATCCAGCTTAAGGAAGCGCAAAGCCAGACGGAGAGTCTCGAAGAAGAATTGGCGGAAGTTCAGAAGCACCTCTCCGAGAGGACACGCGAGGGCGAAACAATGCGTCGGATGTTAGCTGACGTCGATGAGCGAGCGGACGCGAAAATACGAGACATGCGTGCCAGGATGGAGGCAGCTGTTGAGGAACGCGATCGTATCGAAGATGAATTATCCACCCTAGCTCGGCGTCGAGCGCGTGAGTCCGAAGAGCTGAAGGTCAAAGTGCGCGAGTTCGAACGCGAGATTCGAACACTTTCCGGCGAGAAAGATGAATTGGAAGCGAGAGAGAAAGAGTGGCGTCGCCGTCGTGAGGAGCTTGAGCAAATCGAAGAAAAATCTACAGCTGAGGTAGAGGATATGCGTGCAGCGGTTACTAATCTACGGTCTGCCTTGGATGCATCGGAACAGCAAGTGCGGGAGGCGGAAAAGCAGCGCGCAGATTTGCGTAAGCTTCTAGAAGAGGCGAGAGGTCGGTACGAGAAAGCGAACAAAGAGCTCAAGACCATTCAGGCCAGATTCAACATTGGTGGTACTGCGCCAAATGTCGCAAGCAGTGGAAGGTCCAGCATTGATTCCACCCGGAGCGGTGTTAACAGTGCTTCTGGTAGTACTAGTTCTACCGTCCCAGATACAATGTATCTCAAGACTATTCTACTACAATTCCTCGAGGTGAAAGACGAAAAGGTTCGATCACAGCTGGTACCAGTGTTGGGAAAACTTTTGCGATTTGATCGGTAAGTGATTTATATGCCCATAGATTCTGTCGTTTCCTTGCTAATAACCACTATAGCAATGATGAACAGAAGTGGATGGCAGCAGTTCAGCACTTGTCCAGACCAGGCAGATAGAGCAAATGGCCGACAAAGGGAAGACTGATGTGTATTATAGATGCTGCATAGCGCAGGAGTCCATTGAATTGTACGAAAACATATAAATATGTTTATTTATTTGACCTAATGTACCTAACTTATTCCGTTTGGATATACTCTATTAACGACTACGAGCGTAATCCAACCCCATCGTATCTTCAATGAAAGGCCAGCGGCATCATGACCTGCGTACCTAAGGTTCGGGAGGCATTCGACTCGGAGTAGCTATGTTATGGCTACCTAAGCCTCGACTTGTAGTTATTGACGAACCTAGTATTTAATGTATCAGACATACTTTACTGGCTGTCGATGTGGTTTAGGAGTTATCCCTTTTTTAACCCAGTAACGTTCGACATACTTGGGTCCTTTTGGATTAGCCACACGGTTCGATTAATGCGAACCTTTTCCAAGCAGATGCCGTTTGATTAGAAAAATAAGCTAGGATTTAATAATAATAACTCCGCTTTGTATAAACCTCTTAGTAGCATGGTCTTTGCGGCGGCGCTTCCGTTCTGACTCCTCGACTTCCTCGTTTAGGTCCTTAGGATATGAGGGATATACGAGAGGATCTCACCTGGAGCGAAGACATTATATGGAAAGTCTCACCCTTATAAAAGAATTTCGAGAATCGGAGCTAAACAATTTAACCGTCCCCAATCGTCAATCCATCGCATGCAGTAACACCAATGCTCTGGAGTCGCTAAATTCAGCCTAAAAAGAACCAGACCGTGGGGATTGGGGCTCTGCAGAATGTCACGCATAATACATAAAGTCAATATCACAAGATAGACTTAATAGACAAGATTTGTGTATCTTACAAAAAATTGGTTTTCACCACAGTCGAACATATTTGGAATCCATCCTCCGTTAGGACAAACTACACAATCGGCCAGCCGAGACGCGTTGCCGGCTAGACGAGATGCCAAGCTCCCCTATATAACCAATGAAGGCTAGCAACTCGGCCATCATATGTATATGAGGATCGAATCAACTTGGCATCATAACCATTACCACTCATAGAACATAGAACTGAACTTGAATCCTCGGCGGCGGGATATGTATCGGCGAAGTCTTCCTCGATTCCGCCTTGGCAGGCCAGGTTAGCTGAGTTGGGACCTGGGTATAGTACTTGCGATTGGTGTAGGGACTGGAAGAGGTTAAAGCTGGTGTGTGCGCTAAGCCGCTATTCTGATATGGTATGCACGCCGAGCGGATGAGTCCAACGACTTGAGTCTTGAAAACGGCGGCTTGGCGTCAGCAGAATGGGCTAGATTCGAGATAGCCCGCGGGATGCTCGTTCTAGCTCACGGCCCATGACCCATGAAGGAGGAAACGAACCAAAGGAAACCCCCCGGATTTTGCTGTATGCGAGTTGGGGTAGGTCCCTGTCTTTTTACCCCGGAATCTCGATTCCCATATGGGGTTTAAGAGGAAAACGTGCTAGAAAACTAACCTGGTTGTGTATTTGTTTCTCCCCAACTACGGTGCTGCCATGGCGGAGCAGAAATATATTACCCGACGGCGCAGCTGGTTCTCCTAGTATTATTATAAGGTTAAGACGGTAGAAGAGGCAGCGGGAAACGACTCAAAAGGACAAGGGAGCCCACCAGTTGCATAGTAATCTCTTTCATAGAGTTAACACCGTCTTAATTAGCATCCTAACCCTCATCTTTACCAACTGAACTTTCTATAGAAATGGGTGGCGCGGGCAATGCTGGGTCGGGTAGTGAGGCTGATCCTATCATCACTCGTCTCGCAAACGAGGATAAGGTCAGATGGTACCGAAAGCCGAATCTACGATATCTCTATTTTCTATTATTTCCAACATGTATGGGTATCGAGTTGACCTCTGGCTTTGACTCGCAAATGATCAACGCATTGCAGATTGTACCGTCATGGATTACATGTAAGTCCGCTATGTATAAGGTCATCCCCCCCCCCCTAATAAAGGTTCTCTTGCTAACAAGGACAATGAAGACTTTGGCGATCCTCAGGGAGCTCTTAAGGGCATCATCGCCGCCGCATATTCACTCGGTGCTATTCTTTCACTGCCATTCATCGGTATCGTAAACGACAAATTCGGTCGTCGTTGGTCTATTATTGGTGGGTCTGTCATCATGGTAATTGGTGCTCTGATTCAGGGTTTCTCTGTCAACGGTAAGGGACTCATTATTAATACCAAAGGATGATTAATCTAATGAGCGCAATAGCTGGAATGTACGTAGTGGCTCGGTTGATAATAGGATTCGGCATACCGACATGTATTGTTTCTGCTTCATCACTGATCGGAGAGTTGGCGTATCCGAAAGAACGTCCGGTCCTGACTTCGCTTTTTAACGTGGCCTACTTTGTCGGCCAAATAACTGCTGCGGCTATCTGTTTCGGAACTAACAGCATCGAAAGCAACATGGCATGGAAGATCCCCTCTTGGCTTCAGATGTGTCCATCCTTGGTGCAGATCGCTTTCGTCCTGTAAGTCCTGGCACGCTTGTTTACCCTTTCAGCAAGTATAGATAATCTGATATTATTCAAAGCTTTCTACCTGAATCGCCAAGGTGGTTAGTTCAGCAAGACCGCACAGAAGAGGCCTTTGATGTCTTGGCTACATATCACGGCGAGGGTAACAGAGAGTCTGAATTCGTAAAGGCCGAATTTGCTCAGATTCAGGCAACAATTAACATAGAGCTTGAACACTCTAAACGGTCGTGGGCTGACCTGGCTGCTACGGCTGGTATGCGTCGCCGGATGCTGATTAGCGGTGTATGTCAAATTTTATTATTTCTTCTTCTTCCTCAAGTCGCCTCTGCCTACATGTCATGACCGAGAGCCTATTCCACCTCAGAGGCTGATATGGCGACTCTGTTATACGTATCTTCTCAAGACGTCTGCTAATTATACTTAAGATGCTCGGTCTATTCACACAATGGTCCGGTAATACTCTCATCTCGTACTATCTTGGCGATCTCCTCGCTATGATTGGCAAGAGTGACTCGGTCTTTAAACAACAAATCAACGTAGCCAGTGCATGCTGGCAACTGGTCTGCGGAACGTGTGTTGCGTTCCTTGTCACCAAGTTCAAGAGACGTCAAATGTACCTTGCTTGCACCATCTCGCTACTGTTCGTTTATATTTCTTGGACCATCAGTATGGAGAGGGCTATCACAGGGAAGGAATCGGGACACCCTAATAATGCAGCGAATGCGGCTACGATTTTCTGGATATTTGCATATTCCCCCTGTTATAACATTGGATATAATGCCTTGACTTATAGTGAGCATATACTCCTTGGCGACTCACTTTTCAGCGTTTACTAACCTCTATGTAGCTTACCTGGTTGAGCTCTGGCCATTTGCTGAACGTTCCCGCGGTATCGCATTCTTCCAGCTCTTCGGCCGCTTGGCTAGCTTTTTCACCACCTTCGTCAATCCTATCGGCCTTAAGAACGTTAGCTGGCGGTACTTAATATCTTACTGCTGCTTCCTATCATTCGAGATAGGGTTTGTTTATTTTATATTCCCTGAAACCTTCGGCAGAACACTAGAGGAGTTGGCCTTCTGTAAGTTGACATCGTACGAGAACTAAATGTATAAGCTTTAAACTAACCTCTCAACTCTCGGTAGTATTCGAGGATAAGGCTTTAGCTGACGAAGCTGTCCACGCTGTGGAGAAAGTAGTCGCTCACCACGAAGAGCCCATTATCGGTAAGGGGACGTCGGGTGGAAATGTTGCAGCCTCTGCAGTTACGAAAGAAGAAGTATAAGTATTGCATCTTTAATATTCTAACTACTAAATATATCATAGCCTTGCATGATAAAAAGTGCCGGCTATGGTCATTCTATAATAAAAATGTAAGCAGATCTTAGTTGAAGATAGTGCTCAGGAGACATACGTGAGCTTCATATTACGCAGATACCCCTCATGTCGAATTTAAAAATTACCTCGTAGTGTTAGACATGCCTTATCTTTTGGCAGCTGAAGTCTTACCCCAAACCTGGCTCACTTCCCCGTCTTCATCCCCTGCATACCCCCACAGCACCCCCCAATCCGAGACTGATGATAACCAATACATTCTCTTCGGAAAGGTTTGTTCTAAGTGTAGTCCCTCTTCATTGGTTTCTCGTGATAAGCTATGGTGGGAACTATGCAACTATAGTATGTTAGAAGAGGTACAGGATCCATCTAGGGTAGCACTAATCAACTTAAATATATTTACCTATGTATACAACTATCCTTCCTAGCTTGAATAACGTTGCAGCGTTGATAAGCACATAGGTTAGGTAAGTATTTAAATAAAAGTGAGCGTTTACTACATGTAGGATTTCTGTTTTCTTATCAGAGACGACATACTCTCTTGAATATTATACCCATCTAAGAGGGTCATAAATATGTCCTTCATTAAACTTATACAGGCAGCAATCGGTACTGGTCCTCTTGACAACCCTCCAGGAAGTCGACCGCCCGGCACTACTCTTCGGGATGACCAAGAGCTTAATAGGGAGGCCAATACGGAGAAAACTGGCATCGATACCGGGAAGCAGGTAATTCCTGATGTTTCTGTCGAAACGGGAACGGCGGCTATCGAGGTGGTCCAGGCTATTTGGGGTAAGAGAGGTCGGTTGATCGTCATCATCGGGTAGGTTTTGCCTTGAGGATTTGAGATGTATTGATGATGAGGCACCTGGGATGATATAGCTAATATCCTTAGTTTATGTTTAATCATGATTGTATAGTAAGAAATCTCGAGAAGTTCATACGGATTTGAGACTCCCAATTAACATCTAGTCGGTATAGCGAGATCGACAATAGCACTGTCTATATTTACCGCAACTATGCCTCGTCAGAGTTTGGGGAGTTATCCAAACTTGCTACCTTAAGTACAGCTGGGACGATCATATTTGCTGTTGCGAAACCACCTATTGCCAAGTTGTCAAATGTCATCGGCCGTGGTGGGACATACCTCATCGCCATCAGTTTCTATATCTTGGCCTACATTATCATGGCTTCAGCTAAAACCTTCAATGCCTATGCCGCAGGCTCTATCTTTTATTCACTCGGCCAATCCTCGACAAATCTAATGAACGATATCGTGATTGCAGATTTGACGACAGCCCGGTATCGAGCCTTCGGCATTGCCCTCTCATTTTGGCCTTTCCTGGTTACACCCTGGGTTGCCGCTTTTATTATCAATAGTGTAACCGCACCTACAGGTATTGGCTGGCGTTGGGGGATAGGTATGCTTGCTATTATCATGCCGTTCTGTGCAAGCTTCATTATTACCACATTACTGTATTACCAGATCCGAGCACAGAAAGAGGGGCTTGTACTCAGGGAAAAGATTTCCTTATACGAGTTCTGTTCGCAAATCGACCTTGGCGGTGTGATCTTGTTTAGCGGTGGTCTAGCCCTCTTGCTCATTCCGATGACTCTAGCTGCCACAACTCCATCGAGTTGGAAGGCTCCATGGGTTGATGCGCTGATTGTACTTGGCACGGTGTTACTTATTGCGCTCCCTTTTTATGAACGGTATTTCGCTGAACACCCCGTGGTGCCTCCTCGCTATTTTACCAGTCGTACAATAACCCTATGCTGTATACTTATCGCGATGGACAACATTGGCTTTTCTGCAACGCGTAAGATATCCTTGGAACATCTCCCTACCGATGTAGCACTATCTTGGTTACATGAACCGTGATAATCTGTATCCTAAAGTCTTATAATGCTGGAACCTCACATAGGAATAAGCTAACGTTGGGCAACAGATACGTACATATACGCCTGGGTTACCGTGGCACGAGGCCTTGATGCCCGTGATGCTACATTTTTCACCTGTAAGACTGAACTACGTTCTCCCTTTAATATGGAGGTACTTAGATTTCACCTCTGAACGCTAACTGCCGCAAGATACCAACGGAGTAACCCAATGCCTAATTGCAATCGTTGCAGGGTTGGCAATAGCTAAGACTAAACGCTATAAATGGGTTTGCGTACTCGGTGCTACCGTACGTTTAATAGGTTATGGGGTTATGCTCCGCCTTCGAGGTTCCGATAATAGTATTGCGGAAATATTTATTGTACAGCTTATCCAGGGAATTGGCAGCGGAATGGTCGGCTCAACTCTACTCATCCCAGCCCAGGTTGTTGTATCCCACGCTGAAATGCCGCAAATCACTGCGTTGGTTGTCTGCTTCGCCTTCGTCGGGAGTAGCGTAGGTTCCTGCATCGCTGGTGGTATATACACAGGTATGATACAGACTGAATTATCAATGGCCCTAGGCGACCTATCGACGACGGACACCGTATCTGCATTGGCAAATTCGATTACAGCCGTTCTTCCCGAATGGGGTTCACCCGAACGAACTGCTGTTAATATTGTAGTGAGTAGTTTAATGCCTAGCATTACTTATGACATCCTGCTCATTTCGCGACAGTTTACGGAGGTAATGAAATACATAACATACGCAGCCGTAGGGCCCTCTGCGATTGCCTTAATCGGATCACTGTTTATGCCCAACTATGAATTACCGTAAGTATCATAATGGCTTACTCTGCGTACCTGGGGTGTACCTAAGTCATGGTTGTTAATGAATTACTAGCGATAAAAACAATCTTGTCGAGTGAAGAATGACAAGGACGAAGCTCTAATATTCCGATACTTTATATAGGCAACCGCCGATCCATCCTACTTATATTCCACGACGGGCTAGGTATTCGAGTTATTGAAGTAAATATAGTAAAGGATACCTTGGTAGTTTAAAATCAATTATAATTGTGTTCTATAGGCTATAAAAGGGATCGTAAATCATACTTCTTGATAACTATGAGGTTAATCTAGGCTGAAAACCCCAATTGACTTGGGACAACTTGCGAGAAGCTGATGATAATTCATCAACATGATTAGGATATGTATCTTGAAATGGATAATAATCAGGCTCGCAAGTAGTTTCTGGTTTTGGAAGTGTGCCGTTCTGGAAGTAGGCATGGATATAATTAGCGGTGCAAGTTGAAGCGGCAGAAAGGCTAGTGTGCTGCACAGGGGGTTATGTTAGCTTATAAGGATCTATATAGAAGTCGGAAGATACGATCACTTACGCCGTAGGAATTCTGGACTAGGACGACAGAGCCTGGGAAACCTTGCGAGTTGTTTCTTGCACTGATGAGCGGAGATATGTTATCGGCCATGTTGGCTACATAGAGGATTGGATGACTTGTGTTGCCTTCGAATGGACCTTCAAACCTCCAATGTGGCCTAATAGTCCTGCCTATACAAGCTAATCTAAAGAGAGCATTGACATCGCCAGCAGCAGAGCTAATACGCATAAGCTTTTCGACAAACTCTACAAATTCTGATACTGTGTCAGAAATAGGAGGCGAGTCTGCGCAAAGAATCGCGGGAAAGGCGTTATCGTTTCCTTCCTCTAATCTTGGTACGTTGGGTGGTATTGCTTCTATCGAGCATATCGGTGACGTCGGGTTCTCCGACTTAACTAATTGGTAGAAAGGCTCGCCGTCACCACCTTCCAGGGCCCTCAAGACTTTGGCGAACTTTTTGAACATGAAGATAGGCCGGTAAAGAGAAGCCGAGATCAATCGTTTGAGGTGGGACCAAGTGATTAGCTGCGGCATATCAGGCCCTGATTCAGAGGCTGGCACAATTATGGGATGCTCTCTGATCCGCTCAAGAAGGCTGGCCAGTCTTCTCTCTATGGCAGTCGGACTTGACGCGTAGAAGTCACAACTAGAAGGGCCAGCTTCGTAGCAGAAGTTGTAGAAAGCTTCCATAACTTTATCAGTATCGTGCAGAAAGTTGATATATGAGTTTAAGTGCCATTCCCGGTAATCTACATTACCTAAAAAACATTCTCGTTAATACTTATTAGCCAGGTATTGCCGTAAGGCCAATCTTACCGTCGCTAACGAGCCTTTCGACCTTGTCAGGATACATCGCGGCGAATACCTAGACAAATTATTAGAGGTTAGTATGGTGACGTTGTGAATTGCCTATATAGAGAAGCGACCCTATTTGAGGATCTCCTCGTCGATACAAGCACAATAAATGATATACTCAGTCTCAGGGGATGCTTACGCCGCCTAGTATCGTCCCATAGCTAAAGCCCCAGTATTTGAGCTTGTCCTGCCCGGTCTGATGGAGAATTTCAAGTAAATCTCTAGCATGCGATGCAGTACTTATGTGCGAAAGAAGACCAGAGCCGTTCATATTTCTCTCACAAGCCTGTGAAAAGGCGGTTGCTCGTGCAAATGCGTCGTATATGACTCCCGGATGGGAATTTACTACGCCAACATCTTGCAATGCCCAGATGCGACTCTTCTCTTGAGATCCCCAACAGTCAATCCGCGGAAGCGATGCGCCGATACCCCTTGGATCAAAGGATATGATATCGTAGTTCTTACCAGCAATAGCCTGTAGAAGTGCGCCACGATCTTTAAGTGCATAAACCCCGGATCCTCCAGGACCTCCGGGATTAAAAAATAAGGGACCCTTATAGTCGTCAAGTTCAACAGCTCTGAGGCGTATGACGGCTAAAATGACCCGTGCCTGGGCATCCTCAGATGGACTGAGCCAGTCCATCGGCACATCGAGTCTTGCGCAGTCATAAGTGTCATTGTAGCAACGCTGCCACTGTAAAGTTCTACTGGGTTCGATATCGCTCCAATCCCAATCGGTGGAAGATACTTGTAATGTATCTTGAGATTTTAATTTCGTAAAAAGATGGATTATCGTTTTCATGCGTTCCCCGTCTACTTGGCAGAGCAGGAGGATTAGCAAGAAGAGGCTAATGAAGACATTGAGCACCAATTTCCAAGCCTGTGGTCGCGATACTCCTCGTGATACCGCTAACGACCCGTCTGGTGAGAACGGGATATGGCCCTTAGCGTGTAACGCGTAATGCTGCGTCATTCTGATGGACAGCCTTGGGTATTTATTAAAAACATCATTAGAACTAAGGAGAGGCAGCCGAGATATAGACAGGTAGGAAGATATCTAGGTTAAATGCCTAACCTAGCCGCGGTTGCTTTCCGGGGGGGAGGGGAGAGGAGGGGACGGGGGGTTCCTTATCTTTGAAAGGGAGAGACTTTGAAATGGATGGACCCTTTCGATACTTATCAGATCAACGTTGACTGCATCATGTATAATTGAATACATACCTAATATTATTAGCTGCATATTCTATTATGCGATTACAAATGGAGGGGCATTGCTACCCCTTTTTTACTAATTACGGTTCTTGACTAAATAAGTTGTAACAATTCTGACACGGATATGTTAGGTACCTCCTATATGAACGCTCCGAATAAATATACACGCGTAGGTATCAACTATTAACCTTTATTTCGCGATTGCCGTTTCGACTTTTGCCTTGAGAGACTATCCGAGACAATCTCCGACTCGACAACAAACCCGCCTTTTCTCCTAAGAGGATCTACCTGATTCAAGATAAAATCGTCCATGTAATGTTGAGTTCTCTTTTCCACGGGGGCTATTTCGGCCAACCGGCTCTGACTCGACTCGCTTCCTGCTCTACTAGGACACCTTTTCCATTTATTCTCGCGATCTTCGCTTGCTGTACGCTGAAGTTCGATGTTATCTGCAACATCACCAGAGAATCTGTTCGAACGACGGTGAAGCGTAATTGTAACCTCTCTGGTGACAAATATCTCATCAAGTCGGGCCTTTAAAGAAGGCCAGAAAATAGGTACCGAGGCGCAGATACTTGCTACGTTAACCTCCAACGCCCCAAGTACGATGCTAATCGGACTGTACCAGGTCGGATCGAAAGTCGGGCTGGTTGTTGCTCTATGTTTAACGAGTGTCGCAAGCCGCCACATTGTAAGCCCATTCACGCTATCGTAAGATTAGCATTGAGTTAAGCATTGATTTACGCATCGCTTAACCATGTTTTCACATACATTGCCCCCATGATTATCAATCCAATCAATCCAAGTTTAGTCCTTCGAACAGTGCCTGGTCGGAAGTATAGTGGCACTGGGATCGCAAACACGATCATATCCAGTATCGTATTAACCGAAGTATGCGTTATATATGTTTTGAAAACCTCGTTGGCGTTTGTAGAACCGAATCCATAACATTTCGCTCCAATTCCCATTTTCCAATATCCGCTGACTGGGAAACAGGGTACCCAACCCATAAAGGAGTACACCGCACCCCAGATGCTAACAACGATTAACATTATAATGCATGTTATACGGAGGCTGCCGCTATGGTAAACGCGTAGGTATTGAAATAGGAGAGACATCTTGATCAGGGTCGCCGACATGTTATAAGACGCATTCGTTACGTAGAATATCTAGAACACCCGTTAAGTTAACTTTTATACTACATCTCGTAATTATTTATACGATCAACAATATACCTTTAGGTACGATTGCATATCATCGTAGTCAAGGGTTACGAAATGTTGACCCAACCCATACTGGGGAGCTGAAAAAAGGTCAGCGCCTTTCGAAACCGCAGTACTCATTGATCCCTACTCACCCAGACAGATCGTTATCCCGCCGATTAATCCTGAAACCTTTTTTATACAGTGTTAGCTATTCTCTTAGCCACTAGTAGTACTGCCTTACAAGATATAGCAAGATAAAGTAGTCATCCCAGCCTTTAGCTCGCAGCACAAAGAATCGTATGTAAAGACGGTAGACTACGCAGATAGAAGAGATGCACTAGTAAATAATGTCAGAAGGGTTTTCATATCGGTTTTATTAACTACACTTACAAACATAGAGGCCGCAACAGTCGCAATAACTCCTGGGCGATTCCATGACGGTATAGGTTCATCGAGGTTGTTGTAGATCCCTATATTATCTAGCAGCGTCTCCCCTTCTGCCATGATTGGTATGTCGCTTTTCTCAGATGAGCGTTTGAATGTTAGACATTATGTATGCCTAGTAAATCATTCCAAACGTCTGGCTTCGTCGTATGTTTTTGGCCCGGATTTGGTTCCCTGTCGGTTTACCACAATAAATTCAAGTCTTTAATCATCGTTCATTTTGATGCGTTATGGAAACTGAAGATCAATGTAACATTCGTCGCGTGGTGGGTTACAGCGAATCTTTATGAGATGTTAGCTTTAGCTTTACCTCTGTTACCTTCACCTAATCTTTATTAACTACATAGGTAGGTAGATAGGTAGCGATTGATAGACCATGATTAGTGGCCTTAGTAGGTCGCCTCACAGCCAGTAGAATAGCCTTCAATCAAGAATAATTTCTTTCCTTCTGTCATTCGCTTGGCTTATAGGGGCAATAAGGCTGGAGAAATCCACTTAGCTGGGCTACTAAAGTCACTGGTGCGGCAAGGCTAGCAACTCGCTTGGGCTTTGCAAACATTTAGCACCATGCTAGAGGAAATACTAGACTGCGCTATGCTGAATGGGAGGCAAACCAACCTTTTTGAGGCAGAGAATTCGAAATCAGCTCATTCTAACAGCGCTAGTGAATTATGTCGTACGAGCTGAAACGAATGTAGTTACGATTAAACGTTGATAATGGAAATACATTAGGTAGTTTCCCTCCAGAGGTAGGATAACTATATGAACCAATAATATGTTTAACAATCTTGAAAGAATAACTATAACGGTAGCTATTACAACAGTAATACGTGTCTTAAGTTTAAATTCAGCAAGAAAACGTCCTGATCTTGAGATTTGACGTTTCTACTACTCTTTTCCCAGCCCGTTTAATCGTTACCCAGTTCTGTTAGATTTTGAGACATTATCATCATTTTCAGCCTAGATGCGGTTGTTTCATATATAATATATACTCTACGCCTTTGCAAATTAATTTAATGGTAATTGTAGGTTGCTGTCACGGTCAGGAGTCAGGCATCTTGATCTTTCATGTATATAAGTTCTTGCAGCAAGCTTTAGGCTCCTGATGTTCTGGGTTCCCTAGAACATTACTTATATAAACCTATTACCTGGCGGCTACAATCTTAAGATGCCCTTATCGCCCTTAGCACAAATTGTATTAAACCCTTCTCCCCTTTAAACATCAACTAGTGTAGTAATTAGCAATGTCGTCGTTTGATTTGGATAATTAATACACGCTTCTTGATTGGCAGTGCCTTTAAACCAGAAAGAAAAGGGCAGCCAAGTAAGTTTAAATACGATTAATCTACTTCAACATTTTCCTACCTAGTAGGTATACATAAGACAATCGGCAAGATACCATTCTATAAAGTTAGTGATATTGAATTATATCCCTATCTGCACGAACTGTTGGCACTTGACTATTGGCAGTTGTTTATGGGTACTCTAGCGGTAAGCTATTATTATACCTAAAAACATTATCTGGGTCCCATTCTTTCTTTAAGGACACAAGGCGAGGAAGCTTTTCTTTGCCGTAGATCTGTTCAACTGTTTCGTCTCCATGAGCATAACTCACGTATACAGAAAGGTCATCGAACCCCGATGTTTTGCTAAAATCTCGCCGAAGTTCACGAGCAAGAATATTTGCGGCTTCTTCGACGGAACTACCTAGTTCTGACCAGCTCATTTGAAACATGCTATATTAGTAATTAGGGTGTTAGCTTAGGAAATAGACGTCTCAAATCTTACCATAGGTAGATAATACAGTAACTCTAAAGACACAGTACAGATCGACTAAAGAAACAGCACATCCACTTTCACGTGAGATGCGCCAACCGTGCACCCGACCATACATTTGATACATAAATACTTAGGTAGATATTGACATATTTATAATATTTAATATATATTAATTTACATAACTTTCCCAAATTCGGTCCAAATCACGTGCAACTAGGCTTATTATTTTTCTAATTTTTTACTTTAAATATAATATATTTTTAATAAATATTTTATTAATATTTCGTAATGTTATAATAATAAATAAAATAAATAAAATAAATAAAATAAATAAAATAAATAAAATAAATAAAATAAATAAAATAAAATAATACGTAATATAATTAATATTATTTATTTATTTATATTTATTTTTAATTATTTTTATTTTTTATTATATAATATAAATATAAATAAAATTAATAAATTATTTTAAATTTAAAATAATATAATAATAAAATTTTATTAATTTATACGTTTATTAATTATTTACGTAATATTTATTAATTATTTTATTAATTATTTTATTAATTTTTTATAATAATTTTTTAATTTATTTACTAATAAATTTTATTTTAAATAAATATATTAAATTTATATAAAATTTATATAATTTTATATATTTTACGTATTATTTTTTATTATTTTATTTATATTTTATTTTATTTTTATTTATATATTTATTAATATTTTTAAAAAGATAATATTTAAAAATTATAGAAATTTCATTTGGTTACAATGCAAGTGGGGTATATGCATGGGGTTGGGTACAGTTTCAAATGGCCGTGCATGGTGGCTTGTGGTGGCTTGTAGTGGCTTTCATCACGTGCAAAGTGGATGTGCTGTTTCTTTAGTCGATCTGTACTGTGTCTTTAGAGTTACTGTAGATAATATGAACAAGACACGTACAAGTTTCCTTTTGCATTTCTCCAAGGATAAGCCGTTGCATCAGCCGACACAGAGCTGACAGCGTGAGTAGAAAAAGTTTCTAGTACACCAACACTGGATCTTCCATCTGGATACGCCCTATAAAAGGCGTCGAATTTGTCGCAGGCAGAGTTCAGTGTGCTTAATTCAAACTTACGGACATTGGCCGAATATATATCGTGAATCCCTCCTGGGGTACTGACTGCAGGAATCCAGCCAAAGAGTATAGTGGGAAACAATTCAGTATATGGAACGACGCTTACGCGGACGACGGGGGGATCTAATTCGAAGAATGGCGCAAGAATCTGACGACCTCGGTGTTCGGTACCGCTATACACGAAGGTGCCTATAATTTGAGTCTTCATATACTATTAGCACCATCCATATAAACGAGCAGAACGGGGATATTTCTAGATTGCCTACTTCACCGGCGACAGCATCCCAACGAATAGTGCTGATAATGGCCAACTCCTGCGGCATTTCGTTTTCAAACGCCTGTAAAGCTTTGAAGTAGGCTGACTTCATATTGAGAGGGTAAACCATATCAGCAGTCATGATTTTTCCATCATTGACAGCTTTATTTAGCTTATAGGTGGCGGAAGTGATAATACCAAAGTTAAATCCTGCACCGCGAATAGCCCAAAATAAATCTGGGTTTGAACTGGTTGACGCTTCAACGAGATCTCCGTTGGCCGTAATGAGTCTCACGGATAGGAGAGAATCGATTATCAAACCAAAGAGGCCTTGGAGGACTCCTACGCCACCGCCAAGCGTTGCACCAATTAGGCCGACGTTAGGACAAGAACCAACGGCTGCGATTTGTTAATATGCTATTATCAACTGGCGGAATCCCCAAAACTTACGGAGCTCATATCCGACTTCATAAACGGGGCGCATAGCATCGCCAATTCGAACCCCAGCGCCGACTGTCACGGTACCAGCAGCTTTGTCAACCTTGATCGCGTTCAATTGGCTAAGATCAATAGCTAGTCCACCTTGTAGGTTTCCTAGTGTAGTACCATAGCCGTGACGACCTCCTGTAGCTAGAAAAGGGATATTTGCAGCTCTTGCAACCTTGACCTAAAGTGAATCAGCCACCGTGATACTTTAGCGAATTATTAAATACTTACAATATCCGCTATTGCTTCCTCATTCATCGGAGTAATGGCCGCTGCGAACCTGGGGGCTTTATATGTAGACCATCGCAGCGTTGCGGCTTCAAATGCTTCTGATCCTGAGTAGTGAATTATGGTCCCGTTAGGCCACTGAATTTCTCTGCTTAAGGATGGCCACTCCATTTTATAAATAATCCTAGGTACCTATATAGTAGCTTAGGTGTCCATAATAGTATTAACAATTTCAGAAAGCAACAGTGCGTTGAGTTGTTAAATACTATCCATATCTCTCCAAGAATTTCAGAAGAGAAGACGCTTTTGCACCAGGGGCGTTGGGGGTTATATAATCGATTAGAATCCAGCGCAGGATTATGTACAAACAAGGATTACTCAGTGCTTAATCTTCACCGCATCTTATACGCCCCAGGCCAATACTAATCCTCCCCAGTGTTAGAGAAGTACATTAAGATATCTTAATTATATACGATCATTAACTCCTATTAACCACTTATATCCGAACTGCTGTAGTATAAGCCACATCTAAGCACCAGTTATTCAAGGATTAAAGCTTCAGCTCTATACGTCGTAGTTTCTGGCCAATTTACTTTAAGAGCACCACGTTCTAGAATGGATAGGGCGGGCAGACAGCTTGAGGCTTGCACTATGAGTGCATCTAATGAATGCAATGTTTCAACCACGATATTTAACTGGCTATTAGGTAAGTACGACATTTAATTAAGTAAAGATCTGCCTTCTTTTCGTAAAGAATAGCCAATACAGCTCAATTTTATTTGTTGGCATAGATCTTGCTTCCAAGTTATACCAATGTGCTGGCCGCCTGGCCGCCTGTTAAACCTACTATACACCATCTCCGAACGTGTATACATTTAACCAACGCTATGAAGCATATTAGCAAAACACTCTATTTCGAAAGATCCCCATACACACCTTATCGTACGGCCGAGAAGAGTCGACAAATCTCAGATCCGTACCAAGACGAATAATGTTCTTCGGGTCCTTATTAATTGTCGAGGCGTGAATCTTTAACAATGGTTAGTTGGAATATTTGTTGTGCCTCCACTCTATTGTCTTACCGTGTACGGTGTATGAAGAACAACGTCTCCAGCCTCGTAGTTCGCAGCAAGCCATTTTCGTCTATGCGCCTCAGAAAACTCCTTTGGCCCGTCTGCAAGTAGCCCTCCACTCATCATATTTTTATTAAATGCATTCCTTGTCTCTTCTTCGGAAAGCCCGGTCTTCTCAGCAAGATCATAGAAAGATGCCTCGATATCTTGACCAAGAGTATGGCCCCCTTCTAGGTAAATGAGACCACCGCCGTCTAAGGCGACATCGCCCATAGGTATCCAAGCAGTCATACTAGTATCCTCACCATATCGGAGGAAAATCTGGTCGTAATGTACACCTATTGCTTTGTTTTGCGGCGTGTTGTTTCTCAAAAGGGACCTGGTCAGACCGAGAGTATTATCACCCCATCCTGTGAACTTGCTGATAAACGAATGGAGCGTTGGATGTTTACAAAATTCATCTTTATACCAAGGTTCCTCATGGGCTTGCAATGCGAGATCAACAAAAAGACCTCCGCGAGGACGCCCGTTCGCATCAGTTGAACCAGCTCCGCTGGTTCTACGTTAGCTCTCTTCGGGAGATTATCTTTTATTCATAATATACAACGTAGGATTCGGAGAGCTAGTGAAGAAGCATTCTTTCAGATAGGTATTACCATGGAACAGGATAAGGAGAGTACAATTAAGATGCCTTACATACTAATTAGAGGTTTGTTAGTAATAATAGAGGTACCTAGGTAGTTAAGTATATAATGAGTTCCCCTAAGCGAGGATTCACAATACTGATAGAGGACACTTACCATTCCTGGGAAATTCAATTTATCTTTCTCCTTATCGAACACCCCTTCTACAGGAGGAGTTCCGGGTGCAAGCACGCCGCTAGGGGCTAAAAGGGTAAAATATGCCTCTCTAGCCTTGAGTACGTCTTCCCGCGGCAGGAGGTTTTTCAAGAAAAGATAACCATCATTTTTGTACCGCTGACGTAGGTCCTCCAAAGGTTCATGCGGCGACGAGTGACGGAGAGAGCCAACTTGCTCAGGTTCTAACAGCCCGTCGTTGACATATAGAGGAACGGGGAGAGGTGGATTTGCAGCGTGCGGCATACTTTATGACAAAAAGTAACAACTGTTGTTATTTGCAGTATTTCTATATCGAGACACGGGCAACCCCTGAGATAAAGAACCTAGAGCTAGCTAGTAAGAGAGGAAAGAGTAACGAAAAAGAAATAGACCTCAGCGAGAACGATATGGAGTCTCCACTGAAGGATCTTGCTGGTCTATATTGTTGAGGAACGTCAGATAGCTTTTAACTGGCTATCCAAAGTTGAGTCTGCCGTTGTCGGCAACACTAACGTTGTGTAATTAGTAGCTAGTTTGATATTAGGATTCAGTACGGTTCAAGCCTCGGTACTTATCATCGCGACGATCTTGACTGAATTGGGATTCAAATAAGGTATCACGACAAGGGCAACAACTTTCATTCGATCAGCACCCCAGATCAAGTCTGTATCTTCTCCATCATTCTCCATGATCACCCCGCAGAATCCCAAATTCACGTGTGGGGAAATCCAACCCTCCCCTACCGCATCCGCCGATACAATCGCCTATGTAGAAATAATCCCCTACTTAATAACTTACATATAAGTACTTACGCAACTAGATATAGAAGGCACAATGCTTCAGTTCTCCCTTTAACTTCTTTGCATTATGAATTTGATGCGTATTCGATCATCTCGAAGTTAGGTACCTAAGATAAGTAGAGTATGTTCAACATAAAGCAAACGAATCCTATTCGCCGAACGGCTGGTGAAGCTGGGAAGCGTCCTGAAAACCTTCGCTACGTTTACTTCCTTACTGCGTTCGTCTCCATTGGTGCATTGCTTTTTGGATATGGTAAGCTCGCCTATACATCTATTAGGTCGAATTTACTACGTTCCGCACAATAGTGGGTTGACGATATTCCTCAGATCAAGGTGTTATGGGAGTCATCGTAGCGGACGCTAGATGGATTTCCCTTATGAAACCGGCTAACAGCTGGGTTACGGGAGCGGTAGTATCGCTTTACGATATTGGGTGTTTGATCGGTGCTATGTCTATAGGTTTTCTTGCCGACCACTGTGGCCGTGAGCGAACACTATCAATCGCCTGTGTAGTTTTTATCATCGGTGCTATACTTCAATCAGCATCCTATAATATCATCTCTATCACGGTCGGACGTGTCATATTAGGATATGGTGTAGGTACATGCGCCGGCGGCGTACCGCTGTACGTATCTGAGATCGCACCGGCAAATCTAAGGGGTCGCATTATCGGAATAGAGCAGATGATTCTTTGTTTCGGCGAGCTTGTGGCTTTCTGGTTGAATTACGGGTTTAACTTTCTAGATACTCCCGATTGGTGGCGTATCCCACTCGCCATTCAAGTTGTGCCAGCGGCTGTCTTGGGAATCGGGTGCTGGTTTTGGGTTCTACCCAGCCCCCGTTGGTTGGTTCAACAAGATAGACACCAATGTGCTCGTGAAGTACTCGCCCGGCTTCACGGCGATGAAGCAGCCGATCTACAAATGTTAGAGATAGCCGAAGAGGTAGCCTTTGAGAAAACAGTGGCTACAGCGAGATGGGCTGATATGTTCAAGTCGCCCGTTTTACGTGTTACTCTGCTCGCCATGGGTGTCCAATCATTCCAGCAGATCACAGGTACTAACTCGATATTATATTATACTGTACGTTCGCTCCATTTATTGTATGGCTAATGATATGCTAAACGATCTCCAGCCATCCCTTTTTGAGCGTGGAGGAATCATAGACCCGAGGACAGCCAACTTAGCTACAGGAGGGGTTGGCATAGTTTTGTTTGTCTTTTCTTGGATTCCGATCTTTCTATTTGATCGTCTTGGACGCAAGACATGGCTACAGATAGGCCTGGTTGGAATGTGCTGTGCAATGATAGGCATCACCGTCTTGCAGTGGCATGCCGAGAGAAACCCCGGCTCCAATGGAAATTACGCTATCATTGCTTTTCCGTATTTGTTCTATGTGTTCTTCAACATCAGCTGGGGTGTGGGAAGTTGGACATACGCTACAGAGATCTTCCCCGTCGTGTATCGGGCAAAAGGAAACGCTCTTTCAACCGCGAGCCTTTGGCTGAGCTGCTATGTGGTAGCGCAGGCAAGTCCCCCAATAGCCACATCTATCGGCTGGGGTCTTTATATCATTTATTCCTGCATCTGTGTAGTTGCATTTATATTCGTACGATACGCGATGGGTAAGCATAACCCCTATTTCTTCTATCACTAGGTCTAACAATCGCAGTGGAAACGAAGGGGAAGACGCTTGAAGAGATGTCTGCTCTTTTCGGCATCGAAAGTAAGCTAGCAAGGAGAAGTGGAACAGAAGTCAACAGTAAAATCGGCATTGTTCATCTTGAGGACCCTCCAAGATGATATTTGTCTAACTACCCCTAGACTCCCTTGCTACTTAAAAATTATTAAGCCTCGTACAGCTTGACCAAGATAATGATACCCGTTATCGAGTAACTCCTCAGCCATATCAAGAATTCTCCACAGTTTCTTGCTGGTGTTTAATATTTAATCCCTTTACTCCGTTCAGATGGCCTTTGGGACACCGCTATTAGTTGTGTTGTGGGTAGGCGTATTTGTCCCACCGGGAGTAGTCGAGTGATGGGAAGCTCCGTGAACAGCTCCATCTGTTCTCGGAACACCTTTACGTTCCCATTCACGTTGAGCAAACATATTATCAACATTTTTAACGTCTTGCTTCCCTTTCTCTGCGATCGTTCGATTCTTTGTTTGCGCTGTTTGGGTTTCGGGATGGTTTGGGTTATTGTCAAATACTTGATCCGTCACCTCCATTGCCTCTCCTCGAATGGCGTCCCCAGCTCCGCGAATGCCTTTGATGCCTGTTTTGACGTCATTTATTAACTTTGACATGGTTGCGGCTTGATTCGAGATAGGAAATTTAGACGCGCTCGTATGATATGAGATGCCTGAATTTAGCGATATTATATAACGGATGGTATCTGCTGCTGGATTTTAGAGTAAAGGAATATCGAAAGCTTTCAAAATATTTGGGTTGGTTAGATAGGTAAATATCAACGCAAGCCTCTTATTATGACACAACTATAAAATAACACACTCATTTGTTCGAAGCATGGCAAATGACGTATACACTTCACACTCTCATCCAATTAGACTCCATAATACCATATGGAATGCCATAATAAGCAATTATTTAGCTTCCTAGGTGTGTAGTACACACTACGGTAGTTATAGGGCGGGATCTGATGTCATAACTATCTTTGTTAGGGTGTCTAGTGGCTTTCGCCTCCTCAGGTGCTGCGCATTATATAATTAAGGATACGGGGCAAGACTACCCGATCCGAGGTACTCCCGAACGGGCAGGCTTCCCTCCTATTTCGAAGTACTTTTCTTAAATACCGCTAAAATTTGTATCTCCAATTATTTTCAAGACTCGAATAAGGTCCTTATTAGCTTAGAGATTATTTTTAGTCTTGCCCATTTCCATAATTAATGCGCAGTACCTTTTAAGTACGAGGAGGCGAAAGCTACTAATACCAATACTATTTAAATCTGATAAATAGGTAGATACCTAGGTAGTATCTTCATATTTTCAGAAGCTAGCACAAGTTTATAGTACATAGGTAGGTATTATACTGCGTGGCAGCGTAGCCAAGCCATAAATACGAGAACTGACGAGAGTATTAATAACTATAACTACCCAACTATAAAGTAACCAGGTAGGCAATTATGTAACCAATACTCTAAGAAATTGAAAAGCTTCAAACGAACTAAATCATTTGATCCCATTAATTTCTCCATATCATTCCCCTCTTCCCTTCCCCCTTTTTTTTCTTCCATAACCAGCCCGTTAATTCAACAATATTATTGGAATAAAGTTGATCAAGAATACATAACATTGTGTCTTGTGCTAAATATGACCATGACTGCTACGGTAAACTCTGATTTAGTTAACAGCTCAGGCTTTTAAAATCTGTTTATTAGGATTTTATAGTTGGGAGTATGTTGCGATTGTATACAAATATTATAACATAACTATACATTCGAATCACCAGTTCAACATTTCATTTACGTAGCTAGGCTAAAAACGTCCTTGTAAGGATATTGTCTCCCCATATGCTCCCTAGTTCATATGTATTTTTATTATGGGACAGTTTTATAAAGCAGTCTAGTTCAAAATGGGCGATAACGCATAATGATAATAAAATGCTAGGCCAGATTTCGTAGTGTAGAAAAGGGACTAAGGAGGTTGTGGGTTCATTCGCCGGCATATGATGTCGATCATCTCCAGCGGACGGTTCCACATCTCGAGATGGCCCTTGAAATGCCCCAGAGCTGAGCCAATCGGCTAACTTGGTACTGAGCTGTTCTGTAACGGGGCATCGCCCAGAACACTTTCGAATCCTCGTATTCTCTACCTTCGTATTGACCTTGTTGCACATAGGCTACTACCTAGGCATATGATGTCAGGCCGAGCTTCTCCTTTACAGAGCCCCAAAGACTTCAAGTCTTGATAGAGAATGATATAAAAGGCTCTTGTATCTCTTTCATTTCGATACATCTAACCATCTCAGTATCTCACCATCTCACCATCTCACCAAACCTTAATATCACCCTCTACATCACTCTAATTAATTCTAATTAATACAAACCGCCAGAATGTTCTTCAAGAATCTCGCCCTCGCAGTCCCCTTCCTCGCCGGAGCTTCAACTGCTCTGCCACAAGCAGCCTCGGGAGCAGCACTTGCACCCGATGCCACCTTCTCATTAATGGCTCTCCGGTCTGCCAGTGAGGTTCATTTTGCCGGTTTCGAAGCGGCCAAGGGCAGTCTCTTTTTGAAGCTACCCAGCCAGAACGCCTCTTGCGATGCTGGCCCTGCCGACTACGCCACGTTCTACCTTAAGGACGGCGGACTATACCTCTACGCTGCCTCCGCAACGCCGCAGCAGCTTTACGCTGATCGCTCTGGAATGGGTATGTTGAATGACATCTTCTCGTCAATTTCGAGGCATTTCACAAAATTTATGCTAACCTCTTAACTTATAGGCCAGGGCAAGCTCGGATACACAACTGGCGCTCAGCCGGCCCCTAGAAACGGCGAGAGGACTACCTTCGCTCTCGATGAATCAAACGACTTGACGCTTAACGGAGCAGGCTTCCTCGCCTGCCCTAATAGCATCGACGGTGCTTGGAGTGTGTGGGTTTCTGCCGGCGTCGACCAGCCTGCTGGAAATGAAGGATGTCTTGGATTCTCGGCGCGTGCTGTAGAGGTTTCTAACCCTAATGGTTGCCTCTACACTGAGTAATTGGTTTAGCCGGCAGAGTTTATCAGGTTGCATTCATGTAAATCGAATCTAACTGCCTAAGTTAGATACGCGCTTTAATTACCTAACTTACTTAATTACCTAGGTAAACTACCTTATTATTCTCAAATTTGTTGGCCTGTTTGAAGTATCTCGATTTATGATTTGTAGTTGAATCGCACTCATATGACCACAACGCATACGCGCTAGTCGTATTTTTGGAACGGGTGCCAGTAGTCTGAACAACGGTGGTGGCTTCTAGAAGCTATTTGCGCCCTATCTATTTATATCTTTTATCAGCCGGGGGTCTCGTTGAATCAAGGCAAGAATCCCTATGGTGTTCCACTATATGTAGAATCAGGGGGAAATGAGCTCTTCCTTGGGCAACTACTGCGCCAATTCAACGAGTGCGAGTATTAACATTGGAAAGGGTGGATTTAGCATAGGTAAGGGGGTGGTTTCCTGTAGTGTTAAATGACAGTAGTTATAGGTCAGGAGACTTGGGACAAGGTAGGCTCAAGCAAGTTGATGTTACCCTATGGAAAAAATAGGGATAGAGGCACTTCACAAATTAGGCAGCTTCGTTGGAATATGGGAAAACTAAGCAGTACGATTCACTATGAGCTTGCTGCAGTTTTAAATATCGGCTATCTTAAAGTGATAAGGAATATCAAGGCAGGGTAAGACTAGTTTTCGACTGATATCAATCGACTGTCATCGTGAAGCGATGCTTCCCAAGTGATTCGCCGGGTTACCAATGATTCATTGGACGTTAATCTACGACTCCCTCGCTAATCTCCTCCTTGACATCGATATCATCCTGTGTGCTATCCTTCTTTCCGGACTCTGAGTCATCGTCATCATCATCATTGACGGTCTCCTTGGAGAGAGCTAGCTTCTTGCCACGAGCGCGCTTTCTCGGAGTCGAAGTGATGGAATCGTCACCATCCTCCTCATCGTTGCGAGTAACCTTGCGCTTGCGCGAGGCAGGAGTAGTCTTGGCCTTGGGGGTACGCTTGGTAGGCGTAGCTGGACCCTCGTCACCATTCTCGATTTTCTTCTTCACCGCTGTAATAATAAGTTAGAATTAGGTATGAAACCCCCTTTGAAGATGTCGGTAGTTAATGGTATGATGGCCGTATATCTACATATCATCCAAGGGACTGGCAAAAATACGGGAAAAAACTCACTGTAGAGGACATTCTGGACGCTTTTGGGGTTGGTATAGCCTGTGAGCTTAGCAAGCTTGTCATAGTCAACCTATAAAGAAATATGTTAGTATGTCACTTTACAAGCAATATGTGATAGCCTAGATATAGCAGATCCGGAAGCGCTTACCTCGGGGGGAGCCTTGAAGCACTTCCAAGCCATGGCAAGCACTTGAGTCTCCTTCTCAGTAATGTCGTTCTTCTTGTCGACGGATGCCATGATGACAGTAGTACTGGGTTTGGGTTTAAGTAGGTTGTTGAACGATACTATGATTTGGTGGTTTGGTGATTGAGAATAGAAAAGACGAGTATGAAGGGTGATGTTTGTGGTAGAAAGTGGTGGCGGTGATAGCGTGAAGCGTATGAAGAAGTTGTAAAGAGAAGGAAGGTAGGTAGGTAGGCAACGATGAAGATGGTGAGGAAGCTTTGACGGGGGGGTTCAAGGAAGAGGTAGATGCGCTTGGTTGATTGTGACAAGTTTGCTTTTTCTAATTGTATTTTCATAAGTCCTACGAAATGACTTGTAACTTGTCGATGCGTCTGCGGTAGGATTATCAGGATTGCCTTACTACCGGTCTTATTATAATTATGCAAATAAATACCTGGGAAGTAACTACGCAGCCTTACCCCTCGTGTTCTGTCAGCTACGGAGATGTATATTGATGTGAATATATAACCCTTGAACTGAAGAACGACCGTGACTTTATCTATATTTTTCTATAAATAAGAGATATTGGCGAGGATTAAAGCCACACACTCAATATATCTTTATCGTTTCCCGCTCAACATTCGCATGTTTTTTTCTTGATTTTTAACCTTCAGTTCGGCCAATATGAGCCGCGGGTATTCTGATTTTTGCTCAAAGCCAAACATTCCAATGGCAGGCAAACTGCACTAGAATATCACGCGTATACCCCATTAATGTTCGGTTGAATAGTATTAACAGATAATTGGAAAGATAGAGACATCTAACCGGATATTATGCTTCTCATTAGTCTTTCTATAACGCTTAAATAATTATTATAATATGAGGTAACTACCTGTAACCCGATACTGTCTAGGTGCCAGGGAGGTTCATCTTTATGCCTGTCCGAGTTGTTGCATTCTTGTTCGTATCCGTTGTTCCTCTTCGTCCAGGTCAGCCAATTCCATTAGTCGAGTTCTTCTGGCATCCAATTTCGCTTGCTCAGCCATCAGATGTGCCATTTCTTGCTGCACTTGCGGCTTATCGGTACTTCCTATAGATTGCGCAAGTCCCTCATCCGCAGACATCTCAGCTACTGCTAGCTCACCGGAAGCTTCATAGTGACTGATAGAAGGATTGTTATTGGTACCTGAGTGCGTCGGCATTGGTTGGCCGTTAGAAAACGTAGAATCTCGAAGTTGAGTTGGCTGTGACCCTGGGACGGATGATAATTCCTGGCTGCTAGGCGTGTTTGGTCCGTTGATAGCAGTGCCTGCTAACTCCGTAGGTTGGGGAACCGCGGAATAATAAGTTGTGGTACCAGTTTTAGGGTCGACATAGGCTGAATATCCTGGATAGGTAGTCTGGGGATATATTTGGATCGGTTGTCCAGCAGGTCCCGAACCGGACATATAAGGGTATTGATGAAATGGATACTGGCCTGGAGGAGGCTGCTGCATGGGCGGAGGCTGACTGGCGGCCTGTCCGTTCGTACGCTTCTTCCTGTATCTAAGTATAAAGAAGATCGCTAATCCGAGACCTAAGAGACCAAACAGGCCCGCGCCGACACCAATCCCAACTTGAGCACCAACAGATAAGCTGACGCCGTTGCTATCCGGATCTGAAGATAGCCCTGTTACTGCTGTGCTAGATGATGACTGGGTCCTTGATACGTCGGTCTCGTCACCTAAAGTTCCTGCCGCTAAAGTCAGGCCAGGCGTCAAGGGATGCGTTTCCAAGATAGAAAGATCACTCGACGCCCAACGTATCTGTATCATTACTTGTGCATCTATAAGGGCGTATTAGTGATTGCTCTATCACATGGGAAATATAGGGATATTGGGATGTAGGGATTGAGAAATTCTTGACGGGTCAGGGTGGACCTTCAATATAACATACACGATAAGTCGGTGTTAGTTGCGTAGTAGTTCCATTCATCGGGAGTACATGAATAATCACTGTTAAGAGTTAAGCCTTATTATGACAACCTTAGAAGCTAGCCTAGCTGAGGGTAAACCTACCTCATAACGCAAAGAACAGCTGTTTCAGTGAGTTCGACAGATGGGCCTTGAAAGTTGCCGTATCGCGAACAGCCAACAGTAAACCCACTGGGACATATGGCGGGAGAATAGTAGTACGTTTCGAAGTAGCTAGCGTAGCCAGGAGGAGCGCATTCGGGATTAGAAGACCAAAATATATCGATGTCCGTCGTAGGACGGGTAGAAACCGGAAAGCAGCCATCGGAAGGCGTCCATACCGTAGTCAGCGCAGCTACAGGTGGTGTACCGTCATGATCAACAGAAGTCGCCCGCGGTGCTAGAGCGGTTGGCGTGATCGTCGTTGTGAGCGGTGCGAATCCCATTATAATAATTATGGGGATAGATCGGAACGAATGACAGCCTACAATACAACGATCCGAAGCGTGATAAATGAATGCTCTTCGTCACGGAGAGGCCAGGAAACAGTTTCATCCAATTATTAAGAACAAGGGGAGCGAAGAGAAGAGAGAAGACATTTTCCCAAAATTTTCTCTGACCGTCTCTATCGTCCCACGGCGTCTCAAGACCATTTAGTCAAATCTCGTCAGAACACACAGGGCTTAAAGCTTTCTTGGCACTGTTGGCGACCACAGAGTCGAGACCAATGGCGGTGATGCTAGGGGACAAGGGCTGGGACGTAAAGTCAATAAAGTTGGAGCTGGTTGCTTAATTCAGTCGCCAAGTGACCTTTTTTTTCCTTGCATATCTAGGGTAGCTTGCTTTAGTAGCATTGCGAACGCTGTTTGTACAGCTCATCTCATATTACCAGGGTCCAAGATATGTGATGCGGATTCTTGGCATATAAGTTCGTGGATGTTAACAAATAGATGACAGTCTACCATTGCGGGATAGATCATTCAAAGAAAACGATTGGACTTATGTAGGTTAGGGACAATAGCGGGCTCCCCGTAAGAGATAATCTATATCCGGATCTGAATATGAAAAAGCCGACAGAATATACCCTAAAGAAATAGGGAACGGACCAACTTCATGCTAGTGTAGACCAGAAGAGAAGGTTTGAAATCCTAGGCGGACGACAGGGGTTATTTCAGCTATGGCCATAAATTAAGCGAGAGGTGCTATGATAGGACCGGGAAATTAAACATCTTATTGCATTAAATATCTGGATAACGTGTGTTGGTTGCTCTATGTATATCGAGTAGATTATTACTTGGTACCCGCATCTCCTCTGACGTTATTTGTTCGGTCTTCCAATCCTATCGTCCTACACATGATAATCGTGAAGCAAGCAGTGAGGAGCTCTGATAGCTGGATTATACCGTCTCGATCTGATTATACTTGATACTTAGGTAATTATAGTCAACTAGATAATCACCAGGTTGGGTTGGTAAGATATACTCGAATTATTGGGACACCTAGATCAACCGGCTAACACCTATATACAACCACCTCTACTAAGCAGTCTGTATACTTGTTTTTATACTTGTCTTCTTCCTATCATTCATACTGTCCATACAACCTCTCTATTTGAAGTTTCCAGATTGCGTGTAATCGTAGGCGCGCTCCGGTACCTTGGTCTCTGCCGCCAACTCTTCCGCACTAGTCGGGACGCGGTCTGCTGCAGAAGGATATTCGGTGCTACCCTTCCCTCTCATGCCTTTCCCCACGCCCTCAGGTAAGTCTCCCCCTTTCTGACGGACGCTATCACCAACACTTGCCCCAGTACCTTCTAACCCAGCATGTTCCTTCTTTCGTCGGTTGGTATGATCACCATGTAGACTGCCGTGCAGCTCAGCTCCCGATTGACCTTGGATTGGTTTACCTAGACCGGTATGGACGGCTTGAGATGTAGTACCGCCGAGGCTATCCACGGGATCGGTCAAGCTTTGGGACCCGACGTTCGGAGCCTCAGCTGGTCTCTCGCCATCGGGTCGGGGTTGAAAGGTGTTTTCCCGGGGCGCGGTGCCAGAAGGATACTTTTCAGCGTGGAACTCTGGCACGGCATCGTTGCCGACCTTAACGCCAGGTTTATGCCCGGTAGTTGTGAGAGGTTCCGCAGGCGGCACGCGGCTATGGAATTCGCCCTGATTAGACATGGATTCGGTATTTCTAGCTGCTGACATTGTAAACGTGTAGTAGGAAAACAGAGAAAGGAAGATGTTGGTTTAGGTTTCTGGGTGTAATTGAAAGAACTAGTCAGACTCATCTAGAGCTATGGTCGTAGACCTTTATATATACCTACCTACCTATGTAATAAGAGGATAGTGAGGGATGAGTGAGGTGACGTCACGAAGCTGCTATGAGGAGGTCTGACATAACACCGTTGCATCGATGGAAGATAAACGAAAGGAGAGAAAAGCAGTTAACTTTGATTAATGGTGAGAATGACAATGTATGGCGTTTGCTTTCTGCATCACGATCGACGTGATGACAACATGGTCGGAGCTTTTGCTGCGGATAGCACTTATCAATGTGCTCATATCACATACTGGTTACCTATTAGTTACCTAGATTGGTATTTTCTTTCGATCTAGAAGTCTCGGTGATAGCATTTATCTAAATCCACGTTATGGATGTCGTAGTTATTAGGTAGGTATATCAGAGTTGAGGCTCTACGAAAGAGGGTCATAGTGTATATCGGGTGGTATTATGTAGGACGCTAGGACGATGACATGGCCCTACTTCCTTCTTCATGCACGGGGTATCTGATATGGGATTTCTTCGAGGTAGTGAATGTATATATTCCGTAGGTACATAGTAGATGGTTGGTTGGCCAACTACAGATCTGCGATTCCCTTATACATAAGCCAACCCCCCCTCCTCCCCTCTCCGAGCCCCCGGGGCGATTGTATGCTGGCATTGGACGGAAAGACCACCTCTACCTAGCACTTTAAACTTCTATATTTACTTCGTGTAGTGTTTCGTGTGTCTGAGTAGTATTTTATAGCAACCCTCTCGTTCTAAAATGTGGAAGCTACCAGGATACAAAATTTGGATAAATGGGATATAAAAATAATTATTATATCAGGTATTGATATAAGAGAATTATTGTCTGTATGGTCCATCGGCGGTTGCTGGGCCAAATTCACTACCGTCAATTACAACGTTAGGAGGTAACCAATAGAATCGGCCTATACTGTATATATCGATACCTGCGACACTTATGTAAATAGCGCTTGGACTAGGTACGATTCAGGCACCCTGGGTACCCGGCTATTCGGTTAGATTTGGCAGGTACATGACTTTTCGATACGATGCAGGGACCAAAACAGGGATTCAAGCAGTTCAGATCAAGGAAGAGAACCAATACGAAGACTGCGGGGGCTAGTCAGTAAATATTTCGTATAATATACATTTATAGCTTTACCATGTTGATTTTTTAACACTTATTTCAAGAAGTTGTATTTTTGTCGCATGGTACATATAATTACAAGATATGTATTCCATAATGAAATAATAATAACATTTTTAGATGTTGATACCTTAGGTATCTTTCTTAGAATAGAACTAGATCGGCACATAAGCGTCTAAGTTAGTGTATGTATATATTGTCGCCAACCACTTGGTTTACATTTGTTATAGTTGCATTCAAGCATTTTACTAGCAACGATACATATAAGGCACATGTAACCATACGTAGTACATCAATGCAGGTATAGTACCTACCTACAATACATATGCATGTGTTACATCTGGTTCTAAATCTTCCTCAACTTTTTATCACCTGTTGCTTCCCATTGTTTGTCTCTTCACCTTCTACTCTTTCATCGTTCTTACTGCTTTTGTTTCTGCTATTAGGTACATGTATGTATATTAGGTACAATCTACAGTGGTTTAAGTGAACTTAGGTTACCTAAAGGTAATGTACCTTGATAGGTACATCGTTGTTTACCTTACTTGTACTAACGTTAACCCACTTTCAGATCAAGGACCGGACATTTTCGTGTTCCACTCCTAGTACCAGTGACGATAGCTACTTCCGTATGCAATTGTATCGAATTGAGTCCCGCACTTCCCTCTTCCCTCTTTCTTGTTCTACTTTTTTTTCCTAAATCATGAGTCGTCGATACTCTTTCAATTCTGAACCTGACGAGCGCGACCCCCTCGACAATTCAAACCACCCAAACTATCGCTACGTACATTCCAATCAGCAACAACACTCTCCCTCCCGTCCAACTTATCCCTCTCGTTCTTCCCATCCTTCCTCGCCAACATCGCAGTCTCATTTCTACCAAGATTCTCCTGCTTCCTCTTCCGAGTCGTATCGCCATCCAGCGCATCCTTCACCCACGAGAGCATCAGTACACCCCGGCGCTCACCCCGACTCAGCATTCAATAGGCTACGCCAGAATAGATATAGCGGAGGGGTAGAAAGAGTCGCTGCGCCTAGGACTGCGATTCGAGCTGGAGCGGGAGCGGGAGCTGGAGTCGGAGTCGGAGTCGGAGCTTTAGCTGGGGGAGCCTATGCTGCGGGCCACCCATCTTTATCTGGACCCGTCCCGCCGTCTCATCGCGAGAGCAATATATCTACTTGGGCACCCGAGCCACCTCAGTCTAACATCACTCCCGGTGCCGACAATTTTAGCGAGGCTGCCGCTGGTGGCATGTCTGGTCTAGCTATGAGTGTTGCTGATAAGAACGCACGACAAAGTGGACTGGAAGCTATGAGACAAGCTCAGCAGTATACAGGACCGCAGCGCCAGCAGGCCCCTTACTCAGATGCCTACCAAGCTACACCATCGGAGCAAGCTCCCTACGATGAGCCCCAGAGTCACGTATACGATCGAGGCTATGACATATCGCCGGGATACGGGCCCGGTCCCTATCCCCCATCCGGTCAGGCCTACAATTCCTCGCCCAGTCTAGCTCCATCAGCAACTGCGGCCGTGTCTCATTCGGGCCAAGGGACGCCAACCTGGGGCATGCCGGGCTACCCTGGTGATCCGTTCCGGGATCCTCATATGGCGTACGGGCAGAGGATGGATCCTAGGCTCGGCCAGTTCAATCCGAACGACATTGACGATGACGGTGATGACGGCCTCGAATACCGACGTTCCACTCGGAATAGCATACTGAGTCTAGGGGGATCGAGCAATCGAGGTGGTAACGGCGCTGCGGCCGGCGTCGCTGGTGCCGTGGCCGGCGGCGGCGTAATAGGTGGACTCATAGGAAGGAATCGGAATAGCGGTATTAATTATGACCCAGTACAGAATACGAGCTCTGCTGGCAGGCTTGGCGACGTAAGTAGTGGATATAAGACCGGCACCGGGGTAGAGAAACAGTCCGAATGGTTGTCCAGTCAAAATAACAGCCGCAAAAAGTGGAAATGGTTCATTCTGATTGTCGTCGGCCTTATTATCGCTGGTGGAATAGCAGGTGGTGTGGTCGGCGGAATCTTGGCCAGTCGAAACAATGGTGGTGGTAGTTCGGGCAGCTCTAGTGGAGTCCAATCCGCCGAGTCGGACACAGCTCTGAATGGGGATCTGGACGACACATCTACTGAGATTCAAACGCTAATGAACAATCGCAACCTGCACAAGGTCTTTCCCGGTGTCGACTACACGCCTATCAACGTTCAGTTCCCGGATTGCCTTAAGAACCCGCCTTCCCAGAATAACGTCACCCGAGATGTTGCTGTACTCTCGCAGCTAACAAATACCATTCGACTCTACGGCACCGATTGCAACCAAACGGAGATGACGATCCATGCCCTACGTCAATTAAAGCTCGAGAATGATATCAAGATATGGCTTGGAGTCTGGCAAGACGGAAACGACACTACAAATGAGCGCCAACTAAGCAAGATGTGGAACATCCTGGATAAGTACGGGGCTGATCCATTCAAGGGACTCATCGTTGGCAACGAGATCTTATTCCGACAGCAGATGACCGCTTCAGAGCTTAGTAAACTACTGGACTCGGTACGAACTAACTTGACTAAGCATAACTGGAATCTCCCCGTGGCCACGAGCGATCTCGGTGACAACTGGGATTCGCAACTAGCCGGTATGAGCGATTACATCATGGGCAATATCCATCCTTTCTTTGCCGGTGTCAATGCTAAGGACGCCGCTTCTTGGACGTGGCAGTTCTGGGAGAACAAGGCCCACGGATTCTTCAAGACGGAAACCGAGAAGAATATCATCTCCGAAATCGGTTGGCCGACGAAGGGTGGAACTAACTGTGGTGACGCCAAGGTGACAGACTGTCCTAACGGATCAGTGGCCGGCATCGACGAATTGAATACGCTGATGGAGAATTGGGTTTGCCAGGCCCTAGAGAATGGGACCAACTATTTCTGGTTTGAGATGTTTGACGAGCCTTGGAAAATCAGCTTCGACACGCCCGGAAAAGAGTGGGAAGATCAATGGGGCCTCATGGATGTCAATAGGAACCTGAAAGAGGGCGTCAAGATTCCGGACTGCGGAGGTAAAACAGTTTGAACGGTGGGGGTTAAGGCTATTTGCCTCTGTTCCTAAAAAGGGCGCTGTGATCGACTTGATAAATAAGCGGTCATGAATAGTAGCCTGGCTAATATTCTTGACGGGGTACCTCACATGATCTTCTTTAACTCGAAGACGGTATAGGGTTGTATTATACTAGGGACGACGGTATAGGCAGTGGTTATACGAGATGCGGCGGAGGTGGAGATTCAACCGGTGACATATGGATGTCTCGGCTCAAGTGTCGTTTACGTTTCATGGTTCTATCGGCACGATTCCTGGCGCAGAGGATTAAGGGAGCAGAGCATTAGAAAACATCAATGGAGGGTATGACTACCTAAGTAGCGGCAAGATGTTAATTGTCGTCGTGTACGCATAGCATTATCATGGGTTATAGTTTAGTCATTACGGTGTTGCGGAGCCTCCGGTTCGGTTTGGTTCGGTTCGGTATATATTTTAGGCCTACTTGGAGACTTGGACTCTCCTATGTGGTTTGTTGTCGAGGGTCGAGTTAACTGCGTTCACTTTGAGGTATGAGGTATATGATTAGTACGTTTAAAAGTCATTAACTAGCATTGCATGCAAGCTTACTCTTATGGATTCATGTAATTCGTAATTCCATTCCGAACTTGTCAACCTCCATGTTTCCCCCTTTAGGGTGTACTTAGGTACGTACATATGAAGATAATGACGTCACATGACTTGGTGTCACTTTGGCAATCTACACTTGTAGAAATATGGAAATGCTCTACCGTCCCTCTATTACTTATGTCTCTCCTTTTTATGAATCCCCTCTACTGTAAGCGCCAACGCATCTCTTATCCCTATCGTGAGTAGACTATCGTGAATAGACTACATAAAGTCGCCATTCAAGATTACGCAATATATGCGAGATGGGCACACAACTTGAACTTAACGCCTCGAACGGCGCACATACTTCGAGAAAACGTAAAGCTTCTCTCCCCATCCAAGATGACCTCATCGAGCTTGAGGATTATGCAAAGCCTAAGAAATCTCAAAAAAAGGTCGATTCTGGAGAGAAACGTCTAAGGAGGTCAGTCATATATGTAGCCTCTACCCAATAATCGCCTCGTTTGTGATCGTACAATTATAATAAATAACAAACAAACGAATAACTAATGCTTAAATTATACCTAGATTTCGTGCTAAACCTCCCCAAAATTTTTATGCTGTTTATGATCGAGCTATATCGCAAAGGTTCGTATATTCTTATACGAGTGTATTACCAGTAGCATTCATATATCCTTAATATGTTCCTAAAATATAAGACACCCACTAATTTCGGTAACTTAGATTCTATGTCCTTGAGAGGACGCGCGCTGGTACGGTATATTGCCCCGAGGAGTTCGTCGAGTTAACCGGCTCTACTGGTAACATCTACGTCACCCACATCGCGCAGCAGCCTACCTGTACTTGTCCTCATGCCCAATCCGGCCATCAATGCAAGCATATTATATATGTTAGTCTCTCAAGGACACACCCGACGTCTTTTATCCAACCAAGTGCACTCTAATAACTATTAACTACCTAGGTCTTGTCAAGAGTTCTTCGTGCACGCTTCGACCTTGTTTATCAGCTTGCGTTGCTAGCCACTGAGCTGCAGGATATCTTAGAAAACGCCCCTCCCATCGAGACGGAAGGCCAAGAGACGTACGACAAGAACCGCAAATCCCTTGAGGATGATTGCCCAATCTGCTTCACGCCTTTTGAAGGCACCGAAGACGCCGTCTATTGCCGTGCGACCTGCGGGCAGAATATCCATAAAGAATGTTTCGAGATGTGGGCGACCACCAAACGAAAGAACACCAGAGATCAGGTAACTTGTCCTATGTGCCGCACCCCCTGGCAGGGTGACGATGATACAGTAAAGAAGATCAAGAATAAAGGCATCGTCGGCTCTGACGGCTACGTAAATGTCGCCGACCAGCTTGGAATCAGCCGTAGAAGAGGTAAGTAAATGTAGCAACGTGCTATAACCTTACATACCTAGATACCTATATAACCAGGTCTCTGCGTACCTTATATGCTAATATACCTAACTCTTATAGACCATAGCACCTACTACGATGGACCGTATCGAGGTATTGGTTATGGGAGGTGGTAGTGAAGTATTCACTCCCTCTCTGGCTCTCGGCATGGGTTTGTAGTATCCTGATAGAAGTCTAGCACACCGCAGTGTGGAGTTCCGAGGCCGTTTTAAATAATATCGCGAATAGCACAGGATATATGGTATCATAACTAGCTGAGCCTCCCTACCCCATGGAATCCAAGACTGAAGGTGTTTCCAAGGAAGATCAAACCATGAGTATATACCGAACAAGAAAATTCCATCGAATCTTCCCCTTTTCATGATATTACGCTACAAATCACACTTACTACACTCTATTCACGTCTTATCTTGCCAAACAGTCAATGGTAGGTACCTGAGAGCAAATGTTTAAATTATCAAGCTATAGACTAGCGAGTGGCCATTTCCAGTAATACTCGAAGCTAATGTTGGCATCTTACCTAGCTTTTCACATTATACCAGTATCTTCGAAGCCTCAATACCTTTCCCCTCAATACCTCTCCCCTCCTGGTCAAAGAGCCAAGCAGAGAATTAAAAGGTAATCAAATCCTCTCCAACGTCACTATCCAGTCCCACCGCAGCATCATCCTCCACTTCGTTGTCACTCTTCTTCGTATCGGAGGTTGTGTCGGCATAAGTGGACAATTCCCATTCCGGCTTGTCAGCCTGATATCCTGCGGGCGCGGTCGTAATGTTAGAGGACCACGAATTTTCTCGAGGTTGCGAATGAGAACCTAAGGCAATCCTTCCCGCCTGCAGCTGTGATGGCGTTATATCGGTGTCATGTTGTAGTAAGCCACCTGGGGCTGGGAGTATGGCTGAGCCGTATTTAGCCGGTGTACTAAGGATACCACCATGACCAAGGTTCAGCGAACCAGTGCCGAGGACAACTGTCTCTACGTTATCCTTCAATGCAAGAACTCCATTGTTGCTCTTCTCGGGTGACGGTGAAGTCCTGGCAACAATACTTTTCCCGACGTTGCGCACACCATAGTCTAATGTTACTGGCCTGAAAGTATCTTGAATCGCAGTCCCGACGAGCGGATGAGAGGATCCCACTAGAGCTTCTCTTGATGTCTTCTCATCATCCATTTGAGCATCGAAAGCGGCCCATCCATACCCCAGTCCTGGCCTAGAGCCAAGGGGGCGCCGACTACCTCGTAGATTGCTTCTACCACCCGATACTGCACCCGCGCGACGTTGGTCCGGGCTTATGAACGGTGCGACACGGGATTTATCATAGTCCACGCCCGGCTCCTGTACTCCGAGGACCCCATTCTCAGGTAAAAACTCATCGTGAGGATAAGCGCCAGTGAAGCCAGCACAGCTACATTGACAGCCATCGCCACAAAGCTGTTGACATCTATGACCACACGAGAGGACTCGTTCGCATGGTTCTTGACAAATCAACCTATCATGGGTTGCCCTAGAAAGAAAAGGTTAGCTTTGCTGCAATAGACCGCCAACCGCCATGGGAACATGACTTGTGTACGTACCAATGGCATTGACGTCCGCATAAATGGCCACAACTAAGCCGATCTGGACATTTCATATCGCAACCGCCGTGACAGTTAACCCAGTCTTCTGGGTGCGACATCCAAGTTGTCCTGTGATGCTTCTGGCATGTGATTGGGAAACGAGATTTATCTCCAAATCGACCCTGCGCTTTAAAGACTTGTTCTACTCTTCCCCACATGTCCCATGATGTTTCGCTCGCACATGCCAGATTAACCATATTGCCGAAGATGTAAAAGCCGCGGCGAGCTCGACTGATTGAGACAACGCCACGGTTCTTATCTTGGAGGAAGCCTGCTTGGTGCGGTCCGTCACGACCCTTGCTTCTCACTAATGACAAAATAACAATGTCGTTTTCCTCTCCTTGGTACGAGTCCACTGTGAAAACGTTCGTAAAGGGCACCCATTGTTTCATCTTGCTCCTGAACTGAGAGATAATTTTCTTCTTTTGACCTCGGTAGAATGTCAAAACGGTGATTTGGCTTGCTGGTATACCGTTCATGAGTAGATAGTCTATGAAGTGGACTATCATCTCAGCTTCTAGGATATTGAACTTGCTCAAGTTCTCATCCTGGCCCTCGGCCCAATAATGATGGAAGAAGAAAGAAGGATACATCATGCCAGGAATGGGTGGTCTAGCATGGCCCTGGGTCACCACGGGATGATCTTGAAGGTTTGGATAAAATGGGTTCAGTACTTCACGTAACGTCGGGATCATTCTCCGCTGCATGTTCAGGAAGGTAAAAGGCATATTTAGATAGACAAGGCGTTCAAACATAGACACCCGCATACAGAACGGCTCGTCCCCTAGACCGGGCGTATCGCTATGCGGAGCCAGCTGTTGATGATCGCCGACTAGAATAAGTTGCTGAAGCGATTCGTACAATGCTGAAATGATATTTGCCTCCCGAGTCTCAGCTGCCTCCTCGATTAGCATAGTGCGTGGCCGGAGGGCAGCTAGCAAGCCACGATACTTGCACAAGCCCGTGGTGGTGCACCCTATAATCTCAATCTTCTGCGATTTGATGCATTGTGTATCTTTGTACCAGCGGCTGACCTTGAGATTCTTTGTTATTCGAGCGTTGTCGGCAAGTATGTCGCAGAATCTTTGGCGATGTCGTAACAGCAGCTCCTTCTGCCAGAACTGATAGACGGCACCGCGATGCTTAACGTCTATGTCCCACAGGTTCGGCTTACGAAGCTCTCTGCGAATGACAAGGTCATCCTCAGTGTAATTGTGGGTATTTAAACCTGTCCATAGATGCTTAATCGGCAAAAACTTGCCTTCTATGCGACCATTATTCTCATCCTCATCATCAATACAGTTGTCGAGCTCCATATCGTAATCCTCCACGTCCATGTCAATACTATCATTGTCTTCGAATGCTTCAAATTCGGGATCTTTCTCATCTTGCCGCTTCGCCTTCGTTAGTTGATCTCCTAACCACTCCGCCAACAGGCCGGATGGCTGGTCTTGTGAGGATGGCGTGTCGGCCCATTCCTGTTCGGAAAGGAGAGAATCGAGCTGATTCTCCGATATAATACCTGTAGATCTCAAGATCTTGGGATCGATCAAGTCATCAGGGAAGACATTGCCGATGGTTTTTTCCAACTCTACGATGTTCCTCTTACGAGCCGACTCGAATGTTTTGAAATCTCTTTCTACTTGTGGATTCAATAGCGTCCTGGTGCGCTTCCGAAGGTTGTACATGCTGTAACGTTTGATCTCCTCGTTCTGAGTACGTCCCCCAAGCCGTACAACATTAAAGTCGGCATTGATTAGTTGAAGCAAAATTTGATCAACAGCATGGTTCGTCTGAGCCGCGACAATTATCACATTGCTACCTTTCTCTTGGCTTTCCAGAAGGATCCGCAGAGCCTGCACCGAAGTAAACGTCTTCCCAGTCCCAGGAGGACCTTGGACGATAGCCAACTCTTTAGTAAGGATACGATGCACAGCACTGAGCTGAGAATTGTCCAGATTGGTATACCGAGAAAGCTGGCCGTCAAATCCTTCGAGCACAGAGTAGTTCCGAAGAGGCTCACACACCTCGGCTATCTTTGCGCGTTTCTCACTCTCTGTCATCGACGAGGAATCTGGGATGTGATGCACGAGTGACCTAACATCCCGGAAAGGATTATCTTCGACGTACTTTGCAAGGAGATCACTCTTGTCTGCCTGGACCAAGTACTTGTCAAGCGGGGTCTCATTATTAGCGACGTGCTGTAGGCCAATCATGCTATGACGAACAGCTTCAAAATAACCACAACGTGTCTCTACCATAATTAATTCTTGGTTCGGATCCATAATGGCATCGCTAAGATTATTCCATTGAAAGTAAATAGTTGGCGGATTTTGGTCGAGTCCATCTCGAATGCGGTGTTCCGAGATGACAGCTGGCATACAGATCGTCTTAAAATGATCTTTTGCAGTCGAGATGGCGACCAAGGTTCCGACCGTGAGTCGTCGGGTCTGACCCCAGCGGATCTTCTTGCCAGATCTCTCAGTCGAGAATTGGACCTGGCACATAGGTCCAAGGCGGGTCATCAAGTAGCCTCTTACAAAAACCTTCAGAAGATCAGTTAGTTAATTAACGCCAAGCTACCTGGTGACTCTAGGGGAGGCGCATAAGGCTTGACTTACTTTAGTGTAGATACATGTCTCTTTATCATCCATCATGGTAGGTTCATCTTTCAGTTTTCTAATCGAGTAGCGTAGCATAGTGATGCTTTCTTCCCTCTGGAGACGGTAATGCGTCTCGAGATAAGCATTCTTGTTCTTCCATGGCTCCCTCCATGTGTTAGGCGGAAGATTTCGTATCTCAGCCAGTTGCTCTTCATTATCCCAATCGGGGTTGAGATCCCGACTCGTAGGTAATTCGGGATAGTTTCGCCATTTTTGACCGGGGATAGGGGGTAGACGGTCCTGGTCAAAGTTGATATGGTGCTTAATGATGTCTAACTCGCGCTAAACGTACTCTATCATTAGTACACAATAAAATATTAAGCAACAGCCGTGCGAAGGCATACCTGAGTATCAGCACCGTCAGGGCTGAAGTCGCCCATTACTGCCTAGTTATTAAACTCTCCTGGATAGTCGGTAGTGTTTCGGGAGATATCGTTCTTGAAATATTGGGTTAGTGTGATTAAGATCTGAGTGCTCTGCTCGATGCCTAGTGAGAAAGCATCTATCGAAGTCAAAGTCAAAGTCAAAGGGAAAGCCTCTATGCAGGGAGGAATGGTCCCAATGATGGTTAGAGGCTGAGATAGAAAAGCAAACATGAAGGGGGGGAAGGAGAGGCGGAGAAAGGGAAAAAAAAAACCCTAAAGTAAACAAATTTGATCAAACGTTTCGTCGCATCTAAGATAATTGCCTTATTACATATAATCTATTGTTGCCCTGCTGTTTCCTTGTTATTAACGATGCGATGACTGCAGTTGCTTCGATATTGAGTACAGTTCCAAGGTTGCTATGATGTATTCTTGATCTCGTACAACTAAACAAGGAAGTAGCAAAGTTAATACGGATGTATACCTTAGGTACTTGAAAGTAGGAGGCACTCTACCAATATTATATGTACGGCTACTTGTGTACCTTCCTTGAGTGCTTACATGTATGTACCTAACCTACTTAAGGTTGGTACTTATAAACATGGAAGGCATGTGTCTTATGCATATACCGTTGGTAGAGAAAGTACGGCAAGTTGCTTTGAAATGTTCAAATCAGAAATTTACCTTATAACCTTCTTTTCACTGGGTACCTTAGGTACATTTGGTACATATATGTATCATGCCTCAAGTATGCAGCACGTTTAGCAAACATGCCGGCATCCTACTTGTCTTCTCTTTGTTAAATTCATTAAATTAAAACAGGTAGGTATCATGTCTTAGATGATATTGTAGAGATTGAATAACGAAAAGTTATGAAACCTCACCACCCGGCTACGTAAACAAACTTAACTTTACGTGTTTGTGAGTATGTTTGTAAGGTATAGAGCTATAGAGCTGTTTGTCCCAGTGGTCATGTCTTTATCAAATATAATAAGCACAAACCGAGTAAGGTAATGGTACCATTTATGTATAGGTACCTACCTATTAAGATGTATTGTGTCTTCGTTATTGGTCTACTTAAATAAGATCATCTGCGAAATATGAACATTAAAAACATACCTTTCAAATATAACGGTAGGATCATGGCCACTGCGGTTCGGTTATGCGCTTATATAACAATATTATATATAACAATATTATTTTATTTCAGGCGCAGTTACTAGTAATTGGAATTTCTTGCTAAAATCATGGTGATGAAAGTGAGTGTTTCTCTCAGTTCTATTCATCTAAGAATATACCTAGGCATCTACCATGGTTGTTGCCAAAGTTGTAGAGCTGGCTCAAATAACAGGCCCACGTATCTCTTACAAAAACCTCTCATTTCTTCGTGAAATACCAACTCTACCCTCTTCAAAGACTTCGGGTAATTTATACCTTTCTCGCGTTCCATTTAGGTAAGTCTCTAATAAAGTATAATGAAAATAGTCAATTAATATATAGTGTTCTTGGCTTAGTTACTTGATATCTTACGTTGCTATTGTTTCTCGCTAAGAATATGTTGAATACAATGGTAGTTATAGTTATGGGACATTCGATATCGAGGTCCCCAGGTAGGTATATGCTCTATTAATCACACCATCACCTCGCCCCAACTGGGTGGCCGATCTTCTAATTTGGTGCCCCATTCAGACTCCTGGCTTCCAAGCATCAGTTCCATCGTCCACCCCTCGGTAAAAAGGGAGTGGCTGATCCAAGATTTAGTCCACGGCTTGCCGTTTACTGTCGCGTTCTGTACGTAAATATTTTTGTATCCGGCATCGAACCCAACTGTCTTGATCTGTGCCGTCTTCCCTGTCAGAGGACTTGTTATGTTGACCTCCCGAAAAAATGGCGCCGAAATGAGGTACACATCTTGCCCAGATATCGGGAAGAGGCCTATCATCCCAAACACGACGAATGCGCCCATCGAACCTGAATCATCGTTTCCTGGGAGTCCTCCGTGGGACGTGTTAAATGCCGACGGGATATAGGTGTGTAGCCGTTTCGTGGATAGCCCAGGACGACCGGCATAATGATATAGATATACCGTCGAGAAAACGGGCTCATTAGAAATATCAGCTAGCCCTGACGTGTGAAAGAAGTCGAGGCGCTGAATAAATGGCTCTTCGGTCCCCATTAGCTCGATTAAGGCAGACATCGACTGTGGGACAAGGCTGTTAAGTTTGTTAGCTATATGGAACGCTTCGCTTGGAATGAGTTTATTACTTACAACTGGTATTGCCAAATACTGCCGGGTTAAGAATCAGTAACCACCATATTTAATAGTTTAGTTAAGAACATATGGAAAGAAATGAGTCACTATATAAATCCCCTCACATTCTCTCACTTTAATCAAGAAGATAGTAAACTTGAGATACTAACCTGGCTTCGAAGGTCTCACTAGGATTGGAGGTGAGCGAACAAAAGCTTGCAAGCGCCGAACATGCAATCGGGTCTTGAAATCCCCAAGTACCGTTTTGGTACTTTGGCTCAACGAAGCCCGTAAATCCAGTATCATTTCCATCGATAACCGAGCGCTGATCTGACTTCCATAGATACTGCCAGTTGGCACTTCTCTGAACATATTTATCGTATAAATCGTCTCTCCCGAGCCCTCGTGCTAATGTAGCAAGACAATAGTCATTATATGCGTATTCGAGCGTCCTTGAAATACTGCGCGAGTTAGTACCGAATCCTACCGGATCAAAATCTAGGTAAGGAATATATTGGAGATCCTTCCAGCTCCGTAGGCCACCCCGGCCGTGATATGCCCATTCCAATGGTTCAACTTCGGCGTCCTGGATGATAGCCTCGAGCGCGACATCCCAGCTGATGCCTGTAAGATTCTTGACGTAGGCATCGACAAGTACGACATCTGCATTTGAGCCACCCTGTATGAGTTGGTAAGTATTGTATACCTAGGTACGGATAAAAACCTAATGTGAAATAAGAGAGGTAGTTATTCGGATAGCCCCTGAGGTTATTGAGCAAATCCAGAGTTCCTTACCTGGGTCCAGCCGTTGCTGAGTGACCTGGATACGTAGAATGTTTGGTTAGTTTAGCCTTGCGTAAATTAATCCATAACATCTTACATGTGACAATCGGGTAACCAGCCCTCGTGCTTATAAATATCTAAAAGCGAGTTGACCATCTGAATTTGCGCGTGTGGATCAAGTATGGTAAGGAGCGGATGCTGAACGCGGAACGAATCCCAAATACAATAAAATGAGTCGAAGTATGGTATCCCACTATCCCAGTACGGGTTTTCGTCGGTATAGTTCTGGGGAGAGATCATGGTGCGATACAGACCGCTCCAGAAACTAGTTTGGAATTCCTCACTGGCGCCGCCAGCATCAACAGATATCGGGCTCAACTTCTCTCGCCACGCATCTTCCGTATCGGCCACGAGTCCGTCGAAATCGTTAAGCGGGCTAGGAATCTCCTCTGCTGCCCGTCGGCAAGCCTGATCAGCACTTACGAAACTTATTCCCATCCTAGCGGTTAACGTATTATTAGCCAGCTTGCTGAACCCAACCCATCCGCCGGCTTCTAAATAGAAGAGGTTGAAACCACGAGTAACGAAAAGTTCTTTTGGATCCGTGCCTGCTCGATTATTGACCCATACCCCATTTTCAACGACATCGCCGCCAAAGAAGTCCACACAAAAGTGCATCACGTACGACCCGGGTCCGAAACTAGGGAGGAATGTGCCATTTCCCTTTAGCCGCCCGCTTTCGGCATCTACGCTAACTGAAGCATTTTGGCGGCTTTTCCATAGATCCGTCAAATCGAGTAGTATTAAAGGATACTGATCATCCCCTGCCGGAAATTCGAATTTATATAATGCAGCGTGATCGCTAGAGGTCATTGTGGCCTTTATCCCCGAGACCAATTCCACCTCGAAGTAGCCTGGTCGAGCAACAACCGAATCTTCTACGTAGTGAGTGGCCCTCTCGCTTATGAGGAAGTTACAATTATTCACGTCACCTCCAGGACATATCTGAGGGAATAAAGGGAAATTTCCTAGGCTGGGGTTCCCGCCTGTGCCGCTGTCATGAGCTGCTGAGAAGCCCGTGATACTTGAGCCATCGGTTGAGAAACCCCCGGTATTCTGACCATCCACATCCGCAACAGGCTTTGCCAAACCGTATGGCCCTACAATAGTATGCTTAGCAGATGTCTACTAGGAAATGAGAGAACATACTTGTAGCACCCGCGAATACATTTCCGCCGTTAGTGCTACCAATAAGAGGGTCTACGAATTGGAGCACGTCGATACAGACTGCAGCAAGAGGAAAGATGGTGGAAAAAATGTAAATAAGTAGCGGGGTCACGAAAGACAGTCGCCGACATGCCATCCTAAGTTAATAAGGACCGCAATGGTAGGACTATGGATGATATAACTTTACTTTAAAAAAATGCAAAAGAGAAAATCAAGGCCGGCAAGTCTATGTATAATAACACCACGTCAAATCTACTCCCTAGACGGTGGCGTTTTGCGACCTTCCTGAAATGGTTGACCTTACAAAGGTCGCCCAAACGGCCATGCGGTGATCTTCATAATTGTGGAGAGCACAGATAATTCTAGCATTGGAACAAAGATTATTCACCTGTCTACCTATCAAGTATTCCTTCTTACAGAATGCAGTGCCTTAAGACGAACACCGGTCCAAACAAATGAGAAGAGCGCGAAGAGACGAGCCAATATAGAATCTAATATCTCCAAGATTACTAGCTTATTCATAAGGGGAGTATTGTTGATACCTTTTACATTGTTTCTACATTGATATAACATAGGCAGTGCGCTGAATTGACTACAATACGTAGTACCACCCATGTGAGGGGTTATAAGCAAGGGACTTGTCCACGGAATTCGGTAAATAAATGCCTTACCTACACTTGAGGTACATTATTTGATAACAACGTAAATAAGGTCTCTTCGCGGCGATTCTGGTAGGCGATTGATATTTCACTATTTCAAACCAAATGCAATCAAGAAGAGAATATGTTTACAGATATTTTGGCTAGCTAAAGTATTCGTTGTGGTTGGTTGCATTAATTTGTAGCAGTCTACTAAGTTAAGAACTACACCTTATTCCGAAAAGCATTAATATATTACGAATAGTAAAAAGAAGGCGAAGCTCGATATATGACAACTTCTATGCTTAGGTGCAGTATGAACCGGAATACAAGGCACTGACTGCCAAGTTCACTGTCGCGGTCATCGACCTCGGCCTCGGCTCTATGCTGGGCAACGTCACCGTAACCTACCTGGACATTGGAGTCAGGGACCGAATATTACTCATCGTATTCACATGATGGAAAGGGTCGAGAATTCAGATCTGATATCAAACTTTAAAGCTTTGTCCTCTAGTAGATTTTAAGGGACGAAGGGAGATATGGTTTTCCCTTACAGCAACATGGGGACGTCCCTTGTTAGCATCCCGGCCTGTCATTATCGGATGATGATAATGGTCCAAATTAACCTTATCTTTTTGACTCCCGCTCCTCACCCAAAAGACTATTCAAAGGTTTGGTATATGCCTCTTTCTACTGCAGGCTGCGACGTCTCGATAGTTCGTTCCACGCGTATTTCGTGTGTTGATGACGAATAGACCATGAGAAGCAAATCCCTCTGCGAGATCAAAATGCCAAGGGGGCAATTAAAGGTTTCCCAATAAATAAATGACGTGTATGCCGCCTTTTTATCGCGGCCTCCGACGTTGACAATATGAAATGGGATTACGATTTCGTAACGTAACCATCACGGAATACATGACTTATTATTCGGCGAGGAATATCCCGGATGCTAGCCACTCACTATGGCAAAGCGATATCCAGGTTTTATACCAACTGGCCTTCGAATTTAACTATGACGCTAAGAATCTGGACAAGGACGGATAACTTGACCGAGAGATACTTCGACTCGTCATGGTAACTTGACCGTGCAGCTATACCATAGAATCTTACAACATATAAACCACATATAAACCCTTAACATATTTAATTTTTAACAAATAGTTAGTCGTACGAGCATTTGTATTCGTTTTTTTTTCTCCACCTTGCTAGAATCAGTGTAAGAATAACCATGCCACACTTCATCGGTTTGGCAAGTGCCGGCGTCCTAGCACTCGTCGTGCCATACTCTCTTGCGGTTCCCTTCGTCTCCGAAGCTCAAACTACCGTGCAATCCGATGCGACTACGACAGTCCCTGTCGTTCCTGTGACGAATGTGACCTCTCATGGTCCATATACCGGCCCACCGGCTACGACAACCGGCGCACTCTCCACGGAGGTCACAGCTTTAACGATTCCAAGCAGGCCACCAGAGCCCTACAAGCTGCAATATCCGGCAGACGGGCAGCTTCACCAACCACAACCCGCACCATACACGCCCGGCGGTGGCCTAGGAACCAACGGGTCCGAGCCAGTGTATCGCGTAATAAGCGATTTTGACTACGAGTCTATTGCGTTGGCCCTCTACCAAGAGTGGATAGAACTCGATCTCTTCCATTGGGGTTTAGCCAGGTTCTCCACCGAGGAGTTCGAAGCCGCCGGATTGAATGCCGAAGATCGGTATCTCATCCAGTTCATGGCTGAGCAAGAAGTTGGTCATGCTACAGCTTTGACAAACTTGCTGGGAGATAACGCTCCGGTCCAGTGTACTTATAACTACCCAGTGACAAGCGTGCGAGAATTCATCGACTTCAATCAGAAATTAACCCGATGGGGAGAGTCAGGCGTATATGGTTTCTTGAATCATCTTGATTCGCGTGAATCGGCTCAGATACTTTTGCAGTCTATCACAACAGAGGCACGACAGCAGCTCATTTTCCGCCAGTTCGATGGCCTCTTTCCTATGCCTGTGTGGTTTGAGATAGGCATCCCGCAATCCTGGGCGTGGTCCCTCCTGGCCCCGTATATCTCGTCGTGTCCGGCTAACCAGACTCGCCTGATATGGCAGAACTTCCCTTCACTACGCGTCATCAACCAGCCAAACCCAGCTCGTATCAACGGTTCTGACGCCTGGAACGAGACTACCGGCGGGTACGCGAACACACTCAGCACTCGAAATATATCAGCAGCAGAGAGCTGCCTGCACGGTGGCATCGGTCAAAACTGCAGTCCGGCCATTACCCATAATAGGACCACCCCGTTATCATATCCCGGCCGTCAAGTTTTCTTGAAGTGGGATAGCCCTGGCAATCTCATCGGGCCAAACAACAGCTACGTCACTAGCATGTCGGCAGGATATCCTAAGTTTGCCGCCTGGGTCTCTCAGCTCAACGTCACCTATACCCCCTTACAGAATATCAATGGCAACACTGCGTATACCATTCAACCTAACACCTCGACATACGAAGGTGATCCTGCTGTGAACGGTACCATCTTCTTAGCTATCACAGACGACGATTTATACGTCACGCCATTCAACATCACGCAGATGAACCCACATGTCAATGCATTGGCCATCTACCAAGCGGGATAAGCTGTGGCTTTCACAATTCATTTTCAGGTGCAGACTGAGTATGGAGAACAGGCTGATTGAAGCCAGTATGCTGGGGAAGGGTAAGAAGAGAAACGACAAGAAACTAGGCAGGATCAAGACATAGGCCACAATGGTATCTTGTTACACGCACAAGATGCATTTCATAGCCACAATAGATCAGAAACCAAGTTAACCCAAACTTTTCAGTCGCGATTGCTCTCTCCACGCTATTGGTACTATACAGTCTCTAAAGTGAATGACAACGTCGGAAACATGTTCGGATCTATGCGTCACTTACTCCAAAGACCTCTAGCTCCTCGCAAAGCACCACGCTGAGATACTGTAAGGATACTGCCATCAATTCTTATCCCGTCATCTAGTGATAGTCCTTAGAAGATGAATTCCGGAGAAAGCACCATTACTCCGTTTCGCCATTTCCAAATCAAACACTGGGTATCTACTTTTCCAAATAAGCTGTTGAATCATCGGAATAAAAAGAGAGAGAGAGAGAGAGAGAGAGAGAGAGAGAGAAAATAAGCCGTGTAAATAACGGCAGAGAGGTTCGCAATAGTAGCGCACACGGAAATCCCAAAGTTCCGAATTAGTATTGATCCGGTGAGTCCGATAGAATATGTACCGGCGAGCTGCTGCATTTCCGCATACACGTATCATGAATAAAAAATGCAGCTGCTATCATGATGGAACGTTTATTTCGTATCCAATGAGTACTTCGGTAGTTGTCCCTTCCCAGCCTCGGTTCCCCGCAGCTGATATCATGAAGCGACTTGACGGGTCGATGTATAAGCTGGATATGACACCGGCGCGTGGCGGGCCAGGGATAATTAGGAAAGGTGGTGGCGAGTGTTTAGACGAATGCTCGGAGCGAAGATCGTAAAGTCGAAGAATATCGTGAGAGGCACAAACTAGATGCCGTCCGTTGACCATCGATCGAACGCAACTAACCGGTCCGCTTCCACCGGGAAACTTAAAAACCCGTTCTGGTTGCCAACCTACGCGACCACCCTTTGCCTTCTGTATGCTGAATTCCTCTACCGTACCGTTTCTCCTGCCCGCGTATATCCAATTGCCATCCGGGCTCCAGCACGCCCCCATGCACCAAGGAGGGATACCAGGCCTGTTCCCAATACGCGCCACGGGATTTTGCATTCGACGATCCCAGATACGTAAGGTCCCATCCATAGACGCGGAAAGAAAAGTACTATCCGAAGTCTGTGTCATATCGTAATGCGTGGGGGGCGGGGCGGCGAAAACAGTGGACGGTGACTGAGGTAACTCCGCTTGGCCACCCTGAGCATGCGGCAACGGCATATCTGCTAGCTGCGATCTTAACGTGCTGTCGCCCGGGTTGATTGACTGCGAAAACTCCGGCATAGAGGGCAGAGACGACGGGTCCATATTTACGTCGGTCCCAAAAGAACTGAGCGCATTGTCGCCAAATATAGTAGGGTCTGATGAGTTCGAATTAGGAAGAGGCTGGGTGGTTGGCACTTGACCCGACCCTGGTTCAAAGGCTGAACCAGAGATATTATAATTACCTATTGCAACGTCGGCATCCTGAGCCGAATCTTGCATCATCGCTCGGGAAAATTCGTTGTCCTCTTCCCCCTCATAAGCGCCCATGCCGTCGTTGTCACCGAAGAGATCGGAGCCGACTGTTGGACTACCACCAAATAGGCTGTCATGCGCAGGACTCCCTCGACCATCAGCCATCGCGTCTCTCCCATTAGCCATCTGGCCAGAAACGCCATTAGCTCCTACACCGTTCACGCCAGTATCGATATCCATGCTAAATGTGCCATCCATCTCAAACTTTAAGTCGCCGTCGGCACCAGGATGCGTATTATTGCTAAAGAACGTATCGCTTAGTATCTCCTCTTCGCTAGCTTCCGGGGGAATCGGTTGTCCTCCCATGGGCCGAATCTCGACGGCAGAAATCTGTCCTCCACTTCCATCAAACTGACGCGCCACCTGTCCCGTATTCAGATCCCAGTCAAATATATTCTTATCCCAGCTGCCACTCAATACACTCTTCTCATCCGGAGAAAGAGTCAGAACGCTGACAGCATTGGTATGCTTCTTGAGACATGCAATCCGTTTCCCTTCGTCGTGACGCACGCTTTGGAGATTAATGCCGCCGCTCTCGAGGCCGGACAGGAGCCACAAGGCCTGGGAGTGGACAGCTAGACTGTAGACGGGGCTGAGTACCAAGTCTTCCTGTCGCACAGGGGCAGGTTGAGGCTCGGCATTTTCCCAATACGACATCAAGACACCAGCCTTGGTTACCGAGTCGACGAATGGATGACGCTGCGCTACGGTTAAGAGGGTTTTACCGTTGATTGTAGCGGGCCCGTCGTACTTCCTGATGTATCCGTCACTTCCACCCGTCATCCAGTAACGAAGATCGGGGGTTATAGCTATCGCATTGACACTGGTGGCCATGGGAGCTGCCATAGTCGGAACGATATCGTACGTAGCTGCGGTGAGCGCTTCCGGGCGAACCTTGGGCTTCCACTTGGGAGTAGCGAGAGGACCGGGGGTAGCCGAGGTTCGAGCGACGGCCGGGTTAGCTAAACCGTTTGATTGCTGGTGGTCATGAGCGTCATCTTCGTCTTCATTCTCGTGCTGGTCGGGGTCATCGTCTTCCTCCTCGTCATTTTCGTTCTCATTATCGTTATCGTTGTCATTGTCGTCTTCATCGTGATCTGGATTGTCATTCTCGTCCTCGCCATCTACATCTACATCGCCATCGCCATCGCCATCCGCCTCGTGGATCATAATATCGTCATCGTGTTCGTTATCCGAGCTCGCATTGGAGTCTCGGTCAAAGTCGTCCATGGCTGAACAATGAATGCTATCGACTACGATCGAGTACGACAAAGCACGATTATCTCCCAACCTACGAATAGCATTCTATAGCCTCGTTTTGGATTGTTTGGGATTATTTAGTATATGCTGTAGCTATTGTAGCAATATTAAAGAAATATGTCTACTTAAATGTGTGAAAAGTGAAGAGTGAAAAGATAATAACCTAACCTAAAATTATAAGACAAAGACGGCCGAGCGCGTAGGAGATTTAGCAAGTCGGATAAATGAATAACGAATGATGATATGTATAAAACAAGTGTATTCATGTCCGAGTATAGATCGATACATATGCGGGGCATCTAACTTCGCTGCCAAGATTCCGTATATATGTGTGTATATATACCTACAGCGTGCTTAACGTACATATCACGGAAATATCTAGTAATAAGTGATAAATTATTCATACAAAATTCCTCAAGTATAATCTCAATGTAAGTAAATAAAAGAGCCATAAAATTTACAAATTGCATGTAAGGCTAAAGCGCCTCAACTCCCACCTAAGACTCTTACAACTCTAAACGTCCCATTTCCCTTCCCTTCGCCCCTTTATTCCCATACCTCCGTATCCCCCTACCCCCATCACTTTCCAATCCACAATCATCAGGTTTTCCCAGAGACATAATAAGTAGTAGTCAAATAAACGGCTAATTCCTAACCCTGCCATACCAGCCTCTGGCGAGTCTTCCCCCCCTGCCTCTGCCGAGTCTTGTTTCCCTCCCTCTGTGAACTTTCTGAGTGTTCTCCTTGCTTTGGGAAGATGTCTCTGTCTCTTTCGGAGTACTACTAGAAGCACTACGTCCTTTAGGGAAGACCGCGTTGGTTTTCTTATTCTCAAAGGACTCATAATCATCACCTGGCGTATAATCCGGTGCCACTGTCGGCTTATTAGCGACCGGTAATTTTTGAGACCTTCTTCTTGACCTGGAAGGCTGTGCCTCGTCATCATCTTCTCTTACTCGCTTTCTAGCGTCTGCGTTGTATACTATGACTGAGTCCCCACCTTCCGGCGGCTCCATCAAAGTTGCCGCGTCTACGTCTCGAAGTCCGTCCCGAACAGTGCTAACCACTTCCACCGCGATACGTGCTTTGTAGCCCATTTCGCGAACAGCTTCGTATGCGGTAAGGCCAATCATCTCCCATCGCACCAAGTCAGAGTTAAACCACCCGCTCAAATCTTCCCAGAGACTTTCGTCATAATGATAGACCTCGCCATGCACCATACCCACTATCCGGTTCATAATATTCCTTGCTGCCCAAAACGTTCGGAGACCGCAGCTCCAAGAGTCTAACTGCTGGGATGTCGATGTTTCACGATGGTAATCTCGAGCAAACGTGAAGTGATTTTTTCTGAGAAACTTTTGCAATCGATTTCCAATGAATTGTTTTCTCACCCCTCCCCCTCTAGTTCTCCACGAATCGATAATGCCGACCTGAAGAATTCTTGTCCATCCGTTAGCTTTGTTAGTCGAATTCACTTTACGGATAACACCTAATACCCAATGGTTACCATGAATATTCATCGGCCATAGGGTATATTCGGTCTGTTTAAGGCTGCGGCAAAATCTTGCATAGTTTCTGTTCAATATGTCCTGAAACGCCCTCTCGTTACTCCCAAATAATCCTTCGATACTCGTGTCTGCAATATGGATCAAGTCCTTGGCTAACTTTGGCAAGCTGTTCTGGTACACCTTTAACGATTTATCAAGAGCATCACCATTAAGCCATTCCTCGCGGTTGGCCTGAAGTTGATTAAGACCTCTTATATCTGGCCAGCCATTGGGCGGACGAGGTAAGTTACTACCAGGTAGTTCTATATGCTTTTGCCGACATTGTCCTTGGTCCGATCCTTGGGTCCCGCATAGTACCTGCGCTGGCGAGGTGCTCGGCATGTTTGTTATTGCCTTATATAATGAAGGATCTCAAACGATGATAGGCCTTGGGTAGTATTTCGTATCGTACTGGTGATACTAAGCTCGTTGTCCCATCAACAGCCGTATTTGCGTGTAAGTTGTGTATCGCAATAAAATACAGGTGAATTCTAGTATAGTTTATTACACCACTGAGGAGTAACACTGCGTAGTAGGTCAGACCTATTGGATAATGGATGCGTCGGTTGGTTGCTGTTGAAGTTATTAAGATATTGTCGCTTGCTAACAAAGGTGGCCGTGGGCGTTCCTAGTAGCCTGAACTCTTAATATATCTTTGTGCTCCGCCGAATCCGACGACCTACGAGCACAATGGGTTACAAGCTGAATCGGAGGTCAAACTTCGGTTTCGGCCGGCACCTAGTGCCCCTTTGTCTTTGAAAGCGAGTACGGAAAAGACAAGAAATTATGCTCGAGATATAGCGATCCAACCTAGCGTCTAGGTAAGATGAAAAGAGGCTTCTTAGCAATTGAAATCTCTAGGATTCTTTGTAGACGAAGCCGCTAAACGTCCTAAACCCCTAATAAAATCCACAATATTAACAACTAACCTGACAAGGAAAATTAGGCATAAATCCAATTACCAATTCAACACGCTCATGCTATTTCGTAACTATAGATAAAATCGTCGCTGTTGTATAGTCCTAGAAAGCTCCTTTCCGTCTACTAAAATTCTTACTAAACTATAACGTATTGACAGAACTTACTCTTTGAGTTAGCTAACTCACTCAATATACTCGCCCCATATACTCACTAAGATACAGTGGTATTGACACGGCTTTTGAGCTATAGCACTCATCTTTGTAGTTCTTAGGGTTGCATATAAGTCTTTTATTATGTTTTTTTAAGACTTTGTATGAATTATGATTATACTATAAGTGTAATTGTTCGTTGTTAAGTAAGTAACTACCAAGAGAGTTAAACATCATAAAATTAATACCAAGGAAAACAAAATTGAAGTTGGGGATTTATAGAATGACTCTTAAGTATGTAGTTTGGCTGGAATTGAAAATAAAGGCCTAAACATCATAGCAAGACGTATATGACACGATATAAGGCAATATCTACCTCCAATCAAGGGAAATAGATGCACAGCCACTCCGCCACAGTGGCACAACGGTTGGTTAGATACTAGCCTCTAGGCAAAGTTCTAGGCAAAGTCTGGGCATACGATTTACAAGCATAGAATCCACGATCCTTCATCAATAATTTGTTATTATCGGTTGTATCGGATAGGATTGCTAACGCATAGTCGTGATTACCTAGGCCAATTCTGGATTACCAACTACCACTATGGGGGTCCATTGTCCAGCCTGGTTGATTTCTTCCAACTACCAACTTACCAACTACCCAACTACCCAACTATTAATTGATAATTGTCAATTCCTAATTTCTAACTGTTAACTATCAATCGAAGCATGTAACAATATATTATAGCTAGTTCTCTCTTATACCACCTAAATCGCTATTTCTTATATATCAACTCGACAAGGGGGGAAGTTGTTGGTTCTCTGGGAGCGAGGGGGCGAGCTAGCAGCTTTCAGATGCTCGCTACAACTCCAAATCGCGGCGTCGTGTCGTTCTTTTTGAGCTTTCTGCTCTGCTATGTTATAATCGCTCTCTATTTGCGGTCCAAGTGCTACCGCGATCCATCCTCCCTCTTTTTTAGGCCTGAATCCGCCCGAGTCCTGACATATTCTTCCTTTCGCAAGGCACAAGCCCGGAAATATGCAGATCTAGCTACGCTACATACCCCGACAAAATGGGTCGCAAACTCCACCGTTCCCGAACTTTGTATCGGCATCGCTTCGGTGAGCCGGCATGGGTTCTCTTATTTGAAAGAAACCCTCGGGTCGGTGCTCGACGGCTTAGATGATCTTGAACGTCAACACATCTACGTTGTCGTCTTCCTTGCCCACACCGATCAATCCCAACACGAAGATTTCAACCAACCCTGGCTCATCAACATGGCCGACAATCTCCCAACCTACCCAGACGACCCCGAAACCTCTGACCTTGTGCGACAGCTCGAGATTAGCGGGGACTACGAAGCCCATGCCCGAAAGCAGAAGATTGATTACACAGTACTACTAGGCGAATGTACCAGTGTTGGCGCTAAATACATCATGACCTTGGAGGACGACGTGATTGCTTTAGATGGGTGGTATCACCGAGCTCTCGGCGCTTTGCATACTGCCGCGAGGAAGACCCAAGAGCTCGGACGAGACAGCTGTATGTTTCGATCCATCTATTACCAAAGACACTCCCCATAAATTATTACCTTCGTATTTACTATTACTAACCTGATTATCATCTATGTAGTTCTCTACCTACGCGTCTTCTATGATGGTAGGCTCCTCGGCTGGAATAGCGAGGAATGGCCATTATATGTCGAATCAAGCATAGCAATATTAATTGCCGAAGTTTTGATTTTGGTAACTCTTCGCTGGCGTATCGTTATGCTTCGTAAAACTCTGACTTATTCGGTCGTCTTCTTACTCTGTGGGGTTTGTACTCCCATGCTAATCGGTCTATTCTTCGCGGCCGGCCGTAATTGCATGCTACCAAAAGAACCCGGTGTTCACCTTATGCATAAGTACGGTTGCTGCGCCCAAGGACTCATATTTCCTCAGCGTCAGGTACTCGAGAACTTGCTCCCCCTATACCGTGAGACCCACGATAATCACGCTGCCGTTGATACATTTCTAGAGGATTGGGCCAATAATCACGATAGCTTGCGCTGGGCTGTCACGCCAGTCTTGATCCAGCATGTCGGCGGTAAAAGCTCACACGGCGCAGGCGACCAGGAATTGGGCTCGCTTACTGAGGACATGCCATTTGATTATTCGTTTGAGATGAACGATCCCATCAAGCTCGCAAGGGAGCATCAAGCATGGGTTGCAGAGATGTCGAGATAGAATCCCGCAATAGCAAGTAAATAAATTTTATCAATACTATATAGGTTAACCATTACTATTGCGTATGAAATAACTTGAGTTTACAGCGTGTTGACATGAAATAATAATTTTCTTTATTAAAATGTGGACAGTAAACGCCGTGTCCTAGAATTACGCTTATCAATTAAGATGTAGTGTTGATTAGCACTGGTAGTTGATGAAATCGCGATCGATTACATTACTGCCCGAGAAAGAAAATGGTTACCTATTGAGATCAGTACAAATATCATTGAATAACAAGTCCTAATGAACGACAATAAGTCGAGGGATATTCACTGACAAATGTATCTGATAACATGATGGAACCACCCTATATGAAATATGAAAGGGGCAGGGGTGTGATATCGTTATGTAGCATTTTTATACACTCACTACTAATATTTCTACGTAGTGAAAAATATAATGCTTGACTCTTCAGGCCTTACCAATAGTAGGTAGCCTCCTCCAATTTCTGAATGAGGTTGTTTCTTTAGGGGGATTTTCGCACTCAGAATTTGTACCAGATCCGACTGGAATTGCTATTACCTACTCGGAGATCTTATACTGAGGCCGTATGAGTAGACGACAATATCGAACGTAATTCCGATCCAGTTTCCAACAATCGGGAGTGGAATCAGCGATGCGTCAATATATCGCAATTATCCAAATGCGAGTTCTGGGGTGCAGCTCATATCTCATCACATCGCCTCCAGTGAATTGTGGTACTCGAGAAGGTAGTATATCCCGTATCTTCAGGAAACTTAACCTTATCGCATCTTTTATTCAGCTTATCCAGCTCAACCCAGTCCAAAGGGTCAGAGCCGTAGCATCTATCGGTTGTCAGCCGGGATACCGTCAACAAGATTAACAGATAAAAAGCATGCCATTCAAACCCGGGAAACAGGGTTACTTGTACTTACTCTTCCCAAACCTCTTGCGGTGTCCCTATGAACATGGCAGGGAGACACTTGTCGATGATTTGTGCATAAACGTCCCTATATAAGTGAACACCAAACGCCAGCGTTGTTGGGCTGACTAGTTCGAACGCTAGAGGCGAATCAACCACTTCGTGGCCCAAAGCGCGAATAAAAGCCTTATCCGACGTATTGAAAACGGGCTCCTGGAAGATACATCGGATCGTACGCGAACTATTACGCTGAAGCTGCTCAACGACGAAAAGAAAAGCGGCCAGTTGTATATGTGCCTTTCGCTTCATCTCCCAAGAGCTATCTTCGGGATCGAACGATCCTGTGCCAAAGCAGATAGCGTCGGAAATATTAGAAAGGGATATGTGCGATTCGAAGATATCTTGCAACTTATGATAGCATATCGAATTCTCCCATTGTTGCTTAATACGCTTGTGCTCCTCCATGATAGTAGGAACGGATAAGGACGACGACCGCACCGAGGCAGCGATACCTCCCGCGATACACAAAGGGGCGACGGAGTGAGGTGCTTTAGGTCGGCGCCGTCCCTTGTGATGAACCCGGGTCCATTGCTCTTCAGGCTCGGCTGCTTCCTCGTGACCATTTATCACTGTTGAGGCCATGGAGCAATCAATATGAGTGACATCTGCATAAATAGAATGGCCATGTAGAAATTCGCGGTAAGAATTCTAATAAACGATCTTATTGGGGGTTTGCCGTAAGTTATGATCGAAGTATGTAAATACCTGTCTACAATTATAATTTTGATAGAATAGCTAGGAATGACTTTTGATTTTTTTTTTCTAATATGTTGGAAATAGCACTTAAGATAGTGGTTTATCAATAAGGTCCACACAAGGGAAACAAATTGTTAGTAACAAAATTCCATGTTTCCGGCACGGGAGCCTGTCAACTGTTAAAGCCACAGTACCTACCTGTTAGCCACACCTAAGATTTACACTCTTCGTTTAACTTATAGGTATTAGCCGCCTTCATGCATGAGATGAGATGAGACGCGAAAGAAGAATCAATGGCGCAAACTCATTCAATAACTCAAACAACCTAAGAACATGCGTTTGAGCTTGTACGGTAGGTAGCGTCATATTATAGGGTTACCACGTTCTTACGATCATAGAAAACACCCGAATGACACTTGGGAACTTGATTTGGAATTCGGAATTTATATCGGTCGTTAATAATAATCCATAATAATTTCCTGGAGGGGCGCCAAGATTATGTCTCTTAAGGTTACTTGTTAATAATTATTCCGTCTGGGTACTGAAGATTCTCTCCGTCATCGTCGTCATCGTCATCATCCTTGCGAAGTATCGCAAGGCTATCCAAGCTGCATCAAAGTGGAAAGGACGTCAAATTGGTATTGCCCGGTCTTATATAAATATATATCTACCTCCTAAGGTATACTTATTTTGGTGGGGGCAGTACAAATTTGTTAGCTGAAATGGCAAAGTGATTTCTTCTTACTTGCTAGAAAAGATTCGTGGTGGGTGGGAATGATACCGGTCGCTCATATTCGGCCAAAAATAGCCCCATAGTCAACCCAGCCTTGCAAGGAGAGATGGTAGGATGGGTCTACCAAGGTACCTACGTTAAGATCGAAAGAGATTGGGGCTTCCCGAGGGGGGGCTTTTTCGTCGGCGCTTAATGATGGCTATCATCATTGGTTGTTTGCCCTGGGGAGCTGTGCCTAACCCCTGTCTTAAGTGGTGCCGGCGCTGTTTATTGTCACCAACCATATCCTCTTCGGGGGTTATGTTCAACTATATCAGTAAGGGCTGCTGTGATCCCGGAGCTCCCCTGCCGTCGATCAATATTATTGGTTACTTTTGAACAAATCACCTTCGTCTATACATTGACCAAGCGACTCGCCCAAGTATTATTATCGATACCCTATTGGCTATGCCCGATCGGTTGACAAGGGACAGGCTTCGGCTGCACGTCGTGCACATTATTCTGTCCTTCTAACTGGACCGTTTGTCCCAAAATGCCGCCCGTTTCTTTTGACCCTTGATCTCTTGGGGCGGGGAGCCCATCGATGGTATTGGTTAGGCAATGCAGGTGCTTCGAGCAGACACGGATGGCGTTGTAATTATTGCGCCCACCCGTCAGTAATAATGAGCACCTTCTGCCCTACCATCTTTTCCCGATCCTTTTTCTCATCGCTTCCATCACCGGCGCCGATATTCTAGCACTTTAAACGGACATACGCATACTGCAGAGTAATATCTGGGGTTATTGCTAGAATCACGACCATAACAACTATTTGACTAGAGCTGGACGTAGAGGTGTCCTTTCGATTGCATATACCAGCAGACAGGGATAACATTCACGTTCGACAATCTTCGCAATCGGCTCTGCGGGAAAGTTTGGGAACCGCATTCTAAATTGCCGGTTGATTGCTGTGCGACGGGATTGCCTTATACGCCGGTTCATTAGACCGTTTCTGTTGAAGGGTCCGAAAGACGAGGGAAAAAAAAAACAACAACACTGCCTAACGCATAATGCTGTCCTCAATACTACTAGCTGTGGTCGTCTCGACCATAGTAACGGCTCATACAGTCATTACTTATCCCGGATGGCGGGGAGACAATCTCATCGAGAACTCTACATTTCCTTATGGCATGCAATGGACCTATCCATGTGAGTGAACCTATCTAGCTTGCTTTAGTTCTCTTTATATGTGCTGTTATCAATTCCGGTATGGATCAATTCGATCTAATGCGTTTAACACAGGTGGTGGTATGCCCTTAACGACGAATAGGTCGTATTGGCCAACTACGGGTGGCGCCGTCGCGTTTCAACCAGGCTGGTTTCAAGGTCATCAGACGGCATTTCTCTACATCAATCTCGGATTCGGCACGGACGGACCTGACCACGGGCCAAAAAATATGTCGTTCCCTATGATCGCTCCTTTCCAACTCCTCGGTCCCTCGAAAGGTCCGTATCCCGGGACGGTTTGTCTGCCCCAGGTGCCCCTCCCCGCGAACATGAGCTTCAACGCCGGGGACAACGCGACTATACAAGTTGTCGAGATAGCGCAGCACGGAGCTGCTTTGTTTTCGGTAGGTTACGATTTCACTGACGGTTATGATTTAAAGACTAATCGTATTGTACTAGTGTTCCGATATTACATTTGCTGAACCCGGAGACGAGAGGATCGCTAAAGTTAACGGGTCTAACTGTTTTAACAGTACAGATCTAGGATTCGCTGAGATATACACCGTTACAACGCAAGAGATGGGTTCGGCGGCGAACGTGAGTACTAGCAGCGCCTCTGGTCTTTGGAACCACAGTCCTGCAACGTGGAGCTGGCTCGGCTACTTCCCGATATTCATATGTGCTCTAGGGTTTTTACTGTAGGATTTAAGGAGCGCGGAAATTTACGACAACGACGGAAAACGAATGAGGCAGGTGAATCACTTTTTAGGCTGTAACACCTTGTATCTGTATATACCGTGTGGCATCTGGGACTGGCGTACAAGGTGGGCGGTTGAGCGTTTTTGGGTACTGGTGAGCGATTTTTCATGCTGACCGGGCTCTATAATTTTCGGGAGACAGGATTAAAATATCTATCCCACTATACCATTTATCATCTCAAGATGCAGATTTTATAGATCTTTACATTGTCTCGAGGATCAATTGATACCCCTTTAATTAAATTGGATCCTTACAAGGACCCTGCCCCTATTCTTCAAGTGCATTTGCTTCAGTAGGTAGAATTAAGATATATAAAGGAGAAGGGAATAGATGATTAATACATCCTATATACCTTATCCGTCGTAAGGCCGCATGTCATAGGGTATAGTTCAAACTTGGCGGTTAAGAACGTGTTTTAGCTTACACCGGTAACGAGACGCGTCAGAGCAGCCGATTAGACAGAAACTAGGAGAAAGTCCTGAAACTACAATGTATCGACCCTAGGGTAAGTCATTTGATACCGGTATTTTCTAAAGGGTTATATTGGATTCAATGCTACCCAGAAACAGTAAAGGGGTCAGGTGTAGTCGATACCATGTGTACCAATGATCGTATTATTGTGAAGATTTATCAAGTTGAGGTTGATCGAGATGTATTAAAGTATAACTTAGGAGTTATATAATATACCCAGGTAGTCTTATAAAACACACCTCATATACGTGGTGAAAACTCATGCAGTTGAACGAACTATCATAATACCACGACTTAGACGAGATTCCGAGGCCGTCTATATTACTGTGGCTAACTCTTTTTAAAATTTCACATCGCATGAGTCTGTCTATTCGAGTAATTCTGATGGCGCCGAATGCAGTAAAACCATACCAATTCTTTAAGGGAGTATTACTGCGAGATGCTCAACACCGGCTCCTGATGATGTAGAAGAAGGATTGGCATCAATGTCAACAACCAGTTTAAAAGACTTGGCGAGGATGGTTATTCGGAAGGCGGACGTTCTGCTTGATTTAATGTTATTACCTTCGACTGTGGCTATCTTAGTAGTGATAGACACTCATCGGCTAGCTCTTTCACACGCGGTTCGGAGATACGTTCTTTACTCGACGCTATGGACGACGACAAGCTTTTAGCCTCAGGAGCAGTCTTACCAATCACGGTAATAAGGGTACCCGCAGCCACCAACGCTCGGAATATAACTTCTCCTTCGGTTTGCGTTTGAAGAATCCGAGCAAGCGCGGTTAGCAGGCGGACCTGAACGTTGGCTGAGACGCTTCCCGGCTCTCTCGATGCAAGAACGGCGAGATTCACAATGGTCGTCGTCAAGGCGATTAATAGGTTACGGTTGTACGGACCGATCGGAGGTTGGCCACCGATACCTAATACCCGGTCGACGAACGATGCGATCTGGAGGCTTTCCGAATGTTGTGCGAGCAATCTTCGACCTTCGGTAGATCTGAAAAGATTGGCAATTGTTCGGGCCGCCATCATAGCGCAGTTTTCGTTAGGTTGTGCACCAGGCGGGATGCCCTCGAGCGCGGCGGAGATGGCTATCTGTACCGGACTGCCGAGGTTGGCCGATCTGAACTTGGCTACAGCGGGCGACGTCGCGGTGCATCTGAAAAGGTCGAGAGGAGCTAGCCTATCCGAGTAGTCCCATTCCGTACACATCATGACGACTAAGCTGATAGAGGCATTCTCCACTACCGGTTGGTTCGCTTCTAGTCTCTGCCTCAACCCAAGTAATACTTCTTGCGCTGGTGGGTTTAGGGAAAGGTCTTTGCGTCCCGCGGCTTCAAGAGAAGAGCTAACACTGAGAATCTTCTTAATTATGGCTAAACGATTATATGGTTAGAATTAAGTCCCCTGGAAAATGTTGCAAGTTTTATTAGGTTACTTACGTTCGTATTTTGCAGCCGTGATATCGAGATACTCGCGCTGCGGTAGAGATCGGGCCTTAGAAGAGCTAGGGTCATCACCCGGCCGATGCCGCGACTCCGTGCCTGAACCCTCAGAGTCTTGTCCAATTGTAGCCCCTTGCGTGTTTGTGATGATGAACTGCGCGACCTGATCTAAGAAGTTTTGCGAAAGCTCATTGTCGTCAATAAATTTCTGGGCTCGGGTGTAGGGATTCTCGGATAGATTATATGGTAGTTTCAGGGAAGGCTGACCCTCTTCGATAGCGACGTCGAAGACGTAGTCATAAGACTGGCCGTTATACTCAACCTTGCGCCCACTGCTGCCTACTGCGTCGACCACGGTGCCGACGTTGACCCACTGTTGTTGGCTCATCGACCATTGGTGAGCCGTCACGGAACCGTTTTCCTCTCTTATCATCTGCACCTGTCCCTCCTTGGTACCCGATTTGGTCTTTAGAAATTCGGGGCCTGGAAGCTTCTCCTTGTTTATCCCACCGACTTGCTGCTGTGGTATCGACGAACTCTTGACGGATTCATCAAAGTGCGCTAGAGTGTCAGGGCTGGCTAGGCGCTCTGGATCACGGGAAAACACACGGATGACACCGTCGCTGGCACCTGTCACGATGTCTCCATCTACCGAACACACAGACACAGTCCACACCGAGATGGCAGGATGAGTAATGGTCTGGACACACTCGGTACCTCTCCATACGCGGACCGTTCGATCTTCTCCCGAACTGACCAGCTCGCCAGAGGGTAATGTGTCGAGGGCATATATGAAACTTTCATGGCCATGGAGCTCTCCAACCTTTTGGCCACTCAGCTTCCATAGGCGGATGACCCCATCGTTGCTGGCACTAGCAAAATCGGCACCGCTCGGATGGCCACTGGGAACCCGACATAGAGCTCGGATGACGTCAGAGGTGTAGATAGTGGATCGAGGCTCGACCTGGCCGGTAACAACAGTCCTGAGGTCGTAGATGCGAATATTCTTGTCAGCAGAAGCCGTTACGACGGTAGTATCGTCCAAGGGAAGGACATCCCACACCGCCTCCTCGTGTCCAGCCAGGATAGCTTCCGTCTCCCACTTATTTACACTCCATATTCTAGCAGTCTTATCCCAACTACCCGACACGATATACCGACCACCGGGAACAACGGCCAAAGCACAAACGTTTCGAGCGTGGCCGACAAGGAGACGTTCAGCGTTATCCGAGGCCGCCGAGGTGGCCCTTCTGACATCAATGATAGTATCGGTTCCGGCAGATACGATTAAGCCGTCGGGGTGGTCGGACGAAGGGGGTAAGTAGGTTAGGCTATTGTAGAACTCGGATCCTTTGGTAGCTACGGAGGGTTCGAACGCAGGAGGCGACGTACTGGTGCGTTTCCACGCACGAACGGTACAGTCCCTAGCAGCGGAGAGAATAAGTTCGGGAGAGGGGAAGCAGACATGTCGAACCTAGAGAATAGTACTCAATGATTAGAAGACCACACCCGGGGTTTGAAAATAATAATTGGAGGTAACGCATACATCAGCATCATGACCGACAAGCTGCGCGGACAGCTTGAAGTCGGCCATAGCGTGACCGGGCTGTTACCGTCTATATTTCGAGTTCAGTTGTGTATGCTGATATTCAGGGTGTAGGTAAGGAGGCTAATTTGGAAGATCGGCAGCGGCAACGTCAGCTTGGGAGTCAGACACAAATGACAAAGTTGGGGAGAAATGGTGAAGTTGGAGAGATTATCTAATGCGATAGGGCGATTTCTATGAGCTACCTAAGCCTTGTCGCAGTGCAGTTTACAAGCTGAAGCTGCTCATGAGGTAAGTGGGGTAATTGATATCTCTGCCCCACCTTATGCAGCATAGGTACCTATGTACATGCATCTAGCGAGAATAACTTCAAAAAAGCTGGTGCACCTTACTAGCATATACAAAGGTAATACATTTAAAAAGTTATTCAACACCCAAACCAATCCTGTAGAAAATTGAATCTTTTTTTTTAAAGAATGAAACTGAACTCTTGAATAAAAAATTTTTTTTTTTTACCATTTAGTTGGTTTTAAATTTGTTAAAATATAGCTGTTAAAAGTTAAAAGTTAATGTGTTTTTAGTATTGGTAAGATGCGCCACCTTTTTTGACGCCATTCCCGCTGCTAGCTCATGATTCATGTACCCTCGTACCTCTGTCGAACCCCCAGGCCAGGGCTGCCAGGGCTGTCAGGGCGGCCTTGACGCATCAAATGAGGCTCGTCAATTGAATTTCTACCTATCCCAAATCTCCAACAGCCTTGACGACTGATTTTTTTTTTCCTTCTCTCAAACCTTTGCGCTAAACGATTCTTTCTCCCCTGTCGCTCATTATCGATTGGGATCTTACACTTCAATTGTCTTGTTCTTTGGACTCTCATTTTCCTTCTCTTCTGTTTACTTTGGAGACAGTTGGAGGGCTCAAAGGCATCTAAAACCCGACTTGCGCCGATCCAAATACCACATGCTCCTGTCCTTTTATTAATGAATACGATTCTATTTCCGTCACCCTTTTGCGATATCAATCTTACGACCCGTCACGACTAGTCACGAGCATCTTCTTCTCTATCCTTTATCTTTCTCAATCTATTTTGCAGCAATTATAACCCATTTCCGATAGGGATTTTCACACCTTTTACGCTGAGCCTGTTCTTACTCCTTGAACGACGCTCCGATTCTTATTCGAAGCACACGCCAGACGCGAGTTCGGATCTTCCCTACGGGATAACTTGTTCCGACATCCTGATCTAATCTTTACCAGAGGACATTACCTCCGTCTTGGCTTCTCAACTCTAAAGATTCCTTTCAACGAATCTATCTTGTATCGCTCTGTTCTAGCAATGGCCACCCCGGAGGCGCCGAGACAATATGTCCCTCTGACCTGCCATGGTCATTCCCGTCCTGTTCCACACATCAGTTTCTCGCCTCTAGAGAAGGATGATGTTTACTATTTGATCTCGGCTTGTAAAGGTGCGTGCTCGGGTTACTCGCTCCGTACAACTTGTGCCAATCCATCCCTAACGCGTTACAGATGGTAACCCAATGCTTCGTGACGGCCAGACTGGTGACTGGATTGGTACATTCATCGGCCACAAAGGTGCAGTTTGGCAAGCGAGACTTAGTCCTGATGCCGCAACTGCCGCAACTGCTTCCGCAGACTTCACTGCGTAAGTTCTGCTGTTCTAATTTCGACGTGACGTGACGCCCACAAGTCTCCTATGCTTTTGCTAATCTCCCCGGACAGCAAAATCTGGGATACGCATACGGGAGAACTCCTGTATACTCTTCAACATGACCACATCGTACGAGCTGTTGCCTACCCACCCGATAATTCCGACCTCGTTGCCACCGGCGGGATGGAGAAGAAGCTGCGTATTTTCGACTTGACAGAGATGAAGCCCAAGTCTGCGCCCGATGCCTCTACGAACGGAAACAATCCCGAGCCCGCTATCGTACCGTCCACCATCCAAGCCTCCTCGGCTTTCGAGATAGGGTCTGGTATCCACACCGCCTCTATCAAATTCATAGTTTGGACTAGAGATCCGAATATCCTGATCACTGCTTCTGACAACACACTCCGTTGGTTTGACTTGCCTACCAGGAGCGTGGTGAAGCAGGAAGTCTTGGACGGAGAAATTGGTTCCTGCGAGTTTTGTGCCCTGGCTCCAGAATTTACGTCCAAGACGGACATCGGCGAGGGGTTGCCAGTCCTCGCGGTAGCTGCTGGGAAATCTATTTATTTCTGGGGCGGCTTCCGCGCCATGGATGAGCTGAAGCGCACCAAGATGAATTACAAGGTAGCCAGCGTCGCCCTAGACCCTAAGGGAAGGAAGATCGTCGTAGGCGAAGATATTCCGGCAACGTGGGCAAGAGTCTACAGATGGGACGACGACACAGAGATAGGTTCGTACTAATCTCGGTTCTAACCCTCCACGTATTGCTAACGGCTTCGAACAGACATCCACAAGGGCCATCACGGACCTGTTTGGTCGGTGGCCTTTTCTCCGGACGGCAAGCTCTACGCTACCGGCTCGGAAGACGGGACGATCAAGATGTGGAAGAACTGTGAAGGGTTTTACGGGCTCTGGCGCGGAGGTGCAGGCGGGGGACCGGAGAGGAACGCCGAGTAGGGTGGTGCGTTTCGTGGAAGACCTTCAACCGCCTCAAGCCGAGATAGCCCAGATGTTTCGACGAACTCTAACAAGGAGTCGCTATAGGAAGCAACGCCTACTCCTATCTCGACTAAAACGAGCACTCGAACAGCTTTAGCACAGCGTCTTCTGAATCTTGCCGTCTCGTGAGCAGAATTCGAGGGAGGAGCATATTAGACCATTTTGGGTCACAAGTAGACAAGTAACTTGAGATGATGTTTGCTGGTCATCTTATAGTCATTAGGTAGACGTGCGAAAATACCATTATTGGGACAGGGTATTGCCGTACTATCTTGTTTGGAACTGGGGAGCAGATATGGCAGTAAGCCCAGAGTAGACTACAAAGATATGATCATAATGCAATATTGCCTTCGTTGTCAGTTTTTGCAGCTGGTGAACTACATGGTAACTGGTCTCGGTCGAACATTAGCGTAGTAGATACTACAAGACACGAAAACAAGAAGGGACTCGGAACAGAAAGGCTTTTTTTCTCTTGTAATAAAGACAGCTAAAATTGATCGACCGAGAGCGATATCCCAGGGGTCTGTATCTCGTTGGTAGCTATGTTGAATGCCCAGGTACCTACTACCATGACAAGGTGGCTGCAAGACGTAAAATCCGACTGTTGCTGATGGCTTTGCTACTAGATTATTTATGATGTGTACCTACACGCAGATCGGCACTGTAAGAATCATATATTTTCTTGTAATATTCAAATCTCTTGCTAGGTCCAGGATGCGTGATTTGATCACCTTTTCAATACGTTACGAACAACTTTTGGTTAGCTATGGCAGTGCCCGCCAATCCTAATATCGTGCATGATCGTGTTCGTACAGCAGCACTCAGCGAGTTCTACCGCGAGTGTGAGGTGGCTAAGGCAGGTGACTTGAAAGTAATCATCCGCCTCTAGAAGGCTCGAGGCAACAGCATAGATTTTCAAATGGCTGGATTGGACTATCAAAATATGGTATTGAAGAACATTGAAGTTCCATCCATAGTGGTGCCATCGAAAAGGCTTCAACGTCGAATATAAGATCTTGCGGTTTATAGAGTAAGCTAGTGAATAATCCTCTTCTTATACTAACCTAGCCTCCCCTATCTCTCATGTCATGCCTATCTTTGATATAGGTGATGTATTCGGCGCCCTTCTCTCTTGTCCCAACCTATGCCTCCGAGCTCGATCCTACCTCAAGCCTCTCGGTAAGCATTTTTATTCGTAATAAATCATCTTCTTCTATTTGTAAGTTCGCATGACTACAGGAGAAAAGGGCACAAGCTATACTAGCTTATAAGGGCGTCTTAACGTGTTCTATCACCCACAAAGTGACAGCTATAGCAACTCCAGCAGCAACGTCAATCTGGACGATTAGAATAGGGGCATAGCTTCTCCTGATCTCTTCGAAGATACATTATTACAGGCTACCGAAGGAATTGCTAGTTATCACTTCTCAATTATAACTAAATCAATAACTGATATATTTTAATATAGGGTCAACTTTACTTAGTTCTAATGTTGCTTGATTCAGTTACTATCCTACCTATGAACATGATCTAGGTCCTGATTCGGCTGGCATCAAGTCTATCGATATTCAGATGTCAAATTTCTATAATATCCGCTCTACCATTGATACAACTTGGATTAACTATGATAATTGAACTGTGATTATGAGCACATTGCGATAAGTCTTGCATGAGGCCGTGGGGTCTATAATCATTGTGGAATAACTATGACTGGGCACTGCGGAAAAGGATGATAACCCGTCCGCTCATGTGTGACTATAATCTATATGCCTACTAGACAGACGCTAGCTTCCAAGAGTTCTATTGTGGCAGTTGTAGAATAAACCGAGATCTTCTAACTAGTTTAACCACAGATATGTCATTGTTAGTACCACAACTTTAGAAATGCCTTAAACCCGATTGACAAGATCTAGACATAGGATCCGAGGGGTCTCGGGGCGAGATCCTATTAGAAACAAGATTCTTATCCTAAGAGCTGCGGTATATGCTAGGCCCTACACGTGTTAAACCGTTGGACAAAGCGGATGGCAAGGCAGTATTCATGTTCTGGGATGTTCTTCACGGCAGGCGCCGTACTTACTACCAACTTAGAAGAACTAAGGGTTTGGGTGTAGGGAAAGGGACAAGGTAATTGGCTAAAGCTAGCCAGTTCCTGTAAAATGTGGTTGTTGGACGTGACAAAGTGAAACTGTATGCAGGGGGGGTTCCAGGTGTCTGAAGCGGGGTGGTATCACGTTTTGATGGTGTTTTAGAGCAGTAATTATATGGCAATCTAGGTCCTTGCCAAGTATCCTTCCCAACAATGATCCAATAGAGAGCATGGCTGATCGATCCTGGGCCTCGTGAATCAAAGAGTTGGCGGCCGGGGTAGAGACCGGAGGGGATTGTGACCGAACCGGATATTCAGCCGCATAATATTAAGGCGAGCTGGAAACTGAAGGCTCGAGAGCTAGAGAGGGGTTATCTGGTAAAGATGCCCCGGATCAAATAAAAAGCATCATCGCCGGTTTGCGACTCAGTTATGTTATTTGCGTAGTGCCGCTGGCGGGCGCGAGGAGCTAGCCTTCGACATAAGAGGCGTACTTCCTTTCCGTCTCCTCTCGCATCTCGCTTATGGCGCTGGCAAAAGCGACTCCCGCGCGGCGGGCAGCATTCGGCAATCGCCTCTCCGAGCTTACTACCATATTCAATCCACCTTGCCCGGTAACATGGCTGATAACCACTACGAAAGTCCCATCACAATATCCACCATTCCCTACGTCCGGACCTATCTCCTGCGACCCACCGTCCTGGGAGGATAATATCGCCCAGAAAGGATTCGCGTATTATTCGCCTGCTATCTGCCCAAGTGGATTTATCGTAGGTTGCACTGCAAGCAGTGGTCGATCGGGAGAAGGCTTTCCTGCTATCACAGCCGGAGAAACGGCTATGTACTGTGTTCCAAGGTAAGTCTGAATGACGTTGGGAATACGAAGTAGCTTGACTAATTTAGGTGTGGGATTTCTAGCGGCTTTACCTGCACCTCGGATACCACAGATTTTCGCGGGGGCGTTTGGGGCTTCACGCGTACAACATTAGCGAACGGTGTTCTAGCTACCGTAGGACCAGCTCTCCAGATCCGCTGGCGGGAAGAAGACCTAATCAACCTCGCTACGGATCCTTTGACTCCTGGTTTGGTTACAACTTCAACTAGCATCTTCACACCGACGCCTACTAGCTTAGCTTTGCCCGAAGCCACTACATCTACTTCTAAGACGCTACCAGCTCAAGTATCATCGACCGCCCTGCAAATAACGTCACTTACTCCAACAACGGAGATCGAAATCAGCCAATCATTAATAACTTTTGAACCAACTCCAACCACAACTGAGAAGGAAGAATCGGCAAGTCTATCATCCTCTCCGCTTACAAGCAGGCCAATTACAACATCGTCTACCCAGCTTAGCGGCACGCCCTCCGCGGATAACGGAGGCACTACGGATCGGAGCGGGGCCGACGGAAATTCCTCTAGCAGCGCTACCTCGAGCGCCAATACGGCAGCTATGGCATTATCTGGAATTTTAATCGGCATTATACTAGGGTACTTCGCAACAGTAATTATTCGTCGATACCGGCGGTACCGGGCGGGTAAAATAGAGAAATTCCTTCCTTTTGATGTTAGTACTTTAGCAAGTCGGATTTTTGCGAACCGGAAGAACGGATTGCCTTCGCATCAGACTACAGCGATACGACCGATTCGATATCCAGGTGCCGAGTTAGGTACAGATGGACCGATGCCGGAGCTAGGCTCTGGAAGCCCTCTGGGTACGAAAGACAACCCAGCAGAATTGGGAGTCGACAGTGCGAGAAATAGCTGGGTGTCGCGCGTATCACGAATATTAACTGTAAAACTTAAAAAGGAGGTGTGGTCAGTTTAATAGCTCACCTCAATCTCGTAAGAAGCAACTTTCAATAGCCTATTAGTTTCTATATATATATATAAGTTGTTTACGGGGCAATCTAAGGTCCATATACTCATCATGTAGTATATATTATCATAAAATTAGGTAGATTCTTACTTCGGACATAACAACTGTCCAACATAAATGTCTCTCCGACATATAAAATGTGATGGAATAAAATCTGTTACCAAATAACCTTTTAGTGGTGTAGCGGTATGTTGACAATAACTACTATAGCAATATCATTACCACTTGTTCAGGGCAATGATTGAAAATATTTAAGCACCGTAGAGAGAACTTATAAGAAAGAAACATCACGATGTCGATTGATGGATGTAAACAAGGGTGTTTTAAGTAACTTGAAAATTTTTTTTTTTGATTAATAGCTTGCTTAATTTTGAGGGTTAGTTGATAACCCCATCATTATCTTCAACGAGACAACTTATACTTTATACACATGTTTCAAACGTATAGGTAGTTGACGAAAGTGACCTAGAGAACCTCGCCATTAACCACGCTTGGTGCATCCTCTCACAAACCAATCTCTGACAACATATAGCGATCGCTCAGAATATGGAATGCTACGTAGCCCAAGATGTGGTTGTTTAAAGCCTGCTCATACGGCTCTCGTCCCTTAACTACAATTCGCATACGCCGGACGGTATTTTGCGTCTGCTCAATTACCTCTGACAGAACCGTTCGGGTATCACTGCCTTCGTAGTAAGCTCTGTAATTGATGTAGTTGTCCTTTTCTTTTGCTTTCTCTTCTTTATAGAATCTATCACGTCACTATTAGTAGGATCTCCATCGGAAAGTATTTCTATACTCACGACAATACATCATTAGCCAGACAGAAATAAGCAGATAAGTCCGGGATCGCTTCTAGGAAACATGAAATATCAGGATATACGGCCTTAGGGAATGTAAAATACGCATACGCATCTGCAAGACCGGACTTGCTACGCATGTACCAGGCCAAGCTCTGACCGCCTTTAGTTCGTACCAGGCGGCGGAGTTCCGAACGCGCCTCTAAGACGCACGCGTTGTGAAAGTCAAGGGATGCGGCGACGATAAAATTGGCCACCATAGGGTCCCAATAATCAAAGGCCAACCGAATTATCTCTGCCCAAGTCTCAAGAAGAATTGTCGGCTGAGGCTTTCCGCTAGCGAAGCGTTCGTGAAAGGGCTCGAAATCTTCCAAAGACTGACATGCTACATCGTCAACGACAATGGCAAGCCAGGTATAAATACCGACATATACTTGGACGTCTAGAGGATGGTTGGGAAGGCAAGCCTGTGATACTATTAGCTGAGCTATGGTAGAATAAGAAGATACTTAGTGCTAATACAATAGCATAATTCCCCCCTACTTTTAAGCACTTGAAAGCGTGTGACCCCTCAGGATGTGGAATACCAGTCTTAACTGCACGTCGGCGTAGAGCTGACCAATATGTTTCGTTGCTGATCACTGGTGCCGTCGTGTACCCGATGTTTGATATGAAAGACGAGATTAACGGACGAAGGTATAGCTCGGCTCCCAGCGTATCTGTAGTATGTTGTCCCCGTTTGCTCTGTGACATGGCTAATCTATAAAGTCACGTAGGCCTTAGAAATTATAAGAATTACCCGATGCTAACGGAGTAGTGGCGACTCGTTGCCTATTGCAACGGGTAATTATGAGGGAATGGCTTGAGGATATATAGATTCTGCAACGTCAAGTTTGAATGTAGTTCGTGGGAAATATAACCTCATTGATACGTAAGAAACCAATAATATATCTGATACCGAAGTGGTCATATCAGTAGCTGGATTCCTCAACTGTCTATGGGTTGGATGAAATGCTTAGACATTGTGATTAATGGGTTCTTGACAAGATAATGCAAGATAAGCTCATTTTAAGGTTGGTAATTGGCAGCAATATGAGCTTAATTGAAGCTAATGTATCTCATTTAATTGCCATTGATTTTTCGAAGCTGATTGCCCTCATCGAGATGGAGCTAAGTGCGGACTTCGGTGGCATTATCGGAGCTGAATCAAGCCAGCACAGCTCGTCTCATTCTAAGTGTCATGACATATGCATGAGTTTTCTGTTTTGGGCGAACCTTTCCAGCGCGAATTACTTACATGACAAATAAGATTAGGACATTTGATGTCCCTGGGACATTGTTATAGGCAATGCTGATATACGAAGTTATCACAATCTCTGGTAACTCCGAACTTTTTCCATTTTATCAGGTAAACATATGTGCCGGTGGAAAAGCAAACACGCCTGCGGATTGATTGTTATACATCTAAGATATTGGCGTTTGAAATAAAAGCGACGAGTTCTAGCATAAAACGCCAATACGATGACGAATGATTTCGGGGATATTAGCTCGGGATTTGGAAAATAAAAAAAATAGCTACAGCATAAGCTGACATAGAGTGTGAGAATGCAACGATATTTTCTATGCCATATGTACGGTATTGCGATATCGTAGCTTCACGCCCTTCTCCACCTCAAAGAATAGTCTGTTTTCCATTCAATTTACACATATTCAACCTATCCACATAGTATATCAGTTCAGCTAGCCAAGGGTTTTGGCTCGGGGTTTCGGTGACTGGTGAAAACCGAGCAACCCTCTTTCAGCATCAGTTAAGCCAATACGATCATTGACGAGGTCATGTCCCACGGAGATACTATCAGAAGAGCCACTTGAAAACTCGATGCTCTTAGAAAATAGCATCAATCCCTGATCCCAGTGTTAAACGTTATACAGACGCAGCGGGGGGAAACTAAACAAACTTCATGAGCATTATAAGCACAGCTTCTTCTATGCCGTCGAGACTAAGCTGGTCGATACCTAATACATGCGAAACCATAGAACATCAATATGCTTGATAAGTGTTAATGTGTTTAAGGACTGAGAAAATGTTCATATATAAACATGTTAAATTTGTCGACTTTTTTTTTCCTCCTTTTTCAAGTCAAATCGAAAAGTATATTGTACTAATGAAGTAAACGCACGGATACATTTGTCCCATATTATAACTTGGTCAATTGTAGTTTTAGCTAGTTTCGCACAATGTAAAGCGAACCGGCACAAGTTTTAAGGTTTTAGGATTTTAGTTAAACATTTAATAAGATTATATCGACGATAATACAATAGGCAATAACAACGTTTAAAATACCTTTTATTTTAATTACTTAAGGTTAATCTTTTACTTTCGCTACTTTCTTGTTTTTTTTGCATGTTTATACGACATCGTGTTATAATATCGTAGGCTTCGACATTTAAATAGCTTTAAAACGTTATACCCACAAACTTACACCCACAACCACTTATAACCACGTTTAAAATACCTTTTATTTTTTAATCTAAGGCTATTTATTTAATTACCCGGACCTTTTAACCCTTTTTGTATACTTATATAACATCGCGTTGTAATATTATAAGCTTCGACGTTTAAAAATACGTAATAACTTTAAATCGCTATATTCACGCGTTTGCACCCATGCGTTTATATTTACAACCATTTATAACCACTTATAACCACGTTTAAAATACCTTTTATTTTAATCATTCGAGGCTAGTTTTTTACTTTTACTATTTTCTCGTTTTTTTTGTATATTTATAAAATATTACGTTATAATATTATAGGTTTTAACGTTTATTACGGTTATTACGTTATAACCGATATTATAATTAATTTTAACTTAAAACACGTACGTTTTATATATAATAACTTATTTAAATAATTAAATTAATACTTATTTTATATAAAAATTTTATTTATTATATTTTTAATTAATTTAATTATTAATATGGCCGTTTAAATAAAAAATATTTAAAATCCTTTTAAATTAAAAATTTAAAAATGTTTTAAAAAAATGTACCAAAATGTAATTAATTAAAGAAAAATGTAGTTAAAAAAAGTATTTTTTTTTAAACTATTTTCAAATTTTTAATTTAAATTAATTAAAATAAATTAATTATTGGAAATTGTTTTAAGGTTTTTATAATTAATTTTTAATATAAATGTAAATCATTTTTATATTTACATGTTTTTTATTAACAATAATACCAAAATATATATAATAATATATAATAGTTATATAATAATTAAAAAAAAATTACGTTTTTTACGTATTAAAAAAAAAGTATATATATATATAAATAAAACATGTTTTTAGCATACTTTTTTAAATAGTTTTTTTTTTTTAAATATTATAAATATAATTATTGCTATTAATACACTTTCGTTTTGTTATCGAAAGCTTATTAATACACTTTATATAATAGATATATCCTTACCAATTATTTTAATTAAATTAATTAAATTATATTTTAATTTATTAACCTATATAATTTACTTAATTTAATAAGTTAATTTATATAATTTATATTATTTATTTTACCTTAATTAAAATTATTTAATAATATAAGTTTTAATTAAATATATATGTTATTTTAAAAGTTATTTAAGTATGTATATTAGTAGTGGTGGTAGTGGTTTTTAAGGAACTACGTAATATCTTTTTGTTTATATTAGATTGAATAATATATATTTAAGTAATTTATAAAATAATATATGTATTTAATTAAGATTTATATCATTAAATAGTTTTAATTAAGGCGAAAATATTAATATAAATTATATATATTAAATTATTAAATTTAATAGGTTATATAAGTTAATATATTTAATAAGTCTTTAAATAAGGCTTTAAATATGGCTTTGTAAAAAGCTTTTTTGCGGTTACATTTATATTTAATTAAATATTTAATCAAATATATATATATATTTAAATAACTTTTTAAATAATGTATATATTCAATTGAGATAAATATTATTAAATAATTTTAATTAAGGCGAAAATAATAATATAAATCTTATATATTATATTGTAAAATTATATAAATTATAATGGTTAATATATTAGTAGTTAAAAATGAATAAGATATATTTAAATGTATTAAATATACCAATAAGTTCCAATAGCAAAACGAGGGTGTATTAATAGCAATAGTCTTAAATAAAATATATTTAAAATAAAATTTATTATTTATATTAAATAAAATAAAAAATTATTATCAAAAAATAAAAAAATAAAAAAATAAAAAATAAAATATAATAATAAAAAATAATATTAAATTAATAGTAAAAAGGATTTTATTTAAATAATAATTATATTATTTAATTATAATTAAAAGTTATATAAAAGTTATATAAATATTATATTTATTTTTATATAAATTTATTAAATTGTATATATATTTTTTATATTAATTTTATATATATATATATATATATATATATATTTATTTTATAATATTTAAATTAAATATAATTATATAATTTTTATTTAATTAATTTATATAATTAACTAAAAATAATATAATAAAAATATAAAATAAAATATAAACTAAAAATATTAATAAAAAATATTATAAAAATTATAATATATATTTAAATAAAAAAAATATAAAATAAAAAAAATATTAATAA